AAAAAAAAAACTACTCATGACATCAAAATTCTGACAGAATTGTGTTCTCAGTCTTCTATGTCGCCTTGGTCAACTTCAATCTCCTTGTGCTCGAAGACCCGTACGTGGAGCACAAGTGGACTGAGCCCATTCACAACGAGAAGAAACCTCAACCGCCTTTTCGCTCTCTTAGTACAAGGGACCAGATAAGATGGTGCTTTGACAATGCTTTTTCCACCAGAGGCATTGGCTGGAATTGGCGAACCGCACCTCTCCCTCCAGCTCCTGCGCCAGGCACTTCCAAGACTGCCTTCTACAGACTATCGACCCAAAGAATACTGCAGCAATATATGAGCCATGATATCGCCGCAGGCCTTCTACTTTGGCTGACTCATGGCGGAAACACTCGTGTCCTTGACTTGGATTTCGTTCCCCGTTGCCTCGCCACGGCTTGCTGGTGGGCCTCGTCAATCGCCGTCATGGATATCGGCTATCACGTCGCTTGCATGATCGGGGTGTCGTCCGGGCTTTTCTGGACGCGGATCGAAGACGTTCACCCGGTAAACGGTCCGTGGGCCGAGTGCTACACGCTCAGCAGATTCTGGAACCGCACGTGGCATCAGAACTTCCGCAGAGGATTGCAAGTCCCCAGCAGATTCGTGGCCAGGAGCATTGTTAGAGCACCCAAGGGATCCATGATCAGTCGACAAACCCAGTCATACTTTGCATTCGCCCTATCTGGACTCTACCACTGGGCGGCAGCGAAGATGGCAGCTCCATCGGAGTCTTTCACAAGAACTATCACCTTTTTCCTGCTCATGCCCAACATTTTGTTCTTGGAGGATCTGGCAATAAACTTTGCTCGGAAAAGCCTTGGATGGTGTGGATCTCGCTGGCGTATTGTTGGACTCGTGTGGACTTTCCTTACTATGAACATACTTGGTACAGGTTTTGTGGATGATTTGGTGACACCTGGACTTGTAACCGCGTTTCCAACGCTCGAGTTCTCGCCAACTTACTACATACTGAACAGCATGGTTGAGAAAAGGGGTTAAATTGGGTTTACAGCATTTGATGTTAGAGAACCTGTTGTATTCTTGTTGACATGAGAAACTTGAGTATCATTCCATACTATTTAGAACGATCCATTTCCCATGTAATAATCATTTGATCTTGTGACCACCGGGTACCAGCTTCGCGAACAGTCCTTCACTGTCGTACGTCTCTTTGACTTTCTTCAAGAACTCAACGTTCTCATCTCCATAGCTTCCGACAGGGTCTTGGTCTTCCGCAGCGTAGTTCATGTACTTGAAAGGATGGTACAGACCCCTTTCCTTAGCTGCAGCTACAGATTGCTCGAGGACGCTCTGGATTCCAGCAGTCACGATAGCATCATTCGCCTCGTCAGACCACTCCCAGCCAAAAGAACAGACTTGAAACCCCTTGCGTTAGCACTTGTGAAATGTGTCGGTCAGGGTAGAGAGTAAACTTACCAATCAGTGGCCCGGACTCTTCTTCGAGACCCATCACATTTCCTCCGCGCTTAGCTTGCGCCTGGAGAATGTTCTTTCCCAGGGGTTGAATGCCCAACATTGGCGCAAAGCGTGCGTCCTCACTTAAGCCCTTGTCCAGAGCTCTTTCGACCTCTTCGACGAAGTAACCGGCCATTAGCTGAAGCAGATCCACATCCACCTTGAAGGTAGCAGTTGTAAACCGACTCCGCATGCCCGCTGGCTCTGAAAGATTCAGTTCCTCGGCTAGATCAGAAAGCGACGTTACCCTCGCCGTGCTGACGATCTTTGGAGCCCCATACGTCTCGGCGTCATCTCTGAACTTGGCAAAGATGGGAGGCTCCTCCCTACCGAGGGTGTCGTACTGTCCCACAGCCCAGGCGAAGTTACCCTGCATGAATCCGAGGCCTGCAAACAACGAGACATGCTTGTCTGATGGGGCGTCGTGGGCGAACTCCACGAAGGCTGACGTGATGGCTGACGTTACGTCTGGCATCAATGGCCAGACGTGTAGACCTCCCCACATAGGGCCTTGATCGAACAAGTCCAGGTCGAAGCGGGTGACGACCCCAAAGTTGTTGCCACCACCACGAAGAGCTCGGTAGAGATCTGGGTGGGTGGAGTGCGAGACGTCGATGATACTACCATTGGCAAGGACAAGCTGGATGAATGTCAGCCGCTTGTTAGACACGGAGTCTCACTTGCGGTCTCGGTCCCGACGCCGACATACCTCGTAGTTGCGGACGTTATCACACGCCCACCCATGTAATCCGGAGAAGTGGCTAAGCCCGCCGCCCAGGAGTAATCCTCCAACACCGACGCCCGTAAGTCGGCCTCCCACAACCGTCTTGTTCGTCTTATCGAGCTCCTTGAAGACTGCTCCCCACTTGGCGCCAGCTCCTACGCGAGCTACGCCGGCGCTCGCGTCCACTTCGACATCGCTCAACCCAGCCATATTAACGGTGATGCCACCATCACTGTTACTCGCGCCGGGTATGTCTGAGTGGCCGCCCCCGCGGACGGCGAAGGGACAGCCCGTGGAGCGCGAAGTCCGGACCACAACCACGACATCTTCGACCCCCCGGGCGTGGACGACGCAGGCCGGCCGGACGGCCTGCTGCTGCTGCGCCCAGAAGAGAGACCCGGCATCTACCCCTGCTGTGGCAATAGGCTGCTGCTCAAAGTCTGCGACATAGTCGCCACCCGACTCGACGGAGAGCTGACTAGACAGAGAGATGCACTATGTGTGTCAGGGGTGGTTGTCTTGACGCGGAGCTCAACTATCTGTACGTACCGCACTCTGGCATGAACCGTAGTCTACTACGAGGCCTTCACATTCTCCCAAGCGAGCCAGAAGGATAGGAATCCAAAGCAAGTTCGATGATTGGCGCATTTTCGTTCGGTCCGATTCGCCGAGGCCAAGGGTACTGAAGAATGACGACAGCTGGGCGTTTGTAATGTAGGAGTGATATCGATGTATGGCTGCCTGCTTTCTTCCAGAAGACTCTGCTTTCAGTCAATTGCCCGTTACCCAAGCCCATGATTCTCAAGCTTAAGTAGGTGAGAAGAGGTCTGGACCGAAGCTGCGAGTCTCAACCCCTACCTGGCCTTACGAAGACTAGGTAAGCATGTTACTCTACAAAGACACTGCATTTGATAGATCGTCCGCGTATTAGCCCCACGCCCTCCGTTGCAGGTGTTCATCTCATGAACCCTTGTCGTAAATCTCTCAAAGACCGGTCCCCGCCTGTCAAGGCAGTGTCCATGGAGGTGGAGCGGGAGTCGGGCCCGCTCCGTGTGTAACCCTGCAGGTTGCAAGGATATCATTCCTGGCAGGATTCAACGAGATGCAGGTGGACGTCAAGTCGAAGTCTGACGTGCAGTAGTGATTTCTCCAAAAGCCCGATCCCTGATGGGATTTGAACTTTCTGATCCTTTGCCCCCTTGGCCGTGTGCATCGACGGTAGGATGTTTACGAGAGTCGGTTGCCGATTTACTTGCAAGCTACGTGTAAGGATGGTGGCATGACATGCGTTCATAGCCCTCGCGAGACAAAGTGTTCTCAGTGTCCACGGCAAAAGATAAGAGGTTATTGTTCGAAAATGAAACATTGAAGTAAGCGCTAAAACAACGTTGTATTGACATGCCACACAAATAAAACAGCCAATTGAACCAATTGAAGGAGTGTTACACAGCCTGTGTTACATCTTCGCGAATCAATCTAACCCGTCTATCCCAACGTGGCAATCCCCTTTGTGCTAAGCTTCGCAAGGCAAAGGCGGAGCATGGGATTCGCCTCGCCTGTCAAACGCTCCAGCCTGTCGATTTCCAGTTCTAACTCGTGTTCCACGTCTCTCAGGCAGTCGAGCGTCTTCTCAAACGCTCCACACTTCCGTAAACAACTCACCAGATGAGCCTTGCTTTCCTTCGAGAGCGGAGAAGCGGTCGTCGTAGCTACCGTCGGTCGCTGCCTGAATACGCCAAGGATGTGTGCGCGATACTCCGGGTGGTTGGTAAGGCAGTAGACGATGGGGTACGAGAACTTCCCTTCGTCCAGATCCTCACAGATACCCTTTTGGGCCGCGTAATCTCCAAAATTCATGTAGTCGTCCCGAATCTGAAAGAATCGTCCGAAGAGAAGGGTCAATCTCTCAAAGTCGAGGCCTGGAGTTTCCGCAACTGCACTCTCAGCCTGCATAATGCGCAGCAACATCCTGAACATGCCGCCGGTCTTGTGGTCGATCATGTTGACGTACTCGGACTCGGTGGGACATGCCAGGTTGAACTTCCAGTACAGGTCCCAGCTTTGCCCGAGGTAGAGGCCTTCGAGTTCTTCGAGCACCGCTGTGAGCGCAGCTGGGCTAAGGCTCTGGGCAACTTCTTGCACTGCTCTAACAAACAAAAAGTTTGCGCTGTTGATGGATTGAGCTTGCCCAAAGATAACATGGGCTGATGGGAGACCCCGCCTCAGTGGAGAGTTGTCCTCCAAGTCGTCCAGAATTAGGGATGCATTGTGCAACATGTTGACAACCGACGTAATTGTCTTGACCGCTGCCGGAGGCACGTGAAGCCAGGTATTGAGAGCATCAATGAGAGTGCCACGAACACCTTTGGAGGGCATCCCACAGATGTACGCCGCGGGCGCATCCATAGCCAGGTTGGACGGCTTGTAAAGGGGATACTGGGAGACCTCGTGAACGTCGAGGTTATGGTTATCTTGGCCCAAAACATCGATGCCCGAATCTCTCTTTTTCTTCGTGAACAAATCTTCTTCCGGAGTTGCCAGCCCACACTGTGAGAGTTTTCTTTTGACACCGTTGCCATTGACAACAGCTTTGACGCCGTTTCCGTTTGAGATGATCTTGATGCCATTGATTTGAAGAATAGTGTCACTTCCGTTACTGCTGAGCGGGGAGTGATGTCCGTTCCCGTTCTGATTTTGCTCAACGTCGTTATGCTTCTGGCCGTTTGGAAGTGTCTCGTTCTTCCATGCGTTCTGCCTCGGACAAGCAGAGCACCAGTAGTGATTCCCCGAGACCGCTAGGCCAGCACAGTCGATCCACCTTCTTACTTTCAACGATACGTCTGGCCGTGTTTTATAAAGCTCATCACGGCGTTGACAGAAATCACTTTCTGACTTGATGATCCTGGCCTTGACTGCCTCCTTGGCACCCTCGACTGAAAGCCCCTTCGTCCGGGCAAACAGCTCCACGGCACTCACAATCCTCTTGGAATGACCGGATTGAAGCTCTCTCAGTTCGCGTTCCCAGCTGAAGTAGTCATTCGCCAGCAGAAGACCTTCAGTGGCCGCATCAATGATGGGCTGCACGAGCTGGTGCTCCGCTTCCGAGAGGGAAATCCCCAGGCTGAACTGCAGCATTGGCCAGAAAACCCTGCGAATTGGTTAGATATGAACCCGAATATGACAGACGATCTTCTTACAGCATGCCGCCATTGTCGCTACGGTATTGTAGATATTCTTCCAAAGTCTGTGCTTCCTTGTCGCTGTTCTTCTCGCTAATAGCAAGCCAAACATCACGGAAGGCAGCAAGCATGTTCAGACCAACTTCATGATCCAGGTTGATGCATTCGAGGATGCACTGTGAGACGAGCTTCTTGGTCTTCATTGCCCTTGAAGCAGGGTCCAGGTTTCTCTTGTCGTCTGGGTTCAAAGCATCATGGAGCTCATCGTGCTCAGCCTGAGCATCCTCGATGCTGAGGCCCTCGCCGGTGTCTGTAGTCATCGTCAGCGAAACACTTAGAGATTCTGTACGGCGCAACTCACCATCATGAATCAGGCCCAGATCTGAGAGGTAGGCCAAGACTCCGAGGCGTTCGGGAATGGCTTCGGGGTAGATGAGAGAAGACCAGTTGCCTACAGGCGAGAACGAGAAGTAAGTCTTCTTTTCTCGGCCATCTCTCATCTCCCTAGCCCAGTCTCCAACAAAACGCCGGCTGGCTGCATCGGCTAGGTCATCGCGGGGATGAATACGGATTGGAAGCGTCGTAAAACAGCCTGTCTCTCGAGCTGTCTCCGCGGGGACGAGCTTCGACTGGTACGACAACGGTTCCATATTGGGTAAAAGCAAAAACTCTGTTTCGAAAAAGCTCGACAACTAGTCTCCAAAGATGAAAGAATCATATGCGAACAGCAGACTTAACCGCCTTCAATGTTGCTGTTCTCTCCCCCAGTTTAGATACTTGCACTATCCTGCTACCTTAGACCAATCCCTCGATATCTGCTCCAGAGTTAGTTTTCACTCCCTCATTGGCTAAAAAAGAGCCAATGTTCCAGTCTGGGCCTGACATGTGGGTGGCTGAGGTTCCGGCAGGCTTAGCCGATACAAAGACACCGTTGTCGTCTCAATGCAACGTAGTCGGCCAGGACGTAGGAAGTAGGGGTCTAGGTCTTCCATGCGACGTCAACTTACATGCGAAATCCAGGCATTCACTTGAGATGGGCCGGCAGGATTCTATTCCATGTCTTGAAGCCCGAACACGCCTACCAAGATCGGCGACTCTCAGTAGTGGACCCCGAACATCAGTTTCTGTAGGCAAAGCATGGGAATGTTTGGATCTGTCAGGATCCGCATATCTAAACACCCATGCTGGTAAGCGCTAGATTAGCTCGGGCGAAGTAATCGAAATGCGTGGGGAGGGGGGTGGGAGAACAAGAAGGATCTGGGAGACCCGCCTTGGTGATGGCACCATGTCCCCTGTGCGATTCGGGGTCCTTGAGATTTGTCCGCAGCACACCTCTAGCTGTGATTAAGTCACTAGATGCTATTTCGAGTGCCGGGTGGTCATGAGAGCGCGCAAATACTAGCCGTACGCACGTGTTTGAAATCACATCAGTCTCAACGACAGGTCTTCCTGCTTGACCGAGCCCTTCCATCTGGTTTTGCTTCTGCACTGACAGCAATCACGAACCTGCAAAGATGGCATTGATCTCCCCACTATCACCTTGGTCTTTGGGGCAGCAACTAGGACTAGCGGTGCTTGTCGTGTGTCATATCCCCATCTCAAATCTTAACAGCGGCTTCTGTTCTAACAGTTCTATGATCCGCAGTTCACGGTTGCTGTTGTGTCAGTCATCGTCTATGGATGCTTCTTTCATCCTATCGCCCATATCCCTGGCCCTTTTCTGGCTAAGTTCTCCCCGGTACGTCTTTTCTCACATTAAAAGCGCCCTACAGGTGAGAATTAGCTGACAACGATAGCTATGGATCATGAGAGCTCTGCATCGGATGAGGTTCAATTCGGAACTGCAAGCTCTTCATCAGCGATACGGTGAGACTCTCAGCATCAACAGCTAGAGAAAGGTCACTAATCTGGTTCAGGGCCTGTGGTACGAGTTGGACCCAATGAAGTTTCCTTTGCTTCCCTTGAAGCGGAAACAGCGATCTACGCGAAGCAGGAAGACGGTCGCTTTTCCAAAGATGGGACCTTCTTGACGCTTTTCTCGGACCTCGTCTTGAACGCCCCTACACTGATCACAATACCTGACCCTGCACTTCACAAGAAGTTGCACAAGGTGATCCAGCAAGCCTTCACCCCTCAAGCGCTTGCGAGGCAAGAGCCCATCCAGAAGTTGCATATCGATATGGCCATGTCCGAAGTTGAAGAACTCGCGCAGAAGGGCGGCGCCGTGGACATTGCTGACACATTGGAGACGATGTTCTGGGAGATTATTGGTGATCTTGCCTTCGGAGAACCTCTCATGTCTGGAAAACGCCGTAAGTTGAAAGCCGCATCATTAAAAACTACACAGAATCGAAGCTGACAAAATGTCACAGCTACTTACGAATCTTTGAAGCAGCTTGGGAAATCAACGATGCCCATGGTCGAAGCCTTGAGCTTTTTCCTCGCCATGCCTGGGATAGCTTCACTGCTTGAGAGTGCCAGGAGCCTGGTGACAGCGTTACCGTTTCCGTCACAACTCTCTAAGCTTGTGCCATCTTCAAAGCTGCGCGAGTGAGTATTCTCCAAGAACGGCTATAGTTCTAGTGGTCTGACCTAATTTCGAATAGCTGCGTCGATAGGCAAGACGGAAGAGAAGACTTCTTGACCGCAATTATGGGCAGCGAAAAGCAGGGTCTGACGCTCGACGCAGATGCATTCTTTAGCAACGCCATGGGCCTCACGTACGTATCAGCTTCATCCTCCAATACAACTGTGCTAAGAGACATCGTAGCCTGGCGGGATACCAGACGACAGCTACAACACTGGCCGCCACTTTCTATCACATTTTGCGTTATCCCGATGCGTACAACAGAGTCTGCTTTGAAATTCGCTCGAACTTTACCAATGAAGAAGACATTACGGGCGAGCGGCTGGCCAGGTTGCCGTTCCTGAGTGCCTGTATCCGGGAGACCCTTAGGTTGCTTCCACCGGCAAACGGTAAAACGGCACAGCGTACCGCTCCATCTTGCACCATAGATGGCGTACACATCCCTGCCGGTACCACCGTCTCCGCCGATCTCTACACAATTCAAAGATCGCCCGAGTATTTCGCAGATCCCGCCACCTTCCGCCCTGAAAGATGGCTTGATGGTGTTGAGGATACCGAGTTCAGAGCAGACAACAGAACAGCTTATCGTCCTTTCCTCATTGGAAGCAGAGCATGCATTGGAAGACACATGGCACAGCAGAGTATCCGACTGATCGTTGGGAAGTTGCTTTGGAGATACGACCTTGAGCTGCTAGATCGAGACGGGTTCATATGGGAGCGCGACGCTGGCAGCAGCCTCATCTACACGGAATACAAGGTCATGGTACGTGTGATGAAAGCTAGTGGAAGATCATAGCGAAATCACAATAGATCATGCTTAATGAATGCTAATTACTGCTCGGTGTTCCATACAATCTCAAGCAGAAAACATAAATGGTTTCGTTCTCTGTGTACCATACGTAGACCTTGCCAGACTTTAGAAACCACAGTACGTGCTGATAACATGATTGTGAATGCCATGAAGCTCCGTACCTGTACCTTGCCATGACGCACTTCAACACATCCCGTCCGCGAAAAGATATCAGATCACCTCATAGGGGCAAAAAATGCCTCAAGTCGACTACTGATAGATGCCGGGAGCGCTTGATGTCGTATTGAGATGACGCCTCTCGCGTTTGGGTGAAGTCGACTAGTTCCTGGATACGGGTGCCCCCAACGTCCGGCATGGCTATGTCGACGCCCATGAAGATCTCTACACTAGCCCGAGATCTCGTTCGGCACGCCACCAATCTACCTGCACCTGCCTAGCCCTACAAGCAAAGCGCTTAACACGAATGGGGCTACAAGACCCTATCATTACTCTGCACGTTTTAGGCACCCATTTTATTGCAATGAATCTGTTGATAACGTAAGGTCAGCGTGACATTAGGACGATGAGACCCTATTCTATGCTTCTCGAGTACCGGTTTGGAAATGATTCCTAGTTGAGCTGCAATTACTCACCTGCGTATGCAGAAGCTTCAATGGTTCTGATGTCAAATTTGTCAATGGCTGTGCCGCTTGTCCACATGGCGGCTCGGACTCATGCAGTCATCCCTCGGCTACGGCCCGTACCCGAAACAGGAAATACGAGAGCTGTGGGCCTTCTTATCTTAGGGTAAGCTGTCCAGAGTTTTGATGCGGTCAGCAGTCGGCATGTCTGACAGGCAAGGACGATGTTCCATTGTGCGTTGCATCGCGTGGAGCAAACTAGCCTGTCGATTACGTGATATCGAACAAGCAGGTGAACATCTCCTCCGAATGATACCTAACACGCACAGTGAGTGGCGACTAATCCTTGAAGTACAGAACGAATCGCGTCAGATAATCGACGTATGAGCTCTGGAGCATCCGGATTGCCGCTCTCCATGCCGAGTCACGGCCCTGTACAAGGATTCGTACTCTTATCCCGACCAGCAGAAGCATGGTCAACAGTCTTCTAGCTGTTAGGCTCTGCTGTAGTTAGATTACGGTAGTCAACAAACTGCTTGTTGTACGCTTAGTGGCACTTAACATGTAGTCAACTTCGCATGACACAGACTGGCGAATAATACGAAAGAGAATTGGCATTCTGCTGGTGAATTTCTGTTGGATTTGTCTGTTGAATTTGATCTACATTCCATTGCTGTGAGGCTTCTAGAGATAAAGAGACACCGACAGATTCAGTGGGCTCGTGAGAAACACCAGACCAGTTGTGATAGCAAAAGCTCAAGCGTATTCTGCATATAACACTCGGCATGTCTTGCGCGAGGCCAGCAACTGCAGGCTGAGATGGCAACAAATGCTCAATAATGCAATGCGCTTCCTATGAAGCTGGGAGTTCCCATATATCAGTGCAACCTGTTGCCGCGACTCTGTCGTTTGGAGGCTAGGCCATGAATACCTAACCTTGGGTTTATTACCTTGTTGTACGCTCATACACCCACAAATGTTCTCCAAGACTTTGGGTCAGCATTTTGACGAGACAGCATAACCGCGTATTTTACTGTCACGAATCAGCGGGTTAAAGAAAGATCATGAATGACGCTGAACAAGTGATTCATGACAAAATCCTTTAGTTATATTGAATGATATTTGAAAGCTGTAGCATTTCCACCATCATTCATTCCAGAAAGCGCTGTTTACCTTGTGGCTCAGCAAATCCATCAAGGTACAAAATTTGGCTTTCATAATAAGAAACCTTCCATAAGCAAGGTGTGAGGTGTCCTGAAGCTCGCCGTAAAGTTCAGATATCAACGTGGGGCCTCTAATCAAGGTAGACCAAACAACGTTGAGAAACACCACAGCACAGCAGGACTTGCACGAGAACCCAAAGATCCTCCCATACACAGGACCTGTCGAAGCCTAACTTTTGAAGCGAAGAGACTGCCGAAAATGGTGACCGAATCGTTCACTCCAGCCAAGACTGGGTTCATGTGAGTTTGGCGCGTATCCTCTCTAACGACTCCAAGTTTGACCCAGGTCCCTACCAATCGAACTCCGAAACATGATATACGCCGAAGGTCGTGGATAGAAGGTCTCAACGTTGCTCATCAGCGGGGGCCGATCCTACTGACGACGTCCACATAGCTAAACAACTCTGGCGAGGAAGATAAGTCCCATCGCAGCTCGGAGCCTCGATAAAGAAAGCAGTACGCCGTTACACACGGAGGATACGGATCTCATGGCCAGGACTCAAAGAATTGATTACAAGGTTCACAGGAGACGGGTTGGGCTATTAGCCTGTCATATAATCTTGGCTCGCTTGATAGTTTTAATCGGAGATGTGTACTCTCATCCTCTCACGACTTACGTAAATCACCATCTCCGATGCTGTTTTATATCTAGCATAAGTTGAAAATTTCTTAATGCTTTGCGTCTTTTGCGTCTCAAATCCTCATCTGGAACTTATCGAAAGTGAAGTAGACATGATGGCGGCAGATGACGTAGTCCAGGCTTCTGAGGCCATTCGACACACTCGTCCAAACCACGAAGTCGCAGTGTATGCTGAAAGCGATACCGATGACGAGTTCAAGCAGCCTGCGAGAAAGAAGGTGTGTTAATCATACTTCGCCTGCTACGTCTCGAGGCTAACGTCACCACACAAGACCAAAAGAGAGCGAGCTAACAGCAGTCGTTCAACCACCATCACGCCAGATCGAGGGAACGTGAGCCAGCAACGGCCGATGAGACGTTCCAAGTTCCCGTTATTGTAAGAACCTCTCGCCACAGCAGAAGAAAACGCAAATTTTAATAATACTTCATTACGCAGGTCCCTGCCGATCGAGATCCGTTACATGATCTACAACAGTTCCACCCCTTCCGACGAATTCCTGATCGTCAACCGAGACCCCGGCCCCTACAAACCCATTCCCAGGCAAATATACGGGAACAAAGTCATCCATAACCTCCACAAAACCTGCAGGACGATATCATCGGAGACTCGGGAGATCATCTACCGGCGCCGGTTCATCGTCCATGATATGAAAACACTCCGCGCCTGGCTTGACATGATCGGCCCGCAGAACCGTCAACAACTACGCTCCATCAGACTCAGCCGACCCAGAGTATCATCCGAGATCAGGTGTAAAAGGGTGGCTTCGGCTGTTTCTAGAGAAGGCCGGGATCAGCTCGCGTACCGCCGCCAGTCGCGCAAGCTCTCTCGTCTGCTGTTGGACTGCGACAACCTCCAGAACCTGGAGCTGAATTTCCGGTACTGCTTTTACAGTCTCCCGCCGCTGTCGTTGGGGCACACTACGTGTCTGCGGGAGCGATACGCCGCGGAAATCATGTACGAGGATTTCTGGGAATTCTTCCACCACAGGCTCGACCGTGGTGATTCGCCAGAGTCGCTGTGTTGGATCTTGAAGGCTGCGAGGAACAACTTTCACGCACTACCTGGATTACCGAGTCCTGATGTTACGGCGGATGAACGGCAATGGGATTGTTCAGAGCATATCGTTGCGGAATATGTCATGTTGCTTCTCTGGAAAGACATTGAGTTGCGAGGCGGGCCGAAGAGCGATCCAGAGCGCAAGCTGCCTCCGTCTGCGACTCTGATGCGCTGTCAGAAGTGGAATAATCAAGACTTGCAATGACTTACAACCCGCCGTACGAGTCTACGGCGAAAATTCAAATCAAGCAGTAATGACTTACAAGTGGAACACATGATGTTTGCCAATGGAATGAGATAGGCCAGGAGTATAGTGAGAAATGTCAAAATGAGGTCAAGTTGACTAGAAGCTACTGATGAGAAGCTGCTATAGCCTTGCTTTCTATGATACAACTAGTAGGGACACCCTCATTGATAAAGCTATTAGAGCAAAAGAGAGTATCACTGTAAACAAGGGCCCACGCAAATCCCTGAAAAGCCGCCCGATCCTGAACGCCACATGCTCTGCATCACAAACCAGGTACATACCCATAGCTCCAGCATTTCATCACTGCTGGTAGCAGTTGTGCTGTTCAGACCGCTAGTCTGTCTGGCCTGCTGGGTGCTCGGCTGTACCACCCGCTCCGTCCTCAGGCCCAGCTGCGTGCTTCTCGTCAACGTCCATCTTGTCTTCCTCTGGCGCGGCGATCTTGTCCTCAGGCTTGTTGTCAGCCTCTTTCTCGTTCTCTGTAGCCTCTTTGACTGCTGAAGCAGACTCTTTGGGAGTGTCGGTCTTGTTCTCGCTGGTGTTCTCAGGTCCCATTGCGTCTGGCTCTTTGCTAGCCTCCTTGTTGGCTTCCTTTGCCCCCTCTTGGTTCACAGTCGCGTTGGCGGTGACCTCAGTGTCTTCATTGTCCGCCTTCTCTGCAGCATTGGTTGCTGCCGTGGGTTCAGTGGAAGGTCTGCGTGAGACAGGCTGGTCCTCTTTGTCTTCTTTCTCTGCAACCTTGGCAGGCTCTGCTTCGACTTCCTCCTTCTTAATGGTTGTCGCAGGCTCTTCAACGTCAACAGTATCTTCCATGCCAACATCGCCGTCATCATCAACATCGTCCCTTCTAGGAGCATCAGAGGCAGCCTCCTTCTCAGTGGGCTTTTCTGACGTCTCCTCAGCATCGACGGGGTTTTCCAAGGTGATGTCGGCATCGACGATAGGCTCAGCATTAGGCGCATCCTCAGCGGTAGCGCCATTGACTGGTGATGCAGCCCCGCTGTTGGCCTCGGCTTCCTGTTGGCGGTAGTCACGGAACGTCCGCTTCTTCGCATTACGAGGGCGAGTGATGCCGTTTGCTTGCTCCATATCCTCGTCGTCGCTGTCTTCGAAATCTGCCTCGTTGTTGGTACGCTGCTCCCAGCGACGCTGAGTCATTCGCTCGTCGGGGTGCTCGTCTTCGTCTAGATCATTCAACTCGGCCTCCTCTTCATCCGTCATACCGCCGGGCAGGGGTTGACGAGGCACGTCTTGCATTTGTACGGAGGGAACAGGTTGAGTGTGTCTGAGGTTGTCGATGACGGCAGCCTTGATCTTCTCGAGGTATTCGAAGCTGTTCGAGTTCTCCATATTCGAGGGGCGAACGTTCAACTCGAAGTCGGGAGCATAGTACTGTGAAAGAGTCAGTGACAGTACAGTAATACAGGTCGAGAAGCTTACTTCGTAGTATTCGTTGTAAGGAAGCGTCCGGGGCAGGTGCTTGCCTACGAGAACACCCGTCTCGTATGCCCATGTGCGGGCAACGTTGCGCATGGTGTATCCACCTCCACCGAGAACAAGAGTCGGGAGACCGAAGCTCTTGACGTATCCGACGCAGTTGGCGTGGCCCTCCATACTGAGGTTGAAGCAGCCCAGGCGATCTCCACTAAGACTGTCGCCACCGCATTGCAGAACGACGGCCTCGGGCTGGTAGAACTTCATGACATGCTCGATGACGGGCTCGAAGATGGACTTGTAAGAGTTGTCGTCGATGCCGTCGCGGAGGGGAAAGTTGACGGCGTAGTACTTGCCGGTGCCAATGCCGATGTCGCGCAGCTCACCGGTACCAGGGAAGTACTCGCCATACTTGTGGAAAGACACGGTCATGACACGGTCGGTCGTATAGAAGGCCTCCTCGACACCATCACCGTGGTGGACGTCGATGTCAATGTAGAGCACGCGCTTCTTGAATCGCAGGAGTTCGAGAATACCGAGGACAATGTCTGTGGACTGTTAGCTGAGGAACAAAACCGAGAGCGCCATGCGTCGGTCATTACCGTTGACGTAGCAGAAACCACTGGCTTCGCTCTTCTTGGCGTGATGGAGACCACCAGCCCAGTTGACGGCAATGTCGCACTTTTGACGATTGAGGCGAGCCGCTCCTTCCATGCTGCCGCCCGCGCTGATGCCGCAGAACTCAAACAGGCCATCAAAGACGGGACAGTCGTCACCGACGTTGTATTTGCCTTGCTCCTTCTGGTAGGCGTCCATGTTGTCGGGGGTGACCTTCTGAAGGAAATCGATGTACTCGTCTGTGTGGAACTGGGTCATTTCGCCCCTAGTCGCGGGCTTCGCGCGCTGTGAATGATGGGTTAGCAGCTATCGTACCATTTTCGCCGGTTCCAGACGCACGTAAATCTCCATGTTCTTGAACAAGTCATAGTGCATGATCAAACTGTGCGCAAGGCGAATGCGGTGCGGCTTCATGGGGTGGCCGGTAACGTAGGCATAGTTGCCAATGTCGGAGTCGTAGAAGTAGGCGACCTTCTTTGGCGACGACGAGGAGCCATTGGCCAGGGCCACCGATCCGAGAGGTGACATGGCGTCGGTCGTGATGCTCGTGGTCGTTGGTATGCGGATTATTCGATCGTATGCTGTGTTGGAAATTTGGTGATTGAAATTTGGTAGTGGGAGGGAAGGAAGCCCAGGAAAAGGTGCAGGCTGAGCGCGTGGAAGCTCTGATCGGCTCGGCCCCAGATCCTCCCAAGGCTGGTGGGTGGACGGAAAAAGTCAGGCCAATCGACGACCTGGATGACAGGCCAGGGGTGCAGGCTGCTGCAGGAGCATTTTGTCCAATCAAAAGTGTGTAAATCGGAGAGCTGCGGATCGGTCAAACCGTCATTCCGGCCGGCCGTGTTGTCTGATTCGCTAGAAACTCTTTAGCTGGGCGACCCAATGAACGTGGCCTGTGGAGCACCAGCAACGCGGTGCCGATAGAGGGGCAGCAGCACTGGGCCTTACATCATCATCAACACCTGTCCAGCTAGGTAGGAAGAACAAGTAATATGCAACAAGGCTCAAGTCGTTAGTTTACATCTAGATCTCAAATTTGTGAAAATAGTTTTCTTGAATTTCTTAGTGCATCAATGGTAGTTTCTTGCCCCTCGCGCTTATGCTGCACAATCAGGATACTGCCGGATTGCATCCCAGAGTCTTCCTGGAGGAAAGCGGTGTGACAGCTGAGGACTCCAGCCACATGCCTGAATGCAGCAGATGTGTGGCTTGCCGTCGCCTGACAGCCCGGCTCCCTTCGCAAAACACATCAGATCTATTACCAGCAACCAGCAGAGAGGATAAAACATTAAAAACAACAATTAAAAAAAATGAAAGTCGCTCATAGAAGGATATCTTAAGGAAGTAGAAAAAAATCAAATTTTCAACTCCTTGCGCAAAGATGGAAGGAACGGCGCAAGCCCACGTGACTGTTTGTCAGCTAGAAACAGTACGTACCGGACCGGGCTAGCTCCGCCGGGTCCTTTTTCGCCAGGCTGCTCAGAGCTGTCGTCAACAACTCACGAACCAACTGCTTCCATTCGACTCCATCGCCTCGCCCTCCCTCCACTACCACCGCGAACTATTTCCTCCCGCCTCGCGATCCCTCCAATTCAACCATCCACAAGCTCTACCTTTCTGCACACATACAATCACGATGGAGCGTTTCCGCAACATGCTCCAGTCCCAAGGCTTGGGCGGCCTGGGCAGCCAGCCCGGAACGGTAAGTGCATTCCACCTTCGGGAGCTATCGTGACAGCTCCAGCGACAGCATTGTACCTGGCCAAATTCTGACTATTTCCCCTAGGACAACACCCAGCTTATCGACAACTCCGAGACGGTCTACATCTCATCCCTTGCCCTCTTGAAGATGCTGCGACACGGCCGCGCAGGTGTTCCTATGGAAGTCATGGGCCTGATGCTTGGAGAGTTCGTCGACGACTTCACGGTGCGCGTGGTGGATGTTTTCGCCATGCCTCAGAGCGGTACCGGTGTTAGTGTAGAGGCTGTTGACCCTGTCTTCCAAATGAAGATGATGGACATGTTGAGACAAACCGGAAGGTGCGAGCCCCTCTCACGTATTCCCCGCCGCGTCGCTGACAAGCAAACAAAAGACCCGAAGCCGTCGTTGGCTGGTACCATTCCCATCCCGGTTTCGGCTGCTGGCTCTCGTCAGTCGATATCAACACTCAACAGTCCTTCGAGCAGCTGACCCCTCGAGCCGTCGCCGTCGTCGTCGATCCCATCCAATCCGTCAAGGGCAAGGTCGTAATCGACGCCTTCCGCCTCATTAACCCCCAGTCTCTTATGCTCGGCCAGGAGCCGAGACAGAGCACAAGTAACCTGGGTCACCTCAACAAGCCCTCGATCCAAGCCCTTATCCACGGCCTGAACAGACATTACTACTCGATCGGCATCAACTACCGCAAGACGGCGCTGGAGGAGAACATGTTGATGAACCTGCACAAGCACGTTTGGACCGAGGCGTTGGAGATGGACGACTTCAGACTCGAGGGCGACTGCAACAAGGAGCGTTTGGAGCGTCTTGTCAGCCTTGCCGAGGGCTACGAGAAGCGCGTCAAGGAGGAGACGGAGCTCACAAAGGACCAGCTCAAGACCCGCTACGTGGGCAAGCTGGACCCCAAGAAGCACTTGGAGGACGTCGGCCAGCAGCTGATCGAGGACAACATCGTTTCCGTCTCGAGACAGATGATCGACAAGGAGGCGACCATGCCCAAAAAGGACGGACCGGCGGGTGCCAAGGGCCAATCAAACGGCGATTCAATGGACGTAGAGGAGGAGTTGTGAATGAAGCAGGGTCACGTTTGAAGACTGGTCCTAGGGTGGGATACCAGGACTTTGCCAACACTGTACGATTAGGCGTTTGGGTGGCCGGGAACGCAACGACTAGAGATCCCACCGGGCATAAGACGAACGTTTTTTCTACCATACCCGGCTCTGTTCAGCTGGCACATGTTTCTGGTGGTTCTGGTCACTAATTCTAGGAAACAATGCATATGCGACCGACTGATGCAGATTTCTTTGTTTATTCACAGAGACATTGTCTACACTCTGCGGGTAGACGATCCAGAACACCCCAGAAAACAAGAAGAACTAGGACTTTTGTTTCTGGACATTTCCCTGGCTAGAGTTCGATTGAAAGGTGAGTGCCTTCTTTCCAACTACATATTGACGCGGAACCCAGCAGTGCGAGATGTCGAAACGAGTGGAAGCTAGGTTAAAAACAGCGAGCCTCCACCTATCGACACGAAGTGCTTGATTTTTATTGAGCCAGCATAGCTCTGGGAATTCAAGGCATGCAACGATCTGCACACAGACCTCGCTGGAGCTTTTTCTTTCGTTCTTCATATCGTCCTCGAGCCAGCGCCGACCTCCATAGTTCACCGGCATCCACCGTCAACAGGAATAGCTCGCAATATTGCGGGAACAAGCCTTTCAAAGTGCCCGCGAGGCCACCTTACTGGCGATACAAACGACTTCCGCCCCTCCCGTTACCCGAACCAGACTGCAGCTACGAGGCTTTCTTGATAAGTACTGGCGTACATGTTTCAGCCTCAGTTATGAACTCGGAATCAATCAATGGCTCCGACTACACCGCGGAATCTTTCCGACGCAATACTCTCCCCCGCATGTCACCGTCAACCATCCACGAAGTTCTCCATCGTATCGGCCAGACCTTCTCGCATGTCCAATATGCAGTCTGCGGCACCGCTGCTATGGCGGCCTACGGTTTCACAGATCGCCTCCCTACGCACGTCAACATCGTCAGCCCCTCTTCCACGAGGGATGTGATGATCCCATGGGCTGCATCCGGCGGCATGACTACGGATCTCTCGGAGCCCGACACCGTTGGGGTTACCGTCGACGGGGAGACCTGGAAGGTTTACTTCAACTACCTCGACATGGACGAAGACCACAGGTTTGAGCGGCTCGAGTCAGTGGGCATGGTGTTTGGTCACGGTGTTGCGACGAAGGTGTTGACGATGCCGGCCATCATCAACCACAACGCCCTCGCGTACATCGAGGATGAGATGTCGCGAAGCTGGCGCTATCGAAAGAGATTGGCTGACAACATCACCTGGTTGTTGGAAAGGATTTCCAAAGGTGACATGGAAGGGCACAGCCTCACACGGGCTAGGATCCCGTCGGTGAGGGATCCGACGTTCTGGTTAGTCTTCACGACGGCTCACCCAGAGGCTGCTGGCTTGTTCTACGATGCTGGGTTGAGACCCGAGGTGGAGGAACCTGGAAGTGAAGGTAGTGGTGGAGACTGGGGAGACTGGGAGCTGCGGGAGGAGGAGCCTGCAAGAGACTGTAATCATGGAGATTGGGAAGGTTGGGAAGAGGAAGAGCAGTGGAGGCCTGAGAGCTCGACGTCTTCGCATGCTCCGCTGCTCGCTCAAGAGGATGGATCGAGCTTGGAAAGCGAGCCGTCTCGACGAAACCCATCCTTCGCTCATTCACGAAACCATCATGGACATAGGAGTCGACCTCGCGCCCCTTCGAGACATGAGCCCAACCTGACCCGCGCTGAGGAGAGACGGGTGATAATGGACAGCCGACCCAGAAGCTCGGGCGAGAGGCGGTTTCCAAGGGTTTTCTCACTCAGCAGCGCTCTCGAGGATCTGCTCCATGGTAACTTCCGGCATGATTTTAGGAAATGATGGATGATTGTGGGTAGGTATTCTCTATTCGTCCAAAACTGTCAACGCTACCTCGGATCTCTCTGTCCGATGATTTTCTCTCGATATAAATGACTTTTACAAAGGAAATGTGAGTGATTTCCCTTCTATGTCTCTGCGCCTTTGACGCCTTTGAGCCGTCTATTCCCTGGGCTCTTTCGCCAATCGCTGGTATTACAAATGAAACCGTCCCCCAAATTCCAACCCATCATTGTCCTCGACCACCGTTGTCTTTGTCTTCTCTCCTACTGTCTTCCGTATCCATGCTGAGTGTACTGTTGCCCGTACGTCTGCTCGGGGTAGGTCGGTTGTCCATAGGCCTGCTGCTGCTGAGCATACCTCTGCTGTTGGCTGTACTGCTGCTGGACGTATCCCTGCTGCTGCTGCTGCTGCTGGTATTGCGCGTACACCTCAGGCTTGCGTCCCTGTCCGCCGACCTCCTGGATCTGCACGCTCTCGACGCTCTGCTCCTCGCACTGGCTGCGCAGCGGGGCAGGCATGGCGCCGCGGCGGACGCCGTTCTTCTTGAGGTAGCGGAAGTCGATCCAGGCGATGATGGTCGCGTAGCCGGCGATCATGCTGAGGAGGATGCCGATGACGACGACGACCCAGCCGATGGTGCAGCTCGTGCCGATGCAGGTCTGTTGGGTCTGGGACTGGATGCCCATGTAGACGACGGCGGCCCAGAAGACGATCTCCATGGCGTTGAGGATCAGGTTGGCCTTGAGGCTGGCCCAGCGGTTGAGGGAGGAGACGTGCTCGGTGAGGACTTGGTAGAGGATGATGGCGAGGGACTTTGCTGACTGGTTTGGCGTGTTAGTTGATGTCGTGGTGTGGGGAGTTGATGGAGAGAGGAGGAAGCTTACCATTCCGAGTGCCATCGTGCCTGATCTGCCTCTGGGTTTGTTCGGCATGAATATGCGGGCAACAGAGAGACTGAGGGCCGCTACTACCAGGAAGAGCTGGAGCATGTGGATGGGGAACTTGAGCCTGGTGGAGAAGAGTCCGGAGGAGAGGAGGCCCGACATTTTGAGGTTGATGATTTGTCGAGAAGGAACTAAGTGATTGTTGTTGGTTGTGGTCGTTGATGAAGGATACCAGGCTCGTCGGTTGATTGGAGAGTCAGGAATTGAAGCTTTGGTGATGGAGCTATCTGTGTCGTTGTTCCTGTTGTATTGTGTGGTATTGTGATGTTCTAAAAACTCGAGATATCAACGGAAACCCCATCGTCTATATACAAGAAAAGCCTCCGTCTCCCTTTCCACGTATACACGTATTCCTGAAGAAATTTGATACTTCATCTCCATACGGTCGGGCTGTTCACAATCTCCAGGGAAGCACAGCCGCAGCTTGCGGATTGTAAGACAACAGATACACGCCCGTAGTTCTCTCTCTGTCTCTGTCTCGGTCTCGGTTTTTGGGAGTCATGCAATTTTGTTAGTGCAATATTGCTGTGCACGCTGTCGAGCGATACCAGCGGCCTGGGCCTGGATAAGGTGCTCGACGTGATACACAGCCCCAAAAATGCGGCACCTTCGGTCTCGGTTTCCCACCGCACGACGACACAGCGCACTAACATTGAAGCATACGCGTATCCACCTAATAGAGTTATCCTTGGATGACAGCCGGCGGCTTTGCTTTACTCTTCATCTTTTTCTTTCCCATCCATCATCTCCATAATTTCCCGCGTTGTCCGATCCCCACAGGACGGCTGCCGTTCGCGCCAAGACGACTTGACACGCATCACCTTGGGTCCAGGCGCCCGGAATAGACCCTGGATCGGCCCTGTTTGAGGACCCGTTATCAGGGCTCTGGCGGCGCTTGATGGGAGTTGTCTGGCGAATCTGACGGGCCCTGGCGGGAGTCCAGAGTCTGCCTCTCTGCTTTCTCCCGGGCAGGGGTCGAAATGCGCCTTGCCACGATGTGGAGACTGAAAGCGAAGTGCAGGGTGCTAATGTGAGGTTGAGGCTCGGTTTCTCATTGACGACGGCGTTTTTCGAGGTTTGAAGGGCTTGAACGGGCTTGATAGTCGGAAACCTTCTTGTTGAGGAACCGGTTTGTTGGTTGAAAATCTCTTCCGGCTAAGCTTATCTGGTGGTGCTTTGCCACGATGGGTTGGCTTTGTCCATTGCGCCATCCGCGTTGTGAGATGACTGGCCGAGGGAGACCGAGCGATGTGTGAGAGACCTCCGTACGTAGTCTCTTGTCTCGCCTTGAGACTTTGATCCGTCAAAGTCTGTTGCTTTCGAATCCATCACCGGCTTCCTTCTTCATTACTCTTTGTGCCCTCGTCTTCCTCTACCACTCCAAGCCCTCTGCCGGCCTTCTTGTGCTGTTCGTAGTTTCAACTCTGCTGGTGGCCACCCATTGAAGGTTTTTTTCCTTATCTGGAAGATGAATGACTACACCGCTGATATCTTCTCTTGTCAGACTTGATGAAAAGACCTTCCTACCAACCCGGCCGGTCACCGGTGCGTCACGGACACCCGAACTTGCATGTCTCGTCGTCTCAATTCTTCAGCATGCATTCTCGAACCCTGATGGATCGATGAGAATACATCACCATTCGGTTGAGTCCGACTCGAAATGATGTCGTGGATATTGGTCTCAGAACCCGTATGGGTATTGAGGAATCTCCGGTTCCAGTCTACAAGTCATGTTCGCCGATCGTGGCCAAGTCTCTTGTCTCTTCATGGCGGATCATCCCCTTTACCACCTGGACTGATCGTCTCCTGCGACGTGTTTTCAGGAATACTCGGCTGACCTTTCGGATCCCAAACCAGAGCTCCGAAATAATCACCTCCTTCGCTCTGCCGATTACCCCTATCCGTATGCCTCCTCGGCGGCGGCGCCAACGGCGTCGGTACCTCCGGATCATGCCCCGGAGCCTCGAGCATCAGAAACTCGACGCCATCCTCCGTATCAACTCTCGTCAACGGTAACGTCATGGCCATAGCCTGCCTCAGTTGCTCTCTCGTTTCTCGAGCCTCGTCAACGTGTATCTTCGGCGGCGTCGCTACGTCCGCCGTATTTCTCGCGTAATCGGTCAACGTCCTCGGACTCTCTGGGTCTTCCAGCGCCTCATGCAACGTGGCTGACATTATACCCGATCGCCTCTTCTTCGACGTCGTTCCGCCCGATGACTGGGTGTACAGCTCGGTGTCGGCGCTGTCGTGGATACGTCGCTCCAAGTGTGTTCGTATCTTGACCGTCTGGCTGTGCGTGCCTAGCAGGGGCCGAAGAGTCGGTACACATACGCAGACGACCCCGCAGCATAGTTCGGTAAGAGACCAGACGCCAGCGATGACGGTGTTGTACGTCGGATCAGTTGATTGAGAAGACTGCTTTAGAGTGGTGAGTCGAACGACGGATATCGCGCACGTGCTGTTGACTGTTAGAGAATATTCCATACGAGAGTACCGTGACGCGCTCACAAGAAGCCAAGACCAAAAGTTGCCATCAGGATGAGTTTCTGCTTCATCGGTACGCCGAGTGTCCTCAGTAAAGGCACCGGCATGAAAAAGATGACGAGGTCGGTAATGAGGTTGATGGATGATCCAATGTACCACCACTCCAGAAGATGTATGCATTTCCCCTGGACAGTGAAGTCCCACAGGGCCCGAAGAGGAACGCAAGCGAAGCATAATGAGACCACTTGCGTGAATCCAAAGGTGAGTATGAAGATGGCGAACATATTGCACAGCTTCTTGAACGGCGGCAACGGGAAGACTCGGCGATATTGCAACAGAAACGTCGTCTTGATCAGTGGATATGCCTGGAAGATGGTCAGCAACGCTTCGAGATCCTCATTCGATTGCGCCTCACAACTTGGTATACGGCAACAGCGGCGATGGCTATCTCCTGTGTTTTCAGGTAGTCCGCGCGAGGGAGCGTGGCAGCGTGCCGTCCGTCCCCGTAATGCGTGTTGATGAGCATCAGAAGACCAGTGAGGAACACAAGAATCTGGCAAGCTTGTCAGCATGGAGCCATTCATTACATGTCACACCTCTATGGTGTCTTACATATGAAGCGACGAGCGCAGAGTCATCCGGTCCCCATCTTCTCAAGACGTATTTGCGGACATAGACCCTCAGCATCGTAGCGACTGTCGCCACAAACAAGGCCGTAACGGTGACCCCGATCACAAGAGGCGCCCTCGTCTCACTCGCGTCCACCGCAGGATCCTCCTCTGCCACCATTGCCAATATCAAATCATCGGTTGTTGCGGGATCCATCGTTTTTTACCCTGTTCCCTCCCCCGTCTCCCGAGCGGCGCCTTACCCACCGCGGGGCTCCAAAGTTTCCTTAAGACACCGACCCCTATGAATGAGGGTAAGAGGTTCGATTTCTTTTCGGCCTTGACATTTGGTAGAGCCGTGGGTCCTCGAGGTGCGACTTGGTTCATGACATCGCCGGGAGAAGTTCGAAAGCCGCGATGTGCTCCCGTCAACGAGGAACTTTTCGATGCAGAACCTTAGAAACGTTATATGGCAGGGGAAATTGGCTCCAAATAAGAGACTTCAGGAACAATCACATCGTATTCGCTGGTGAACATGCATCCCACGAGCGCTTTGGTATGCTCTGTGCTCGCACAACATAGAGTTGACGCTAGAGCAGGGTTGCTCATACCCCATCCCACGAGGTATCAAGGAGGATGCATGCATGTCTGGATGATCGTCTCGCGAGGCCATGACTCGAAGATCTCCGCGCTCCCAGTTAATCCCGTGAAGCGCACGCACTGATCACCGCTGCGCTGCGGTATCAACGCGTCTTTGGGACGCAAGGGTTTCAGCTGGTCTTGCTCATACCAAACATTGGAAAGAGTGCTGCTAATCTAGGACCGTTGGACACATGCAGGTAACATCCACTGCTAGCGGTGTCTGTCAGTGCACGAATTGGACTAGGTCGCCCGGCTTGGCCGAGTTTGTCCGGCTCGACCGGCTCCGAAGTCGTCCAAGTCATCAATATCAGCCTGCTGATTTCCGACGCCAGAGGTCAGCGTGTTTGGAAAAACATCAGGGGCATATGTACTTCTCGCTATTCTTCGCTGTATTTGCGTAATCGAAATGCACGACGGCGATGTTTTTAATCGAAGGATTCAGCCTTTTTCTAGTCGTTTGTTGGGTGTTTCGTGTGCAGAGTCTATCTCCAACTTGAGTTGAATGGCGCCGAGATCCATCCCACCATCGCCGGTGCTGTATTGGGGTTTTCGTCCGTTCACCGACGGGATGAAAAATGGAATGATCAACTGTTTGAGCATCTCCGGAAAGTAAGGCGCCCTCCCGACTGCCGACTATCATTTCGGACATCGGCCTGAGCTCAGTAGGTGGTCATTGACATCAGACGTCGAAGCTTGTTTGAGTCAGATTGATAGTCTTTTTACTTTCGGTCAAGTCGGTCGACAAGTCCTGTTTTGGGGGTTTGATGCAGGGGATTGGTTGTATTAGAACTCCTCATGTGATTGATATCTTTGACGAAAATTCGTGTTTGAAAAAACCATCCATCACCTTAGATGCTGCGCTCTACATCAAGGTCCTTCTAAGTTATCACACACTCTATGAAATTAATCTAAACATACTCAATCGGTAAATGGTGGGCTTTGTATCTTGATCAAGTGCTGAAGTGCCTGATGGACCGCTGGATTTGATATGTGTTGGCGACTTTGAAGCGAGTTACGTGTGTTTCTGACTGGAGACTCAAGCCACTCAACAAGCGGCCGCATTCTCCGATAGCATGTTTTTCCGCAAGAAATTACAAGAAAGATGGTTAGAACCTGGACGGGTGAGTTAAATTCAACAAGTCATTTTTCCAGGCGCAAGTTGAACTCAATATCACCTTCAAGTTTGCCAGTCGGAGATGACTCACATATCAGCCGCTGTATAAAACGCCTGGTCGCGCCACCAATCCAGCCCGAGAGGCATCCACTGCCTGCAAACAAACCCAAATACCTCACAATGTCTGTTTTTCATTCGAAGTACAAGTACGACTCTGAAGGCCGGTTTATCTGGCCTTCATTATCTCGGACCATCGACCCTCATAATCCCCCGCCGTGGCTTGTCCGCAGACACGAGAACTCGCAACAGAGTATTTGTTCACTGCCAGAAGAAGTGCTGCTGACAGTTTTGCACTTCTTGCCGGACGAGGACTTGTACGTTGCGCGCCATGCGTGTCATCTCTTCTCCAGACTGTTCGAGGACTTCACATTTCAAGGCCTCAAGGGACGCTGCGGCTCTCGCCAAGAAGTCAGCGCTTGGTCACGGATGCCTGTTCAGCTGAAAGCACCATCTCTGATTGCTAGGTTCCTCAACCTCGCTCCTCCGCAGCTTCTGGACAGCAACTATGTCGGTCACTTGCTTTTACCGTTTCGATTTATTGACGTTACATCATCGTACGATCCTCGCTTCGTTCGATCATTACCATATCGAGCAGAAGTGGCTCCTCGGGCCGTGAGAGGGCGACTTTCTGAGCGATGGCTCTGCCCCGCATGTCTTTCTGGAAAGAAAGACGCACGGTATAAATCCCTTTTCTGGGACCAATTTCGTTCGCAACACTGCTCACCCTGTCGATTTGAACACCCTCGGATGTGGTTCTCACCGGGACAGAAGTCCGAACAAAGCCGCTCAGGCAGTTGTATTGCTCATGAAGGCACGATTCGATTGTGCGTTCACAAGGAATACACTTGGGCTGATATCCTGCACTGGGTATCATCGATACAAACCCAGAGACTAAACGTTCTCCCTGAAGGCAGATACGACAACAAGCTATTTGCGGAGTGTAGAGAATGTTTCAAAAGCTGCCCGCCAACAGAACAAACCATCAACCCGGGCTTCCGGCTGAGGCAACCCCATAATGACAGACGGGAAACGTTTTTGGAACTCGGGTGGAAGTTCCCGTTATTCAGGTTTCCAAAACAACATCCCCAGGCAGTAGTGACACCCGAGTATCTTCAGTCACGCTTCGACGCGTTCAAGCCCCGGTTCGAGTGGCTTCTCTGTCCCCACATCACGTTCCAGAGTGAGCGTCCAAATTCACTTTTGGACATGTTTTGGAGGCACGGAAAACGAAACGTAGATTGCCCAACTTGCCGCTTCAACTACAGCTTCGAAAGGAGGGGTAATTGCGTGTTCTTGAATGGCAGACTCACCGTATGGCAGAATATTCCATTGGAGCAAGCGATATTATATTGGAATTCCCAACGGGACTGTAATGAAACTGCCCTCAAGACATTCATTCCTCTGTTGGATCCAAAATCTTACCAAAAGGATGAAGAGACGCGCAACATTTTCTGGTGTGACACAGAGGGATGCTACAACAAAAGGCGGGATTTCAGGACTGATCGTGGCTTTAAAGAGAAGTACGACTATCCTTGGCGGCGATAGATTCGCCGCGGCTTTTGAGTGAGAGACGGCTTGTGGAGTGGTAATAGTTGCATTTCAACGAGACCCGTTTCTGTCATGGGCGTATTAAGAACATAATATTCTGTCCATATTTTGGGTAAACTGTGAAAACTCTTATAAGCTCATAGTAATATTCCTTCCCTGGTATGAAACGGTCGTGCTTTTTTATTTTTCATTTTAAATTCGCAACTGTAAAAGATAAACAGTGAGAAAATGTTTGATGGCCTTATGATAGCACCTCAGATTCTATTTTCGAGATCTTCATCGTGATAATGAGTGTACGTTCTGAGATAGTTGCTGTTTTGCATTTTCATGGTGATAAACATCTGTTGATGTCACTCCTTCGTAAGACAATCACACACTGCGTCTCTGTACGTGACAGTCACCCTTTACTAGCTAGTCTATAGACTGAGATTGCATTTTGTTACACTCAAACTAAATACCCACTCATCAATCCAAAATCTGGAACTAACGACGATTCAAACCCCTGTACAACAAATTTCTCTCAAGTAACGATCGCATGTGCTCTATCATAGCAGCTTCGGCCTCTTTTGCACGCTCCTGTAGCAACTCTTGGTCTTCTTCATCCAAAGGTTTGCGAGATACACATTGTTCGAAGTTGCTTTTGTGGAGCGACAGAAGCGTGCAGAGCTCGTCAGGTCTCTTGCCTCTTGATAGTGCTCGTGAGAAAATAGGTCTAAAGTCATCGTAAATGGCTTCCGCCACTTTACAAGCCTTCTTAGTCCATTTTTTGGACGCGGACTCCTCGCTTGGAGGGTGTCTGCACCATTTCACGTGGTCCAAGCAGTAGGCGTAACAATATTTAGTCTGAAAACTCCTTAGAAATGTCGAATTTGCCAGGAGCTTCGCTACTTTTTTCGCGTCGGCGCGATAGCTAGGCGTCCAGCCAGTTAACACGTCATCGACCAGAGAAATGGACCGGATATTCGCGCGATTGTGGGGACCAATGATGCTTAGCCAACTTAAAAGGCTGTCCATATCGGACAAGCCAAAGTCATTTGAGTACAAGAGGTGGACAGACTCTCGGTGAATGGCTTGGCAAGTTCTCAACATTGGACGATCTTCCCCGTCAACTTGACTTTTGTGTTGTCTGCCACGTGCTGTTCTCTTCCTGGGTGGCCGGCCGTCTGGGTCTCTAATACTTTTCGATTGTGTGAGCTTCGTCTGGCTTGCTGAGATAGGAGGAGGATAACTTTCACAACATACAGACAGGGTTGTCCATCAAGGCGATGGAGAATGAGCTTGTAGATCGCATTGCGCAGCTCCGGGGGCAGACGTCTGTTTTTCTGTAAGCCTAATCTCAGCATATGAATAGATAGGCAAGAGACTCACAGAAAAGGAAACCTTTCAGAAGTTGGTGTTGAGCGGTGGGCTTCAAACTTTGAACGAAATGTTGTTAATAAACCGAACGATTCCTCTTATCATTGGACCGAGGGAAGCTGGTCAAGCTTTTCTTCTTACTTTCATATTAGCTCCCGCGGCCTGTGAGGCGATGTCTTCCGCAGTTCGGTTATTGTGAATATTCAGGGATCTCTCCGATGGGATGTCGAGTTCATCTGTCCCCTTTGGCGGATATCGAGGCTCGTACGAGACCTTACTGGGAGCGGGTCGGTTTTGCTGAGTTTGAAGCGACATTTGGATTTCGAAGTATGATGCAGGTCTGGGAATGACTGCTTGATTTCTGGAGCAAAAAAGGTGCCTTTTTTCACAATATGAATGGGGGCGGCTGTCAGAAGGCAGCAGTCCAAGCGGGGCTGTGGCTCAACTTCACACATCAAGGTTGCTCTTCCTGCGGTACCTTGACACTAGGTTCAATTTCACACACCAGCTGTGGCTGGATCCAAAATAACATTGTCTGAGGGGAATAGGTAAACTGTTTTGCCCAGAATTTGTCCGCCCTTATTATCCAATAAACATCATGAGGCCGGATTGCCGTAGTTGACCATCTCTAAAACTAACCTAAACTCCCATGCGCAGCAAAAGTTGCATGTGGTCAACAACTGCATCTTCAGCGTCCTTCAATTCGGTTGCATTCAATGAGATTAAAGGCCAGCCTTGAGGCGTCCACCAATCTGTGTCCTCGAAGTTCCCTCGGTGGACTTGAATCAATCTGCAAGCCTCGCTGACGGACTTTCCGCGGGAAATGGCTTGTCGTAAAATAGGGCGGAAGTCGTTGTACACCATTTCCGCAATAACCCGTGCAGTCCGGACCCAGTGTTCCGGGCTGTCGTTTCTCGGGACCGAGAGACCCTGGTTTCGATACACTGTAGTGTATCGAAACTGCATTTTCAAGGGCTCGAGATGTTGTGAATTGGCAAGCATCGCAGCAACCTTCCTCGACGCGTACCTGTGAACACACTGATTTCCCAGTTTGAGTTTGGGGCCTCTTGGCTTCAGGTTGAACGAAGCAGCTTGAATATGGTGAAGGAATGTAATGCCGCGTAGGTGAACTGCGTTACGGCCGATAGCGCGGAGCCATTGTGCGAGATCCTGCATCGTATCCAGTGCGAAACCGTTGGAGTAGAGCATGGCACTCGCATCGGCATGCACAGTCTTGCATGTACGAAGGAGGGAGCCGAAGACGGGCTTTCTCTTTGGTCTGTTCGAGTATTGTCGCAGCAACTGCTTGTCACCGACAAGGGTTTCGCCGATGTTGATTGAGGTCTCGCGCACCAGGGCGTCGTGGTATATCTCGTTGCGGATTTCAGGAGGAAGCGATCTACAAATCAGTGGTAAGACTACATGTATGCTCTGCAGCTAGACCAAATAGTGAAGACTTACAAAAAGGATAACGATTTCTTGTTGTCGCTGACCTTGGCCTTCTGAGAATGAGATTAGTGAATGTTCATACGGATAGCAATGGACCAAAGGCCGATGCAGTGGGAGAGCGGTCTAGGCGAATAAGTCATGCAAGTGATGACCGAGGCATCTGCGTACCTTGCTATGTGGTTCCGAGGGGCCATGCGTCCTACTGGAGCTAACATTCGCTGGTCTTTTGCGCTTGAGTTTCTTCGCTCGTGATCCGGAAGCCATGTTGGGATGCCAAATCGCACTTGTTCGGTATTGTCAGAAGACCCAGGAGTAGAAGTTCGTGTTGTAAAGCCAGAGGGAGTCAAACCCTTGTCATCACTACAAGAAAAGCTCAAGTGACTAAGTATTTGCGTTGGGAAGATACAAGAAGGCTCCAGTAGCCAGGAGATTCCTCATACTTCAGCAAGTTGCCCCGAGAAGATTTCACCGGCGACGCTCCCAATGATATTACCATTCGAAAGCGATATCCCTTTCAGTCATAGAGACTGCTTTCCATCCAGATAAAGACACATTGTCCCACTGCAATGCATCGCAGCTGATGGTGCCTTTGAAAGACCTACAGTCGTTTCCAGCAAACACCAGGTACCCTCTGCCTGTCTCATCTCTTTCAGAGGCAGCGTCTGTTTCGCTACTCGACGCAACAGTGGGTCGTGCATTTACCCTTCCCTTCCACTGGAACCAAAACTTTGGCGAACGGAAGCTGTTCTTCTCGAAGTTTTCAAATCTCTGTCTCTCCTTGCACTCCTCAGTCTCCGAGGTTTCATCTCTGGGGTTTTCCTCTAGGTCATTCCCGTCTTCATTGGAACTCGACGTGGTGTTTTCGATGGCTAGAATTTCGTCGTCGATGTCGTCTTCTTGTTTCGATGTTTGTCGTGCCTCGCTCTCAAGGCTAAGTATCAATTGTTGAAGAGTCTTTCGGCTCCCTGTCAAGACGATGCTGACATCTAGGAAATCAGGTAAGTACAGCCGTCCAAGCAAACCGCGGCCGTCGTCTGATAGTCGAAAGATATCCATAGTTGGTTCTAGAGCCTTCTTCTTCTTGTCAGATGGGCTGCCGCCTGCTTGAGATTTTTGTGCCTTTGAACACTTGATTTCATATTTGCCGAATGTTGTTTTAGCGTCGAAAGCTCCTCTGCCTCGTCGGCCCGCGCCGGCTTTGGATGAGCTGACTCGATTGTGGACATGCCTGGATGTAAAGGCTGATTCTTGCCAGTCATCCATGTTTGAGTGCTTGGGAATATAGGAGAAGTTTTCCGGTCGAAAGGATGTTGCGAGATGAGATAAGTGAGCTTGCTTTGTACGGAATGTGTTGTATCAAGTTGGGTTCCAATGTCCATAGCCTGGAGAATAGAAGAACATAAGTCTTGACGTCATCGATCTCTGAGGCGTCTTTCGGGTGAGAGCATCAAACCCGCAACTACTACATAGTAAGACAGTGGTCGCATTGGGCCAATACACCAGGTTTTCTCCATTTCAATCTGAATGAGAGGCTAACATTTCTATATTACCTGCTCCTTCACCGCTCACTAAACAATATCAACATATGTGTGGATAGCAGCTTCTGGTAGAACGATCGCATGTGGTTATGTTTTTGGATACGTATTACTGAGTGAGAAAAAGAAAAGAAAGTGTCTTCACCTCGAGAAAAGGTGAGGACATCGCTAGCCACAAACAAAAAATTGTATCACGCAACACCTTGAGGAATAACTTTCCACACATAGGACACACAACCGCAATTGCCCAGTGCTCAAGCAATCATGCTAGTTCATACTAGACCAGAACCTTTGGGTACAATAACTTTATCTGCTTTCCCTATCTCCATTATCTCATATAACGCCGACATATCATCAAACATCTAGAGAATACTGAGTTAAGTCTCAATCCACGTCGCATTCCACCTCACGATATCTCATCACGACTTTCTGACATCGACTCAGATCCCAACACTCCAGAGGCAAAGATCATCTCATTATTTTCTTTCTTCGAAACTTAAATCTCCTCCACTACAAGCCTATCACAGAAATGGCGAACGAACAGAGCTGGACGTCTCGATTGTTTGATTGGTGGATCGAAATGGAAGAGGAACGCATCATGCATGAAGCGCACTACAGACTGTGCAGGTGGTTGATTCTATCACACAAACCAGCCTTCGTGCGACAAATGAGACGGATAGACGCCATAATGCCGGACTCCATGCGCATCACGAGCAACTTGCAAGACGGCATGAGTGACAGGTTCTGCGTGGACGGCGTCATCAGCCTTGTCGTCATCGGCCTTGGCTTCTACATGATGTTGTCAGCCGCCACGTTCGATCCATGTCCCCGTGTCACCGTCAAGAACGCCTGCGTTTTTCCCATTCTCGCCCTAGGCGTATGGTGGTTGCTGGCCGTGGGGGCTCGGTGGCAAATGGAGGCAGATATTGCGCGCAACAGGATAGAAGAAGGTATGTGAAAGAACAGCTCACCACATGTGAAACCGCGTAAGCGGTATAGCTAACCATATTTTGTTGACTAGTTCATGAAGGTTCCAGGCCAAGCGAAAATAGGATGAGTGCCACCGCAAAAACTTCGTAGGATTGTCGTCACAAAAGTAATACATCGGCGAAGAGAATGAGAGCATAAGCGGCCCCCAACTGGTCAAGAAAGTCAAGATCAAAGCCTGGGCGTTCAATTCTATGGAAGAACAGTACGCTTAGTGACGGCGATGTATGTGTCTGTATAGAATTTGGCTGGACCAGGTGAGCTGGTGGAGATCGGAAGACCCCCGGGTCCCAACAGATATGTACCGTCTTACACGGCCAAATCGACAAAATGATTGAGCCTTACTGGCCAGAACCTGCATTTTTCATGGTCTTGTAGACTTTGACCAACCTCCTGAAAGACTCCTTCGGCGCCCAAGGAGGCATCGCCGTGTACCTCTCATCACCTTCCGGCCACGTCTTGACCAGTGAAAAGGACATCATGTCCAGATTTCGTGCACCCTCGCCGGCACGGAATGTCGGGAACGAAAAGACGTACACGAAGGCGCCATCGACAGCAGCGTCCGTGAGTAGCCCGAGCTGCGTCTCAATGTAATCAGCTTGTTCCGTCTCCGAATAGGTCAACACGACCCCGTCCGCAAAGTTTCCAGTACCATCGGGATTCGTTCCCTCCAGGAGCATGAAGCCGCCTGCGCCGCGAGCCGCCGCACCCTCGTATGCGCAGCAACCGAACTCCATGACGAACACCGGTTTACCCTGTTGATATTTTGTCAAACCGTCGACGTATTCTGTCGACGTATTCTGTCTCCGTCTCGCTTTCTCGGTAGTAGTCGACACCGACGATGTCAAAGGGAATCAACTCAATTGTTCCCAGCTCCCTGCCGAGTACGTCACCCGGCCGTGGAAGATGGGACATACAACGTCCAGAAACGACCGAAGCACGTCATTGAGCTTCGCGGAGCGCTCGCCCAACGCGGCGAGCTGCTCCTTACTACCTCGGCCCATGGTGGCCATCCAGCCAACGCGCTCCATAAGAGTCTTGCCTGGGAAGATACCCTCGTTGAAGATTGTAAACTCGCACTGCGTAACAAATACAATATCCAAGCCCTCCATCCGAAGATCTTCTGCAGCCTGCGCGGCTTCGGCGAGGTCAAGTTGTATCTCTTGGGCTGGCGAATGCATCTTCCACGGATTGAAAAGAACAGTGAGCCCCAAGGCATGAGCGGCACGAGCAGCGGTGACGAGACGAGAGATGGATTCGCCCTCGATGCGGACAGCATTGGCCTGAAGCTCGTTGGAAATCACGCGCATGTCGTGTTCCACGAGGTTGGCGTTGAAGGGCTCAACCGAAGGGGTGTTGGGTTCGAAGTGAAGGCCCACATCGTAAACGACACCGCGATATTTCATTGTGGGCGGAAGAGGAAATAATGCCTAGGAAGTTGGCGGTAGGGAGATATTCGGAGGCGTTTATAATGACAGTCTTAAAACGGACAACTATCGTGGACGTTTAAAGATGGGCATATATACTAAATTATGTCTTTCTCGGTGACGGAAAACTAGAGGTCCGCGGCCGCACGCCGTCTCCGCACTCACCGTCAACGTCCTGTCAGACAAGACTATCCAAGTATAGACATGTCGGTTACAAGGAATGCATATCCTGAGTATACATCGTTCCGATCATCATAGTCATTATCATCGCGGATTGATCAATATATATGCACTCATTCAAACATCCCCCATGTCGACTGTTCCATACACACTTTTGTGACCAGAATTAATAGTAAACCTCGACCGTCCTAATGATTTAACAAACACATAGCAGTGTAACGTGGTTGGATCATTTGCAACCGCGCATTTCTCTACCAAAGTGGTGAGGCCACCATTTTATGGTTGTATTATCACATTACGCATTTCTCAGCAGACAGAAAGCTCACTCGTCTCATTTGTCTTTTGTAGTTGTAACGCTGACTACACATTCACCGCGCTTTTTGGCTCTCTGCCCAAGTCTTTGAACACAATCACAAAGGGTGGAAGTCTTGCTTGTCCTGTGTAAAGCCTATGTCCTGAATATCCTCATCTATACGCAGACTTATGTATATGAGTATCCAGATTCGTGAGGGCCTATCCGAACAGGTATATGACAATACCGTTTACATCCCATATATTTGCATATTCCATGTTGTCACACCTCACACCCAAGGCCCACAGGCCCTACAATCACTGACAGTCTGCGTTGCCCACCCCGGTGCAGCATGTCAAGGTCGCGGTGCCCATGCCACCGCAAGTGAACCGGAATGGCGCCCTGCAAATCTCTCCATTCCTGAACTGCCTGCACTCGGCTGATACAAGTGAAGGCCCAAAGAAGACCGCAGTGGCGACAATGATGCTGAGTACTTTCATGGTGGAGGCTTTGTCGAATCGGGTCCATCAGCATCAGGTACAGCTTGTCGTGGCAGGATACTCACATCGATTGTTGAGTTGTCTGGGAGTCTTGATAAGCTCTTGAGTGATTTGAGAGATTGGAATGAGCGAAGAGTGCAGTGATTGATCCTTTACTCCATTCGAAGAGGATGAAGACGACCTTAAATGCTTCAACGTCAAGCCCAAGAGGATTGGCGTCGTCTCTCTCGGGTTCGCTTTCTCGCCTTCAAATGTAACAAATGACAATTCAAAACAAGGCCGAGGAAACTGACTCAACAGAATTAATGAAGCTTGAACCTAATTTTTGATTAGGTAGACGCACTCAGGACGACCTCTGCCATCCATTATCAAACTTGAAGATCTCACAAGTGGGCAAACTTCTTAGTGGTATATTTCAAAACTAATCTCAGAGGACAGATCTGTCATCTGAACTTTTGTGAACTCTTTCTTTTCCCAACTTCGAACCTTTTACATCAGCTGGTGCAAATGTTGAGGCTTGTTCTCGAATGTCTCTGGATCTAAGCCAACTAACAAATACCCATGAAAGACCGGTCGCCGCAATGAGTGAGCCAAGAAAGCACCGCCCGCCGGGGACAAAACTACGGTAATTTAGGGGTGACTGTCGCTTCCCGCTTCTTCCGCGGTCTCCACGGCCGGCGCGGAAAACACGGCCGGGGCGGCCTCCGGGCTCGCGTGGACAAGCCGTTGCTCTTGCCGATAGTCCTGAGCCCTGAGGAGAGCGGCATCAAGCGTGTCCCAATCCTAAGCAAAGCCTGCTCGCATGTAATCAGTATGACATCTTTGTAAATAGCATCTCACTTCATGCACTTCGTACCGTTCCACGCATTCGCAACATCCGCAGCACTTTCCACAACACCGATCACAACACCTGTCGCAACACCGGTCGCAGCATCTGTCACAACACCGGTCACAGCATCTATCGCACGCTCTGTCGCAGAGACGGTCGCAGCAGCGATCGAACCAGCACCAACTCTCCCATAAGTCGGAGAGCCAGGACCCGTCATAGTTGGCTTGAGCTTTCGTCGTTCCAGGCTGATTCAGCCGTGTCCATGCCAAAAGTGGACGAGAATCGGAGTCTTGGGATCTATTCGTGGCCCTGGGGTGGGCCGTCATTGGCGATGCGGGGAGTGGTTGGGTTCGTTGAAAGCTTGTGAGCTCTGTTTCTGTCAGAGGACGAGGCCCATGCCTGGATGCTTCGGGTGCCTGGAGCCCTATGCGATAAGCAAGATGCTCACTGCTCATATTGTGTTTACAATATCGCTTTACAATATCGCTTGTCGTCAAGGAGATCTCATTTTCAAATGAGTGAGAGACATAGGCATGACCTTTAAGCATTTCACTCTGCAGTGTCCTTGTTGTCATTTTTAGAATAACATCGCGTTCCATGCCCGAGACTGAGAAAATACCAGTATTAGCGACTGTTCTATAGGTGCGAGCATCATTGAATCCAGTTCAAAGTATGAATTTCGCTGAGATCCCGGTATCAAATTCAACTGAGGCCTACCTTACGTGTTCGTGTTCAATCAATATCATAAATGTTATGAAACCAGGCCAGCAATCAACAAATGCCGAATACAACGCTGCGGCCACGGTTGTACGTTTTGATCATTTAAAGGAGATTAATTCTGGTTCAACATAAATGCGATTGGATATTTTTCATGGCTAGTAGAAATGAAAGCTGGGTGAAGCTTACTGATGCTTGTCGGTTACCTATGTAGCCTCGACGCACTCCAGTGAGTCGGAGGTATCCGAGTTTGCTCCAATTACGTTACACGAGCGCTCCTCACATGGCAATCTCAGAAACCGCTTACCTCCAATTACAAACAAAATCGATACCACGTTTAGTAACGGATGCTTTTCGTAAGGCTCTCTGACTAACATCAAAGAACCTGATGTCTCAGTGAGTGTCTGGTTACTTCTTCATGTGATGAAGTGAATATCACAAAGTCCTACTCTAAGTACCGGATAAGTGTACTGATAACTGACATACTAAATCTTGAACTTACAGCTTTCATCTTGATATGAAGGACTCTTTTCTAGGCATATCATGCAGAGCAGACATGCATCACCACATTGTTCTTAACTAAGCAAACTTTTTCAACTTGTTGTAAACGTAAATATTACTCTAGTTGACTTAAAAACTGTTAAGAGCAAGGAAGACCATAATTCTTGCAGCGGCTGGTATGTATCAACGAGTTTGCGGATTTCCGAATTTGCGGCCAAGGATCTTCAGTGTAGATCTCCGACTGGCGAAGTCCTGCCATATCGACTGATTCTCTCTCCTTTTCAAATGATGCGGATTTTGCAAAATCTTCACTGGCAACTCATTAACCCCGTTCGTTCCGTAAAGTCCGTGATTACATGTTAAGCCCGTGTAGTTAAGACTCAAAATAGTGGTGCTCAAATGTTCGAAAATCGGGTCCATGTATCAACATCATGCCCTGCCTTACTAATCCCAAAAGAGTGACAGGGCGACGCGATGCTGCAACTTCACGTAGCGAGTAGGAACTTGCAACTTTTGAAACTAGTCAGAGGGGATCTCTGTGTCCAGAACTATCAACCTTAAAAGCAACCTCTGCATCACTTTTGCTTGTACTCTCAACCTCCAATCCCCATAAATCGCCAACAGAATCGGCCTTCAGTCCAATCGAAGTCGGCTGGCCTTCAACTCCATCATGCAGCCCTTCAAATACTCGCTTCCCAAAAACGGTACTGTCACCGGCGCACACTGCATCCCCCCATCTCAAGTTTCTCCTGCGGAATACCGGCCCTTGATCGTCGCCTTACACGGCGGAGGCTATGACCACCAGTACTTTGATGCAACCCCAAGAAACACAGCTTCTTTGACGAGTACTGCTTACGGTGTGCCGTTCGTGTCGATCGATCGACCATCATACGGCGGAACAAGTTGCGTCCTGCCCATTCCAGAGGGCTCGAAATTCCCCCAAGAGACCGCCCGCTTGCTTCACAACTACATCTTGCCAAAGCTCTGGACCGAGATCGGTTTGCCCAATCACTGCAACTCCATCGTCCTGCTATGTCACAGCCTTGGGGTGATGTCCGGCATCGTGACTGCTGGTCTCCATGCCCAGGACGCAGCACCAGCCTACCCGTTGAGCGGTCTCATTGCGAGCGGCATGGGCGACAAGCAATCCACGTTCATGAAGAACACCCCGCCATTCTTTTCACTGGTGGATGAGAACCACGCTTCGATGCCGATAGAGGCTAAGGATACTGTCATGTTCAAACCCGGGACCGTTACGCAAGAAGTCCTTGATCAGAGCAAGCGCCTCGATTCCCCTATGCCGATTGCAGAATCGGCCTTATTTGCTTCCGAATGGCTTCCGGTGTGGAAGGAGAAGTGGGCGCCGCTCGTCAAAGCACCCGTCATGTTCTCCTTGGTGGAAGATGATCCGTTCTTCGTGGCTACGAAGGAGGAGGTGGAAGTGTGCGTCAGGGCGTTTTCAAACAGCAGTCGGGTTGATGGGAGTTTCCTTCTGGGTGCGCCTCATTGCGTGGAGCTGAGTCACTGGTCCCAAGGTTGGTACGCCAGATGCTTCGGATTTGCTTTGGAGTGCGCGGCTACCCTTGGTGTCTCTCAGCAACTGGTACAGAAGGAGTAGAATTGTGCCAACTACGACTTGGTCTTGCTAGTAGCGTGACGGCCTCGTTCAAAAGTCGAGTCATCAGAGTTGTTCCCGGCAATTGATCACCATCGGGATGATATCCCATCAGCACAGATTCAACCTCAAAAGTTGATGTTTCGACAAAAAGAAAGATCTGTTAAATGAACTCATTCCGTTTCTGTGCCACCTCTCGGAATACGTGTCTTTCCAATGTCGTCCAAGTATCTTGCTCTGCGTTTCATCAGCACAAACCCATATAAGCTGCTCATTCTGGCGGTACGATTATTAGAACGGAGAAGCTATCGTTTTGAAGCCATGGAGCTACGCTGACTTCGGTGAACAGCATTTGTCTGGCATCGCGAAAAGTGACGTCATAGGGCCAAACTGCTTCGAAACCATTTCTCCAATCCCAACATGAAGCCTTTTGGCACGGAAACTCAGCTGGGTCGGAAGCTTCAAAAAGCTTAAAAAAAAAAAAAAGAAAAAAAAAAGTCATTGACATCTCCTTGATGCTTCTAATGCTTTCACTAACAAGAGTCGGGCAGAAGAAAGAGTCTCTCATACCTCAACCACCGCCGTCTCGCAGACACCCCGATTCCTGATCGCCAGTCATGTTTAAGCACGGAAAATACAGGCTCAAGAGAAGCTGAGCTGCCAATTAAGGCGTCGAAGCTTCTCCAATTTCTGCGACGCCAAAGTTAGGCCAAAGAGAGTCTAGACGATTCCAAGCACAAAGTCAAGTTCAGTTCGGCCCCGTCAAACAATGACAAGAACCACCGGATCGAAGCCAAAGCCAACGGGTCCCACGATCTGGCGGGCTTAGCCGGCTACAACGTCGCGCCCACAAGCGCTAAGAGAGCAGCAGCAGCAAGTCTCGGCCGGGCTGTCCCCGGACCGTCAATGCACCTGTTACATCAGAGTCGCACAAAATGATAGAAGAAGAGGCGAGAAGGGACTGAAGGTCTAGATCACCGAGGAATGAAATAACCTGCTTCCAACCCCTGTTCCCTTGAGCTCCCCGCATTTTGGACAGCACCTGAGCCCCTCCATCGAGTGTGACGTCAAGGGGCTGCGTGAGACCGCCGAGAGAATGACTGAACATGGCCAATCACAACCGCCCAACACAAGCCGGGATTTCCTGTTTTCACGGGAGAGTCGTCACTGGAGGCCAGAGCTCCAGACGATGTCATAAAGCTGATGCAGCCCCAGATCCGTGAGCGCAGCACCGAAAACCTTCCCTCGAATCCTCACGACTGAATACTGCACTGCATACAAACGAGCGACGTCTGGTTTGAAAATACCACGGAAAGACTAGAATAAACAACCACCAAGACAATCTTCACAATGGGCGACGAAAACGAGCCGAAGCAGGGAACCATCTTCTCCCGCAACAAGGAAGACACCATCGAAGCCGAGACGCTCCTCTGGCGCGCCATGTGCGACAACAAGCCCAAGGCCCTCCGCAAGTACCTCGACAAGGACGCCGTCCTCTCCCACCCGGGCGACAAGGTCTACTCGCCGAAATCGAAGCCGACGCTCCAAGAGCACCTCGACGACTGGGAGCCCTGGACGGCGTACCGCATGCAGGACGACCCCGAGTTCGTCGAGATCGACATGATGAGCTCGAGTCTCGTCTACAAGGTCACCGCCTGGCGCCAGAAGGGCAAGAAGCTCGTCGCGACCGAGGGCATCTGCAACAGCGTCTGGAAGCAGGAGCCCGGCGGCGAGTGGACTTGCTGCTGCCACCACATGAGTCTCATCTGAACATGACGGATATCAATGATTGATGCGACCGATTGGATTGTCGGCATTAGAGGGTGCATAGGGGCATGGACGCGTATGCGGGTTGGAAACACTGGCGAGGCGTTATGTAAGATTAGGGTAACGACGTGGTTCGCAGGGAAACGTCTATTTGGTGCAGCTACATAGCGTGCAATTCTTTCTTTTCACTAATGGAATTTATCTTCATACATGATTAAAGTACCTGGATTTCTGCCGATGAATGTGAACTTTGAAAACCGACATATCGGCACGGGCTCTTGAGGGCTGGAGCCAGATCGCCGCGCCCCTTGCTGGAAGGCCTACATCCACCAATTGCGCGCAACGTCATCGTCGCGACTGTGCGGCAACATCGCAGTGTTTCACTAGAAGTATTAGACCAGACTCAGGTGAGAGAATTCTGAGATGAGTGCAGATTTCCTCTCAGACTGGCGGATGTTAAGGGCCCAGAAGTATCCTTTACATAAGTTGTGGCCCGATTCTGGTGTTATCGCCCGCTTTTTGAGTTCTGGAAACTTAAATCGAGCAGTCGGGAGTCTCAAGCTTGAGTTGACGACGATCCTTATGAGATTTCGATACCAGAATTTAAGTACACACATCATTGAGAAATGGCATACGAAAGACACCAGCATTCTGATGATCTAAGAACGTGCCGTGCCGCTGGATCTGTAGATTGTGGCTTTAGCAATGGAAACAGCAGTCCTAATTACTTAACATGTAGATGAGCAAGTACATCTCGACGGGCTCACAAGCTACAAGCCTTGAGAACAGCTAAACAACATTTTGAGTCATAACTCAAGCAGTTAACGAACCAAGTGTGATCTCATACAGGCTATAATACTATGCTGCCGCATTGAAGTCAAGTGCCCATGGTTATGACCCTAATGAGTCGCTGGAGTTTCGCCGGGAGCTCAGACTTCATGAGTTCAGAACCTACGACAGGATTATGAGAGCATGGTAGCTTGGCGCATGATCATTCCGACCTATCATCATGATGAATCCAAGTGGCGTGGTCAAGTGCAGGCATTGAGAGTTGTGAATATAGATATAGACTGATAATCTCGATGGGATGGGCCAGAACATCCTATATCATGAGCAAACAGACCATATTAGACTCAGGAGTGATAATAAATGGATCGATATCCCTAGACCGATGTGATACGTATCAGTTGAATCGGTAAAGTGAGAGGTTGAAACTGGACCTGGCAACCTACACCGCATTTAAGAATGAGGAGGACTCGAATGTCGGGCTGAGACACAATTGACTGGACTCATACTCAGTGGATCTGGTGACGCAGACGTAATAGAGGATTCTTCACACAATCAGACTTGGTGTGCCAACATGGCGTGGGCTGGGGACAATGACCGCATATGGCTAGCTATGGATGAGAGAGGCTTTCACAAGCTGGCCGGATCAAGTACATAGGGGCTCACAGAACGGAAACATGGAGTTGATGTAGTGGGCTTGATGGATAGGCAGAGAACGGCTCAACAAGGGAGATGGGCCAGGACTAGACACATTTGGAGGTATCAGACAGGACCGAATGGCAAACATGTGGAGGAATCAGAATGAACCCAAAGCAAACATCACAAGAAGCAGTCACAAGAAGAAGTTTGCGTCTCCAGTCCACTTGGACCTAGCATCCTCGAATGAGGAAGTTCCCAGGCAACACCGCGGGGAGGTTTGGAGTCCGACTTCGTTGCCCAAAGAAATAGTGATAAGGCTCACCGGGGCCATAGCGGAAAGAGAAGGTGGGGAGAAAAGCCTTCACAGCAGGCGGGACTGAAGAGAGAAAAGAGGGTGGGGAGAAAAGCCTTCACAGCAGGCGGGACTGAAGAGAGAGAAGAGGTGGGGAGAAAAGCCTTCACAGCAGGCGGAGCTGAAGAGAGAGAAGGGGGTGGGGAGAAAAGCCTTCACAGCAGGCGAGACTGAAGAGAGAGAAGGGGGTGGGGAGAAAAGCCTTCACAGCAGGCGGAGCTGAAGAGAGAGAAGGGGAGAAAAGCAGAAAACAACTAAGTAGAAAAATAGATGGCAGTACTGACCTTTTTTTTTTTTTTTTTGGATTTTGGGGTTTTGCTGTTTTTTTGGTGTTTTGGTTAGTAAGAGAGGGGGGGAAGAGAAGAGAGGAGAGAGAGAAGAGAGGAGGAGAGAGAGAGGAGAGGAGGAGGGAGGGAGAGAAGAGAGGAGGAGGAGGAGGGTAAGTTAAGAACGCGCAAAGGGATTCTGGTTCCCCTTGCGGTTCTTGTGAGGAGGAGGAGCTGAGGCCATCTCGACGTCGCCATCGGCGTCGAGACGATCGCGCCTCTTGTTCCTCTTGTTAGAAGAACGCTGGTTGCGGTTGTTATTGCGGTAAGAAGAAGTAGAGGGGTTGCGGAAAGAAGAAGGAGGAGGATTGCGGTTAGAAGAAGTAGAGGAGTTGCGGAAAGAAGAAGGAGGATGATTGCGGTTAGAAGAAGTAGAGGAGTTGCGGAAAGAAGAAGAAGGGGAATTGCGGTTAGAAGAAGGATGGGGTTTGCGGAAAGAAGAAGGGGGAGGAGAGTTAGTAACACGAGCACGCTTACGCGAGTCGCGAGGTCCATCCCCTCTACCACGCTTGTTGGTAGCAGGGGGCTGAACTGGGAGCTCCTCATCGAGCTCCATTGGATCACCGCTTTCACGAGCAAGTCGCTCCGTGGTGAAAGGGTTAGTAGAAGGAGGATGAGAGATAGAGAAGGATGAGAGAGGAGGAGAGAGAGAGAGAGCGGAAGGGAGAGAGGGGGGGAGAGAGAGGAGAGAGGAGAGAGGAGAAGGGTTAGAAGGAACAGCAACAGCGGGCGGCTGAAGCTGGATTTCAGGCTCTGGCTGCCACTCCATCTCCTCGGGATAGGAGACGGGGAACCAGTTAGCCGGGGAAGCGTGGTAAGTGCGATAGTCAGACATCTTGTTGACGTGAGAAGTTGTTGAATTGGTGAGTAGTGTTGATAACGTGTTTGAATCTTGCAAACGGTGAAAGCTGTGTAGTCGATCTGTCGAAAAAAACCTGAGAAAAGAGAAAAGGGAAAAAGAAGGGCGGGAGGGCATCCCTTTTATCTAAGTGAGGACCTCTATAACTTCCCATCTCCGGTTGATCTCAGGCGTGATGAAGGTTTGATCGTGACTTTTCAGAAGTGGGCGAAGAAGCCGGGAAGGTTCATAAAATAGACAATATGGCGCCTCCAGCTAGAAAACTGGGGGGTTTTCACCTTGACGAGAGATGAAGACCGGGAAAATTGAGAAGTATAAGGGCTGATGTTGTAAGTCGTGTAAGTCGTGAAAATTTCTTCACTTACGAGGGATGAGAACCGGGAAAGTTTAGCATGAGAACCAAAGGTTTCCACCAATTGTAAAAGTATAGGTAGTATACGGTTTGCGCATGATAGAGTAGCCCAGGTAGTCAGTCCTCAAGTAAGCAGCAACAAGTCCGTTCTTGTTCTCTCTACCACAGCTTGTCTTTTCACGCGACATTGGAAGAGGGAACTGCGTAGGATATATCCATAAATCCTACTTGTACATCATCTCTCGGCCATCGGAAGTTGATATCAGCAGCGACACTTCTCAAACATCACCGGGAGGTGGCCGCTTGGAGAAAAAACAACACAGTTCAACTAAAGTCGGGCTGGTGTACTGGACAGCTGGAAAGTACCCACGAGGCTTTGAGGCTGACGATAAAATAAACTATCCACAACGCCGGCAGATCGTTGCCTAGCCGTTGGAATTCAGGGTCCAATGTGCCATGCAGTGGGGCAGGCCATCAATGGCCTCCTGGTGGCGGGAACACAGACCGGGACTCTTGAGCTTTCCCGGGACTTTTCCCCGGGAACATGAGAATCTCGACATCGAATGCAGCATCAGGAAACAATTAATTACGGGCAATGATCATTTGTGATCTCACATACGAAGAATTCACTCAGCTTCGTCAACTGATTCGGCGTCTGTCAGTCCTCACTTGATGTCTATGAACGACAATCTATGGGCTTCCATGGAATTGAGTTCAAGCCCAGTCCCGGGCGGCCCATAAAGTCGCATTGTGGCGGTTATCTCTGGGGCCAGGGGTAAGATCTTAATCTACAAATGCAATTCTCTGCGCAATACAATGCAGATCTTATCAATCTGGCCACGAGGGTTCCCTGAACCGACGTTCTCCAAGTTGCCAGTAGGACTGTCACTGCTCCAGTCTCGCATATTCAAACTTGCAGTGAATCACCACCAAAAGACCCAGATGCTGGCTAGTTTGGAGTATCTTCGAGCCCTTTTTCTGTGCTTGGCCAGAAGACGCTTGCATGGCGATTTGGATCCCATGAATGGTAGGCAGCTAGGGCGGAGTGAAGATGATACATGTGTGGCGGTCCAATACTGAGCCTTGGGAGCACAAGGTACGAAAAAACGGGTTTCTGCCTCAAATTTCTCTCGAACTTTGTCAAATGAAAAGCTTGATCTCGCAATACGCATATTTGGTCAGTCAAGGCCCGTCCAGAGGCAAGCATTTGGGTACTGCTGAAGCAAAATTCTTTCCCTTTCTGTAGACTTCTGGCGCGGCACAACGCAAACTTCGAGAGGAGATTTACGAATGAGTAAGAACACTCTCAGAAGCCTCTCATCAATGGCAAGCGCAGAGACACCATGAGGCAAGAGGTAGACGGCCTACCCATTACGATTGATACTCCTTCTTCAGTCACAGCAGATGGCGAGAGTCCTGTGTGAAAAACATATGTGTGCAAATATGGAAATATGCCTAAATACATGCCAGTATTAAGTATGCAACAATCTGTACCAACAGCAATCTCAAGTACCGGCATGACGACAGACTAGACCGGCCGGTTGCTGTGCTTCGTTGTCAAGCCCCAGGCGCCTTGGCTGCTCCAGCTCCCCCAGCATTCACTTTATCAACGATGAACTTGACAGCATCATCTCCGTTTCTCCGTACGTATCCAAGGTGGACCTGGATGTTCGATCCGCCGTCGCAGAATGGGTCGCCGGTGTCGCAAAAGGAAGTCATCTTGTTGGCAACGGCGGCGCATGCGGCGTTATCTTGTCTAGGGAATACCTGTATTTGCTTTGTGAGCCAGATGATACTCGATCCATGGTAATTCTTGGAGTATCTTACCCCGTCCCTTTGGCTCGTGCCAGTGTTGAAGGGTTGTCCGTTAACGTGACTTGGGTCGCCCATCAATACAACCGCAGAGACTGTATCCTGTGTCAGCCGACTTCTGCCTCCGGTATACCAGAAACTACGCACTCTTATCTGTGACGTCTGCGGCTTGAGGCGGCGTCGCATCGAACCCAGACTCGCTGGTGCCGCAAAGAACATCAACCGTTACGTGAGCTCCCTATCATCACCGTCAGCGTCGACGTCTTTGACAGTATCTAAAGCTCACATACTTGCGAGTATCCCATCAAGACCATCTTCGTTTGTGGACACTGCTTGGCGTAGTCCTGCACCAGCTTCGTCATGGCCGTGACACCAGCCCTCTGAGAGGGGTTGTAGGGGTTGAGCTGGGCCGGGTAGTCGACGGCCACGATGTCGGACCCCGGGATCTGGGCTTGGACCCGATCCGCAACGGACCCGATGATCCCCGTGCCGGGCTGCTCGGTGCTGGCCCGGGCGACAATCATGTGCACGCCCGTCGCACAGCCGGCTGCCTGCCGTTGTACGATGGGACTGCCGGCGCCCTGCAAGGCGCCAAGAAAGCCTAAAGCGACGGCGGGTGAAGGCACCATCTTTTTGTCAAGAAACGTGTGGTCGGAAAACGGGTCGGGCAGAAAACGAACACGAGAAAAGGTTCGCAGACGTTGGCAGATGTTACGCTGGCGTTGAACACTACCTCGGACAGATGAAGATCGAGGAGATGGGATGAGGGACGGCCTCTACTTATACGCAAGTTGCGATGGCAGCCGTCAGCTCTAAAGCAGAGCCACCAATCTTCGTCGTCGAGCCCTCATCGTTGCGGGTTTTCGTCCAGCCGAGGTGATTTTACCTCAATTGACCTCGTTTGCGACGGGAAATGCAAGGGCTTTCGCACAGTCCATTGGCCGTGTGGCTGGAAATCACAGAGCTTGCGAGGAATGCTGCCCACAGAGGCCTCGAGACGATGGGGTCATCCCAGGCCTCAAGCCGAACCCAATCTGGAAGAGGAAGCGAACTTCCAAACAAGCTCCCGGGTTCTCGGCCGATAATGTTAAAGTGTTATGGAGAGCGATGGAGTTGCGGGCAGCACAGTTGGTCTCAGCTTGTCGTGTTTCACTTGGAGTCGCCAATCATAGCTGAGAGTTCGGTTTTTCGAGACCTTGGAAATTCCCAGCGAGAGGGAGAATAAAGACCAAAAGACAAAACGGACGGCGGATGATCGGCTTCATGGTTCGTTGGCCCGCTCCATCGCTAAGCTCGTGGATCACGGTTCCGGGTGATGCGACTGGCCGGCCCCCTTGACGATGATGCACATGGTCTGTTGTATGGGTCGACGGGAACCAGATCAATACTGGGATTGGCCTCCGACAGAAGACATATCTTCGGAGAGGCTTGGCAGATGGAAATGCGATTGGTTGAAGTCGATCATCATCGCGCGGCAGACCACGTTGTGTTCGTCCCAGCTGCCACATTAAACACATCTCAATTGATACTGATCTAAACTTCAAAGCACTGTAGTACACCTAGGGCGCCTCGGGCGAAAGTTCCTCTATTTGTGTTGGGTCAGCTTCCCTATGAGTGAGAAAAAATCTCTTGGTCGTTTTGAAAGCACTTCGATCTATTGCATCGATTTGGGCAGGGAGGGAGCAGAAAACGACAATCTTCTCTCGTTATTGCCTTCCAACGGCCGTCAGCGCACGGTAACCCCCATTAGCGTGGGTGTTTGTTTTTGAATTCGAGTTACCAACTCCATGACCTCGCTATCTAAAAGAAGGTGAATTGCTGCCACTCATGACGTTCAACACCCTCGACAACTTCACCATCCATTTGCCCATGAACGTAACACTCGCCGATGATCTCCAATCCTTTTTCCACACTTCGAATTACCAGTGGCAAACTAAGACCTGCAACGACAACAATGAAATCGCCAGTCTTCGCGGACCTGGGGACAATACACATGTTTCCCTTGGAGTCCGTTGCGAAGCGCCGGAAGGTAAATATACAGCGTAGATTCAGTATTTCAAGATACTCCAAGTATGAACTGGGAATATCAGGGGGTGCTCGATCTCGATCGGATCTAAGCCATTCCGGGAACTCAACGAGGGCATCCGAGTAGGTATCTCCCAAACGGGTCCATGATCGGGTACTATCAATGGCCAGTGTTCTCCACAAGGCTTTCCAGTCCAACCTCGCCGCAGTACATGTACCTATGGAGATGTTCTTCACCAAGGTGATACATGCCTCGAAGTTTTCTCTCAGCTGCTGGAAGACTTCAACTTCGTCAAGTCGACTGCGAAAGGCAGTCATGGCTGGCCCGTCCGTCAAGGAACTGATTGAGCTGACAGTCAGGCCGCTGACGTGTAGCGCTTCCTTTCCATCGTGAATACCAAGCTTGCAATCGCTCTTAACATCGCCAGCCGCGCGGAAAATAATTGACGGAATTTCGGTATTCTTCATCGTCCAGTCGGGAACCCAAGACGGGAGATCACGGGAGCGCTGATTGCTGCGGCCGGCCCAGCTCAATATGAACGTGTCCTGAGAAGTCAAAAAACGCTTCGCCAGATCAGTGTAGACCGCCGGAACGCTAATGTCGTAGCTCGGTTCAAGAAGGAGCTTGTCCAGGTCTGGATCTTTCGCAAGGTTCTGAACGCCGTAGATCCTGTCCCTGGGATCGGTCGCGCCGCAGTAAGTGCAGTCCCGCAAGATGTCGAGAAGAAGCGTCTCAATGTCGTCATAACGATAACTCTGAATCATCATAATGAGAATGGATGAAGCCATTGCATCGATGTGGAACGCGTCTTTGGCGAATCCAGTTCCGCTCGGTTTCTGATACGACCATACCAAACTAAATAACTGATTCCATGTGACGCATTTCGATCCGCAGGTCACTTTGGTCACGGCATTCACTGCCGCCTCCTGTTGAATCCAGACACGCGAGAACCATGGTCTGCACAGCAGGGCATCGACGTCTCCCTGTGGAACAGGTGGACGCTGGAAGGGATCCCCCTTCTCCCAGGTCCACGTATCGTTGTAGTCGACATAGGCTCTGTGCTCTGTCAAGGCTGAAGTGGGATCCAAGCTTCCTACGTAGTCCATGACTGCATCACTTCCATCCGCTGCCTCACCAAGCCAGACAAGAACACTCCTGGCTCGTGTGTAGATGTCTTTCATGAAGCGCACTTGATGATTGCGTTCAAGAGCGTCGTTCTGGTTTATGCAGATAGCATCGATCCAGATGGCTCTTGGCTCGTCACTGGAGACCAATGCTCTGAGTGCCACAGCAAGGTTCTTGCCCACTGACAATGAGGCAGATCCGACATTGATGATGAAACGCTCCATGGCGGTGCCCCAGGTGTATGAGAGTGCCTCAAAGGTGGGATTCTCATCGATTGAGACATGTTCGATAGTGCAGTTAATAGTCTCTCTGTTACTGGGATGGAGGTAGACCAGTCTTATCTGTCGAGACTCGAGTGTTTTGTACTGATATTCTTTCTTCGGTTGAGGATCCATGTTGATGCCTCGGTGTTATTGATACGTTGAGTGTACTTGTTGGAATAGGCGCATAACCTAGGAACTAGTAGCACGATGATTGCGTTTCGAATATGTGGTGATAGGCTTGTGTGGAGGTAAAGGGAAGATGAGTGAGGGATTGAGCAAGAAGGATGTGGACGGCTGAAAACTTTGGGAAACAATCTCAAAATGGCCTGTTACTAACCCCACGAGCAACCGCAGAAATGGGAAGCATAGACAAAGATGACGCATATGGATCCTGGCAACACTCGTATGGGCTTCTGGGAGACAAGAATATGAACGAAGGTGAAGACCATGTAGATAATCCCATGAGTCCTCCACGGTGTAACCGGGGCGTCATACAACACGTATATACGTTCAATAGCTTATACGTTCCATGCAATGTCAGCATGATTAATCGCTGCACCCCAGCACACCTGCAGCTAGATACGTGGAATTCTTGATGCCTAATAAAAGTGAGGCTGTCCGAACTGGGTGCCTGGCCGCCTTGCTCTGCCTTCTTGGCGGTAAGCTACTTGGATGACAAAGAGAACGAAGCAGTAGCGTTTCGACGCAAAGACCATCGTAGTAGACGATTTCTGTAGATTTGTCGAAATTATCGTCGGTCCAACGGCGCCCAGATCCGATGTTTGTCTCCTCCCACGTATATCATTCTCCAACAGGATGGACGTATGGATTCGCCCCTTCGGTGCGCAGCGGGTGCGTAAAATTGTCCTTGGCATTGCTATCCAATATTGAAAGCCCGTCGAAGACGCTTCAGCCTTCTAAACAATGCTCATTACGTTGTGCCACGACAACATGCGTATTGCACTTTCATGCAGCTCAATTCCGGTGAGACTTGAGGCTTAAGAATATGCTAAGTGATGTTCCAGCTATCCAGTGATGAATGGCTGATGGCTACTTTCGAGTGTGGTGGTGGTGGGGAGGAGTTGGAAGATGCATAATAGTGAGGCGAACGCCGAGTGAGCAGGCTACCAATTACAGGCTGTAGACGCGCACCATTCTGATCTTTTCTGTGTTTAATTATGTTGAAGGTACACGTAGCAGCGTATCAAGCGGGGTATGAGAGAGCCTGCATCGGCGTACATGCAGCCTCAATTCTTCACCTTGAGCATATCCGCGACCCTCTATCATTAGTATAAAAAGTAACTAAGGAAGACCGATCCAAAAAAATGGATTTAGCATGAAATAAACTTCAAGAGACACCTATCACATACTTGTTTCCAAAAACCCAAAAGCACCCGTATGTCTCAGCTTCATGACTTGATCTTTCTGAGCTAATGACTAGGTTTGGGATTTCAGTCAAAATGTCAAGCAGCAGTGACTTCGACCCTCTTGACTATCTGACACCTCCTAATTACAACAACAGGATGTCTTGGAGTGGGAATACTATCAACATCGTGCAACCGCCAGCGCCTGACTATTCCAGCGATGCCAGCAGGACGAGTCAGTCGAGTCGCGGAAGCAGTAGTAGCAGCGGAAGCAGCAGCAGCAGCGGAAGCAGCAGCAGCAGCGGAAGCAGCAGTGGGCGTTGAAAAGAACGGCAGTGTTTGAATGCGAAGCTCAAACCAACGCCTCAATGGTCAACCCACGAGACAAATACAAAACCTAAGGGGCGATTTACCTTGAATGCCTTTGCCTGTGGAACGTAGTGACGAAGAATCCTTTCCCTAAGTTCGACAGGCCATGAGTATCGGGCTCATGCCGTTGCAATACCCGCCGCTATAAGGCCGGGCAAGCCAGGTGAGGTGGGTGAGCTGGGTGAGCTACGCATTTCTGCAGTAAGGCGAGGTAGGACACAAAACAGGATCATGGCCCCACCCATTCTTTCACCTCGTTGTACTCATCCATCCAGCACAACTTCCCTCCTACACAACTCCCGACCGGCACCCACTGTTAGTGCCGCGCAGGGAGCACCACTCAGCCCCTAACACTCTCATATCTAGACCTCAGCACCAGTCCCCTCGCCCGCGATGGCTTCAGAGCCACTTGCGGGCGCCGCTCCAGCCCTCACAGGGCTCGCTTCCTCCTTCTTCAATTCCCCTACCCCATTCGCCCCCTCCCCCTCCCCCTCACCCCCTTTACGCCCTACCGTCGATGCCCCCTCGCGCCCGTCGTTACACCCTGGTCGAGATCTCCGGCTCCGCTGGAGCAATATACTGCCGCCCGATACCGCTCCAAACGCACCCCTTAGCCTTGCGTCCTTTACTTTAAATCATTCCCTCTTCCTCACCCTAAAAACCACACTAGGCCTTATGTTACAACTTAAAAGCAGCAACTCTGAGGTGAGCAACTGAGGGAGGCAATTGCACCTGAGCGAAAGAGTGAGGTGCTACTAGGCGGGGGTTATATCTGTATAGGTGCGCTTTAGATCGTGGAGAAGCAATTCTCAATCCTGTATCAGTCTAGTCTCTTAGTGTCTGCACATCAAGACCCTGGTTCCAGAATCCGTTGCGAAAATTTCACATTACTGACTCATCAATGAGATCTCTCTGGTTGGCTTTTCTAAGTGAGCCTCAAGGCAGTTAAGGTTCTGCTCTCAGTCCAAGTACGCTGCCATCTGAACCCTGATGTCCGGCGATGCCACGCTTCTCAGCTCATTTCTTCCCATCACGGGATGAACATTCTGCCTCTCTTACACATCTTTATACTCTCTAGAGTCTACGCACGGGTTGTTGAGAACAGCGGCTGATCTGCTAGACCGTCTCATCATCTTCCCGAATTTCCACTTCAAGATCATTAACATTCCAACAAATACGACACTCCACCTACTCCGGCGAATAGCATTAGCTCGGCTCAACTTAAGACCATGAGGCAACTAACTTACATGAAGATGAGACAAGTGTTCTCATGGAGCATTCACTCCTTTGAAAAGGTAGATTTACTCTACGCGCCAACAGCGTCATACACACAAGGCAAATTGCCAGTCCTCACGTAACTGAGTTTGAAACAGATATTGAGGCTGATTTCGTGCGACAAATTTTCTGCAAATGCCTCCGCAAAATCGTAATTGATGAAGGTGAATGTAGGATGTGATGTGGCATTGGTGGCTCGCGAGTCGTCACTCATCTTTCGCGCCAGGTAGGACGGCTGATGAGCCGGAAAAGAGACTATTCTGCCTAGACCTCGCTGCGGTTATTAGGTTTTGGAGAAATTTATCGTGGTGCTGGCCACCACGAGTTCATAGCGGTGGTGAGTTGGTGAGTGAGTGAGTGAGTGAGTGAGAAGAGGAAGCCGACTTCGTCAAACGCTTGTCAGGATCGTCACAGCAGATCATGACAAGCCACTTAGCCGAGTACAGCGCAAATATTTACGTTGAACTATCAAGTGAATCGAACTCTTGAAATGAGGAACTATCTCGGAATTCCATGAGCCAGGCTGTGGTCTCATGTGCTCAGAAACTCTGAAGCTCACCAAGAACGATGACGTAATTGTGCCGCCACACCCGGACCAACCTTACATGCATATGAGCATCGACGATCTCGTCTTGACGTCTTGACAATGTCATGCTTTCAACACTAGTCTAAAGAATCCACGATTATATCATCAAATAACATTGACATGCGATTTCAACATCTGAATCATGGCAGCACACGCACCGCCAGAATATAGAGACAACGAAGTCGAGCTCGAGTCTCTTGCCGACCCTCAAACTTTCGAGCATCCGGACTCTCCGCTCCCGCTTCTCGAGGATTCCACCAGATCAAGAAGTCCAACACCCGACGCAACCATGGATATGGCGCCAAAATGGATGAATACGGCTCAGCCGTGGAGCCGAACTTTCTCTCAGAGACTCATCGCGCTGCTGAGGCCGAGACTCGCTGTAGGCTACATTATCTGGTCGCTCATTGGGCTGTACGTGCTCTACTGCATCATCGTTCGGTCGCCGCTCTTCGCATCCAAGTTGCCGAACTACTCTGGAAAATACGGCGTCGCGGCGATCGACGTCGAATTTCCCGTCCAGACACCCCGGAAAACGAGCGAGTCTGTCTTCAAGGACGGCAAGCCCGCATTCGGATTGGAGACGGTGCTCTTTACGCTCTACTACCCAGCAGCCAAAGGGGTGCGAGGGGACAGACCACGCCACCACTGGATTCCAAAGCCGGTCAGTCTGACGGCAGAAGGGTATGCGCGTGCCGCGCATTTCAATAACTTCATCTCACGACCGATCTTCACGTTTGCGCTGTGGGCCATAGCTGGTAGCATCACGATTCCGGCTGAGGTGGACGTCCCGCTTCTCCCTCTAGACGAGAGGGTGGATGAGAAGTTCCCGGTTGTGGTACTTTCGCATGGTCAAGCTAGTTCGAGGACGGACTACACTCACTATTGCGGTGAACTGGCCAGCTCTGGGGTCATGGTTGCTGCCGTGGAGCACCGAGATGGCAGTAGCCCCGGATCGATTGTCACCACTGAGGCCGGAGAGAGGAGGGTTATGTATCTGAATAAGAAGGAGCTCATCGGTGGTAAAGAGATGGAAGATGACGATTTCAAATTCGAGCAGCTTGCCTTCCGACAGGCGGAGATCGAAGAGACAATCGCCGTCTTGAAGACGCTAAACGCCGGGGAGGGGGCGGATGTCTTTGCCAGAAACGCCAGAAACGAAGGAAGAGACCTGCAGCAGTGGTCAAACCGGCTCAACTTCTCACAGACAGTGGTCGCGGGACACTCCCTCGGCGCGACGGGCGCGTTGCAGGTCCTCAAAGGCGCGACGTCGGAGCGCAACCCGGCCGTCGGCGGAATCATCCTCGACCCGGGCAAGAGCAGCGGACGGCTTAACACCGACATCGACGTCCCGATCCTCGTCGTGCACTCCGACTCGTGGTCGAAGAAGGTCTCGGTCTTCTTCGGCCGGCCGCACTTCGACACGGTCAGAGACATCGTCAAGGACGTGCTGAAGAGGGTCGGCTCGAGCTGGTTCCTGACGAGTCTGAAGACGAGCCATCCCAGTGTCACGGATGCGCCGCTGATCGAGCCTCTGCTGCTGCGGTGGACTACCGGGGCTACGATTAACGTCAACGAGGGCCTGAGGGAGTATGTGAGGGTTTCGATGGAGTTTCTTGACTTCTTGAGGAATGGGACTCGGGAGGGTATCCTGTCTGAGGGGGTGACGCATAAGGAGTATGGGGAGGATACGAGGACGGATGAGCAGAAGGCGAGGATGCCGAAGGAAACGACAAAGTACTGGCAGATCCATGTTGCGCCTCCTCGTGACGAGTCGGGTGGCAAGTAGAGCTTAGGCACGAAGAGGACGTAGCAATTCAGATGAACAGCGTATATGTAAGCAAACATTGAACCAGCCTGTCGGTGTATGTAAGGGTTGCAGTATATTCCGAACGTTCCGAGACATTGGTGAAGGGAAACCAAAACGACAACCGTAAGTGTCACAACAGGGTAGATGCATAGGTGGAAGAATCCGCTCTGAGATAACTTCACCGTCAACCAACCTGTCTCACCGCGTTTCCAAGAACACTTTACGCGTTCTCTCGCATATAGACCAATATGACATGTAACTCGTACAAAATAATTAACCCGACAGAAACAGCAAAGCGTCTTGGGAGAGAGAGCGGTCACGCTTCCTCACTTTCCCTCCATTTCTTTTCTCTCCCCAGCGTCGATCAGGGTTCATCGCCCCCGGGGAACGGCGGAAGCGGCGCCGGCCCCTGCAAGCCGAGCGACCCCCCCGTCCGCCGAATCCATTGGGCGCACGAAATGCAGTCGCCAGCGCGCAGGTCTTTACCGCCGTGAGGGCAAGGAATCCTTGACATCGTAGCCCATTGGGCGTGTGCGTGCCGTCCAGGGTGATGCGGTATCGTGCTAGGCTGCTTACGGTGTCCCTTGCAGTTGTGTGCTCGCTGCAGATGATAGATATCGACTGCTCAGTGGACTGGGTGAACCGGGACAACTTCCCATCCCATCCCATCTCACCACATGTGTGCGAATGCATGCACGTAGCAAGTTGGGTATGCATGTCGCCACCGCTCCGTCTCGATTCAACTTGGTCCGTTTTGGCAGGGCAGAGGTATATGCTGAGGCGCTATTGAAAGGCAACCTGTGTGTCTGGTTGCCTGGCTGAACTCTCAGCATCACATCAGACCATCAGTCCCAAGTCCGCAACACGCCTTCGCGCGTGGGTGAATCGAACGCATCGGGCTGCCCCGTTGTCAATTTATGTCTGTCTTGTCAACTATAATGAGTCAATGATTTGCTTTGCCCCCCCGTTCCATGCCATGATGCCCGTCCAATGCCGAGTGTTGCTGTGCCGCCACGCGCTGGTGCCATCTTACGCGCTAGATCGATGGATGTTCGATCTGCCCAATGTGTGTATGTGTATGGCTGCGCGGCGCTGCGATATGCTGAGAATGCCGTGACCCAAATGATTATCGGCGGAAAAAAAGAGAGCTCCATGGCCGTGTTTGCCCACCCGAAAAGTCCGACGGATTTCGTCCCTCAATTGACATCGTGCCAACTGCAAAATGACCAATGCTATGCCTCCCAATGAACCGTGTTATATAATGATAAAAAGAGAGCCCCAATGCTTGCTTGCTTCGATAATGCCCTTGCCATAAGCCATTTCGCGTATTGGGCTCTGACCTTGACCGACCGCGGCGCCGCGGAGGGCCGGGAACCATCCGATTGCTCGAAACCCCAAAAATCCCCTTGACCGGTCTATCAAACTCGGACGGGACCTGTTTTTTTCGAAGTAAAACGAGCGCGGCGCGGGAAACTTTTCCTTTCGCAAAAACAAATAACCAACTTTTTTCTTGCTTTTTCCTTCTCTCTTGTTCAACGTAGCCGCCGGTTATTGCAGATTTGTTGATTGCTGCCACTGCTGCTGCCGCCGCCGCCGATTCCTTGTGAAGATGAGTTGTCGTCGTCGTCGTCCATGTCGAGCATCAACGGGTCGACGTCCAGGTCCGTGACCACGCCGCGGCCCTTCCGGCTCTTGTCCGGGTTGGACTCGTGCCGGCCCCTCCGGCAGCCCGGCTTGTTGCCCATGGCGTAGCAACACCACCACCGGAAGGCCTCCGGGTGTCTGGCACGGATGTCTTCGGTGTCCAGATCGTACAGAGCCCTCTCCGCCGGCAGAAGGTCGATGACCGTCTCATCCATGAGCTCCATCTCGCCTGGCGAGTCATGGTCAGTTGAACCACCCCGAAAAAACAGCACCGACACAACAGTACTTGAGGATGGCTTACCTGTGTGATACGAGCAGGAACCGAACATGTTGTCGTCCTCGGTGAAGATGCCGTCGCACTGGACACATATTTTGGGATCCCCTGTCGCTTTCCTCTTCTTCGGACTTGGTGAATTCGAGATGGAGTTGTTTGGGCTTTTGAGCACGTCGTGCCCGCGGACGTCGGCTTCGAAACGCATGAGCCTGTCGAGTTGGCGCAGCGCCTGTGCCCGTACGTTCTGGTCTTCACAGAGCGCCACGAGGATGGATCTGGCGAGGGACCCCGGTGCTTCGGCGAGATGCTCGACTCCCGGATTCATGAGCGGCGGCGGTTCAACGGTCGTCGACGATGCGAAGTTCATGATTTTCTGGGGCCCGTTTCCGTTCGCCGTCCGTGTTGGTTTTGGACGTTTCTCCGGGGGAGAGAGTATTTGAGGCTCTCGGGATTTGGGGGGGGGATATTTCTGGGTTCTGGGTTCAGTCGCCGGAAGCCCTTCCCCGGATGTGTCAGCTCACGGATGCATTAGCAGGTAAAAGGTGTCTTCAAGGGGGGGTGGAGGCGGTTGGGGGATGGGATGGGATAGGATGGGATGCGGAAGGTCGGCCGAGTCCGAGGAGGGAAGGGAAAGCGGAATGGGAAACAGGAAGGGGGAATGCAACGGAGATGCGTGAGTGGTGGACTGGACTGGACTGGACTGGACGGGGGGACGGGAGCAACAAGAGGAGGAGACGTGGACGTTTGCCAGGCGAGAGAAGAGGTTCCGTCTACCGATATGCGACAGGAGATACGGGACTGTGGACGGGCGGTCCCTCTGGCCCTTTTCTGCCGGGCCGGCCTGGGGGCGAGACCAACAAAAGACTACTCGATGGGTCTTACGGGGACAACTGGACGGGGACTGGGACCGGGAATGGGACTGGGAAGGGGGAAGAAAAGCAGGCTCGCGGAGAGAGCTGGATGGATGGCTGGCTGAGGTGAGGTGACGAGACGAGACGAGACGAAATGGAGGGGAGGGGCCCGGCCGGGGGAGAGAATCACACATTTCCAGCGTTCCACGGTGGTAGCATGTGCATTGCCGGGAGACGGAGATGGTGGTGTGGACTGGATGACCGCGGGCCATATGAATGACCTCACGAAAAGAAGCGAGAGAGAATTGTGACCGCCCAGCAGCAGCAGCAGCGGCAGCAGCAACCGCCATGGACTCTTGCGGGGTGTGGTCATGGTGTGTGTGTCTGTCTGTCTTCTTTTTTCGCCGTGGTCAAGTCAGGGCTGTGATTGCTGCAAGGTGCCCGTTTGAGAAATGGGGGAAGGGATCCAGGGCCGACCCGTGACCATTCACGGATTTCTGTCATATTTTGCCAAAGGGAACAGAGAGGCTCCAAGAGACAGAAAAAAAAAATAAAAGCAGATGATCAGAGGCCGGTTCGTACGCCCAGCCTGACATGCCATGCCATGCCGTGGTCCTCCTCCCGGAACCCATCCGCGCCCCGGAACCGCCCATGCCAGGAAGGGGGAGGAGGCAAGGCAAGCCAGGCCGACCGACATGCGTGCTCTGCCGTGCCAATTCCATGTGTCTCGCAGATCGGATGAGTGGTGGTGATTCTGCCAGCAAATCACGGCTCTCGGGGTGCCACGATGGGCTCGTTATCGACTGGGGAAAATCTGCTGGTCCCTCGAAACCGGGGTGTGAATTTGGGCGCCGCGGCCCATTTCCTACCTCTCTGCAAGCTTCTTCCTCGCAGCTTATTGTGTCCGTCCAGTCCCGAAGAGTTGAATTGGGGCGACCGGCTGGCGGCCCCCCCAGAAAAGGGAACGAAGAAGGGTGTGTGTATGTGTGTGCATGGCGTCATGTACGACGGTGGAAATGCAGGCACCGATGTCTGCCGCGGCGTCAGTGTCGCAAACAAACTGGGGAGATTGGATGGAGGAGAGTGAGATTCGGGGTGGGAGAACGACAGATTGGTTAGGGCTGCCCTGCTTTGGAGGAACTGGATGGGGAAATAATTGGGAAACATGGATGGAATTGGGGGTTTTGGGGGGCGTGGCAAGGCGCGGAAGCGAGGCGCAAAGCGCGCGTAGCGACAATAAATCGAATTGGGCGGTTCATCCAGTCAAGGAAGAGGGAAAAAAAAGATCGGAGATCCAGTCCAGGGACGACTCAGTCACTCCGTCAATCAAGTTGTCCAGACCGATGTGAACCGGGGCGGAACTCCTCCTCCAACTTGACGCCAACAACGCCAATGCCAGATTGACGGCCAACGCCAGTGCCAGATGGGGGCCAATGTCCGTTGGGCAGATTCGATCATCCGGTTGACACCATCTCCGTCCGTCACGGGGTGACGAACTGTGTGTGGTCGACCGATTCCAAACATCGTCAACTACCTACTGCAGCTCAGACCGGTCTGGTTCATCACAACCCGTCCTTGGTCCATCACAATCGAGACCAGCCCAGTCCCGGCCACTCGGTCGACCGGCTTCTCCCCGAGATCTGGAAATGTATACAACCCATCCCATTCAGAGATTGGACGCGCCCACACCTGCGGGCCGATCCTGTCTTGGCTCCGTCCTTTAAATCAGCCCGGGTACGGGGTCCCGTTTGCTTCTTTGGCCCTCAATCGAACTGTTGGACCGGAAGCGATTCGTCAGTGAGCGAGAGGGCAGGGCTGGCCGGCCCTTGAACCTGGGACCAAAACAATGGGAGGAAGAAGAAAGCACACGAAGCGCCACACCGAGTTGTCCGAGGGCCATTCGGTGAGAGGCGTCGTCCCAATCGCGGAACCCGTCCCGTGCATTCATTCGCGACGGGGAGCCGCGTCTTGCCGTCTCAAGTAAGGCGTCTTGCTGGTTGGCACACTCGGTGAAGAGATGTAAGGATTCATCATGTCATTTCGAGAATGATTAGTGACGGAGACGACGACGACGACGACATCACTCTTTGTGACGAGCTTTGCCGAGCGGAAAGACCCCTGCGAGAGGGCGCCTGTCAACCGAGTGTTGCCGGTGATGACTCTGTGAAGATGCTTTCTTCATCGATGAGATTGATACTCATCGAGCCTGGAATGCTGGGAAGGATGGGATGGGGGGTTTCGCGGCGGTCTAGGTTGGTTTCACTCGGAGAAAATGTCTTCTTGGAGGGTGGTCTCGACGACACTGCGACGATGTCGCAGCGATATCCAGCTGAGTGGTTGATGTCACAGCCGTGGAGGGATCGAGGGAGGAAAGTGAAGCTGACAAGCGGCAGCTGGATCTGTCCGAATGATGACATCCGCGGCACATCAATACCACCTCGCCTGGTTTGTCTTTGCCTCATTATCAGATGGTAAGTTGAATACCCCGTCATCTCACGATGAACGCCTTATCACAGTCACCGGGTCCACTCATCACGCAGTAAACTCACTCACTCTCCCACCCGAAAACACCAAACTCTCCCTATCGAAGACGCTACCAACCAAACTGAGATCCGCCCATTTCAATCGCGCCCCTTTGAGTCGTGTCATTCATCTTCGTCGTCAGTTATCACAAAAACTAAGTCGACGCCTCTGGAAAACGCACCACTTGCTGCCACTGACGTTGAAAGTCTGCATCTGCACCGGCCCTCAAATGTCTTGGACCTGTCTCGCAGCCCACCTACGGCAATAAGGGAAGGGAGATTTTTTTTTTTCTATGCTTTTGTCAGCGGAGGCAGCCTGGGAATTGTCTCACCCAGCGTCGCCGTGTTTCCATACCAGCGGTACGCCGTCCCGCCCAGCCGTTGTTCTATTCGTCTGCGCCGACGTTAGTCCTTCCAATTGTCTTGCTCATCAACCAACTCGGCCCTTTCATCTTCACCGCCTTCAGTGTAATGGAATGTCGGACGTTCAAGATGAGGCGGACTTGGGTTCCGTCTCATTGCAGCGTACCAGATATTGAAAATGAAGGCGACCGGACATCGAATCATATCTAGATCTCATGTTACACAAGATCCAGCAAAGAACCTTTGTGTAACGTGAGATTTGGCGTCGCAAATCCCTGGAGAGACAAAGCCGCGCCTTCTTCCCTCACTTACACCCTCACTCAAGCACTCACTCACTCACTCATCCACTCATTACGACCCAGCCCAATCGCATCGTCACCACCAAACCCTCCTCTTAAGACAGTGAGGCCGTAATCCCGACCCCATTCTCCGAATACCTGGAATCAAGCTGTCTCAAGGCACACACTCGACAGCAAGGGTTCCCCAGTGCTACCGTACCCAGTGAAACTTTAGGCTTCTCCGGGCGCTCTTAAGCGATTCCTCGCCGCACGTCATTCCTGCGAAGAAACACCGCCCCCATCGTCGACGAGACCCCCAACTCCTCCACAGGTTCGTCTCCCTCCCTTCGGCTCGTCCCCGTCCCGAGGAAAACATTCATTCCACGGCGAGTTTCGCACCGTCTCGGCCTCCCTGACGATGATTCCTCATCACGAATATTATCCGATTTGTTTGTCTCGACTGAGCTACATCGTCCTGCTGCCTAGACTTGAATTTTGAGATCGCTATCTTAGGGCATATGCTGCGATGGCAATGAGACCGGCGGCCTCACGATCTCGATGTATGAGTCTCATCCTGAAGGTCTCGACCGATTCTTTCTATTAAGGCATTCATGATCTTCCGATAAATGTTCCCACCAGCAGTTTTCGCGATGAGGGTATGAACCCTGTAGCTCTCACAGTCATGTCCGGCAGGATAGGCTCGTATGTCACTGTGAGCTTCTGCTCAACCATGAACACCCTGGCGAGCTGAACACGCAAACCCAGTGTTATGCGGTGACTCATTCAAGACCACACCATTTCTGAGATCGCGAGGTATGACCAAGACTCGACGATGAGCCAAGCAACGACAACAACGGCGGTGCGAGTTACATCCCATTCCACGTTTGCCGTCTGTAAGTCATGGTAAGGTCGATGATATTCGATGGACTAGTCCTGGCAAACCAAGAAGCCGAGTTGGTATCGATTTTTGTCATCAACCACATGTATGTAATCACCAAGCCACTGGCAGCGATCTTGGCTTCATCTACTCATGACGATGAGAGCTTTATTATGTCAGCGAAGCTGGGGCGTGACAAACCCTGATTATCGGAAAAAGCAACGTTCTAAAGCCTCCAGATTGCTATTCCCGTCGCGCAGCGGGACCCGACGCGTCGTTGAGATTTCTTTTCCGACGCGTTTCTCGATTCAGGGGCGGAATCTCAATCTGTCCGCCGCCCGGACCGTACCAAGCATTTTGACGCAAATCATCGATTCCTTGTCTAGTGGTCTAGGAGACGCGATATTGGATTACGGCCGAAACTGCCCAGCATCAGCCACAGTGCCAGATCAGACACAATGAGTGACCGGGAACTGGATATCATCAAAAGCGTGCCCGATGGCACGGCACGCACGATTTTGTTGTCGCTGTGCGAAGATGCCACGATCCGGCGGAAGGCATTTGATATTTCGCAGCGGCTGCTGGGTGCTGCTGCTGGTGACGCGTCGCTTGCGGTCTGCGGCCGATGCAAAGGCACCTTCGACGTGAATGACAACCGTCCCGATGCCTGCAAATATCATCCTGGTAAGTCATATTTCCCCAAGACTGTCCTTGAATTTCGGATCTTGACGAGTTTCGGGCGGATAGGTAACTTCGAGCTTGACTACGAAAGCGAGGAATGGGAGGATTCCTTCCTAGATACTGATCCATCCGTGTTTGAGAACGATCCGAATTGGAAGGAATCGAATCCAGACGGCTTCAAATGGAGTTGTTGTGAGCAGGTGGGCAAGGTTGAGGGTTGCAGGAGCAGTAAACACGTCTTTGTGGAGAGCCACGCGCAGACCGCAAGAAATCAGATCACCGGGTCGAGGAGAGACCTCACGACTACTTCATACGCAAGTGAGAAGCAGTTTTCTGTAGAGCGTCTGAACAACATTGGGACCGTGGTACAGGTCTTGGGCGAAAGATCTGGCAACAAGCGGAAGTCTGAAGGAGATGATTCTGGGGTCAATGGCCACAGAGCTAAGAAGGGGGCCGATGGATACGGGTTGGGTATTTTTGACTGATGGCCCGTGTGGGTATATCTTGGAGAGAAAGGTAGAGAGGAGGTATCAATTATGCTCAGCCGGAGTAACGTTTCTAACCTGGGCTTGAGTGCAGCCCCATTGATATCTTATAGCTTGTCATCCATGTACTTGACTTCGCCATTGAACTCCTTCATATCTTCCTCGTCCTCCGAAAGATCCAAAGACAGCGCCTCGATGCTATTTACTCCCACCGTGACGTCATCATCCAATTCAACTTCGACCTCAGCATCAGCAGCCTTGCCGTACCCGAATGTGTACTTGTTCAGGATGTCCTTGATGCCTTCGCGATATTTCGGGAGACTCTTCCGCGAATGGGCTTCGTAGGCATGCTTCGATATCCAAGGTACCATCTCGTCGATCCTCGCGTGGACAACCTTCTTCCGCGAAAGCTCAACTTCAACACCGTCTTTCTGGATCCTGATTTTGCTCTTCATGTATGTCAAAGCCACCCTTTCAATCCTCTCCCGACTGATAGACTTGCCGCCTTCGCGGAACGCTTGGTCCAGTATCAGGATCAAATCGCAAGCACATTTGAGGACCATCCTCACGGCCGTGGGCGCCTCGAGAAGCGGCGCTCCCAGTGCGAGAGGAATCCCGCCCACGACGGTCGTACAGGTCAGACAGAGCGCGCCGCCCCAGATGATCAGCGTCTGGCTCAAGGCCTGCGCCATGAACGGGGCCAGATTCTTCCAGACGATCCGAGCTAGCATCATGTTGATATTCTCGATGTTTGCCTTGGGAATACCGAAGCACCCATGCGCTATTTCAGTGCAGAGAATTCTGGCAATCGTTGGGGTGGTAGCTGTCGATACGAGACCGGTCCCGAAGCCGGCACCGGCCGCGGCAGAGGTCGCTCTCAGAAACCGCAAGGTCTTTTCGACGGCCTGGTCGACTTTGGCATCAACATCTGGGACTTGTGCGGCACACATAGCCTCAGACACCTCAGGGTCGAGGAATGAGCTTCTGGTCATGTGGATCAAGGCCTTGATAGATTCCGAATCATCTGAAAATGTAAGTCAATACCAGCCAGGACGTACTGAGACTTGAGGATGGCCTACCTCGCGAGACGAAAGTAAACTTGGCCCTTAGTTCAGGCCAGAACCGTGTTGTGTCAGGTTCGACCTCGAACCTTTTCCTGAACGTGGCCTCCCTCTGAGCCAATAACTCGGCCTCGCTTTGCTCATCTTCGTTCAGCCGGAGATATTTGTCTTTCTTGGTCCCCACAATCACGACAGGTGTTAGAGGCGCAATCTCTATGACCTCTTCCAAGACGTTTGCCAGAGCCGACTGCACGGGGCGGTCGGTGTCAGTGTCAATACAGAGCCTGTAAAAGGTTTGGTTAATAACCCCACTGGGAATGGACATATCCAGTAGATTGAGGGTAGTGTTTTACCAAATAGCATGCAGGTTTTCTCTGACTAGCTTGTTGCCAGACCGCGCCTTGAGGAACTTCTTGAAGGCCGACACTTCTTTGCTATTTCCAGTCTGGAAGCCCTCGGAGTCATGGATGATGATCCCTGGATGTTGATCAGACTCAAATCCCTCGTCAATGTCGTGTTTGCCCCGTTGGTCCGAATTCTCTTGCGTCTAGCAGCCATGTCAGCATGAAGTTCGAGGTCGAAATCAACATGGCCTACCATCTCAATCCCAAATACACGATTCAGAAGAGTAGACTTTCCAACACCCGTATTACCACATATGAGAATGCGACAACTTGTGGATAACATGAAGTCGCGCCGCCAAGGATCGAAGGATTCCAGTTTAGCTTCCAGTCTGTCAGAGAGATAGTTGTATCTATCCCTGAAGGATTCCAAATTTCCCATGAGGTTACCAAGTGCCTTTGGGATCCCTAGTGTCGGGTAGCAGTCTACAAGGAAGTAGACAGAAGGGTGGATGACGATCCCGTTTCGCGCTATTTGAAGATTGGTTAACTGGGCATCTCTCAAAGGCGCCTCGTATTCGACCTTTTACTCACAATCAGTACTGTATCCCCTGAGACTGCCCCGAAGCTTTGCATCGAAGACACGCCGACCCCCAAACGCCAGGCCGTGAAACCCTGGATTGATTTCTATGACATGTGTTGCGATAGCCACCTGGTCAAGGTTTCTCTTCTTGAGCTTTCTGCGCGGTACCTCCTGCAGGTTACCATGCTGATGTGACTGACGTAGATCGTACATGGTAATGTCAGCACCGTTGGAGTATCTGAAAGTCCACGGTTGCGGCTTCAGAATCTCATCGGGCACCTCGGCCTCGAGAACCTTTGCGTCAAGGTCGGAGAGTTTAGGCGGCTCCGGAAAGACTAGCTCCAGTGGGTTCTCGATGATACCCTTGAGATGATCGGGGGGATTGTGCTCCAGGACTAACCCCTGGTCTCTGCTCTCGATCAACATCCACTGTAAGGGATAGAGCGAGAGCCCGTCATGCACCGCGCCACCGCCCATGTCATTATGAGCTCCTACAAACCACGCCTCAAGGCAATGGTGTTGTTTTGCGCCATTTTCAGTGGGCTCAATGTGAAGTAGAGGGAAAGTCATTCGTTCTTCGTTGAGCGCGAGAGCATGTCGAATTTGTTCAATGAACCCGAGGTCGGAGATGTCGGCAATGTCCTTGTTCAAAACCGGCATGACCGCCTTCACCGTGTCGAACAATCCCATGAATTTGATCTTGGGAGGGTGTCGCGTGTTTTCTAGACTGTGAGAGAGGTTAAGATGTGGCGAGACATGTACTCAATGACTGCTGACTGCTTACGCGAATCGGAATTCATGTCCATTGCCAAGTCGATACTCGCGCCCGTTGATGACCGCTTTCTTGCGTTTCCCCATCATGCTGGTGATGGTCTTCCATTTCGACCTGTCTTTAGTATCGAGGGGCTCTTTGAGCGTGTATCTGTTGAGGAGCACAGAAACCACTCTGCACACATCTGGGCATTGACTTAGCCTGGATCCTTGGTACATGTTCTGGTTTGCAAGAGTTACGTACAAGCGCCACGGCTGAAGCCGAAGAACCAGACTTCGTCGTCTTTTGAGGTTATTTGCTCGCAGCAATACTGACTTCGTTATGATACCGCCCAAACCATGTTCAAGGCACTGTTACCTACCGAGAAAACCTCTTGTACTTGCTCGTAACAACCACTTCCGGTGATGCCATCATTGTATTTGTTGAGGGGAAGCTTGTCGGTACCAATGCCGGGAAAGTATTCTGCGACCTGGAAGCATTTAGCCAGAGAATGAATTTAAGACTCGAAAACTTACCTGTTCAACTTTGTTCCCCTGGTCATCTTTAAATTGGCCCCTCTTGATCGAGGCGTAGACACGAAATACGTTGCTGTTGTTACCGTAACCTCGGCCTAGCAGGTTGACAACTCAGGTCAACATTTGACATCACTGTCACTTGTCTCTTGCGAGTGTTTCTCACCTTCCGTTCCATCTTCGTTAAACCACGTCCCATCTACACAAACCACGATCCTGCGGAAAGACTTGCTCATCGCTCGACACGGGACGAAGACTTTCTTGCAAGTAGATGCCAACACGGAATCGTGCTGCTAGAGGAGTGATCGAGCGCACGCGAGCCTGTCCATCATCTTATACGATCATGTACACTGACCCATACGCTCGGCGATTTCAAATCTTGTCAGCCTGGTCTTTCTCGACCGGCACATGGCCGTCGGTACGGTGTAACATGAAGCAGGCTGCGGCTGGGCTAAGGTCAGGCTGCCTTAGCACACTGAATTGTTGCAGCTCCCACCCAATCATGAGAGAATGATCCGTCATCGGCTGAACCACATCGGGACGGGGTGTCTTTCTTACTTGTCGTGTCACACGAATTTTCGCATTCACAAGCCAATCACGATCGGGAATTTTCCAATATTCAAACGTGAATGACGAAATCAGCACTCAACGTGAAGTCCGAGCCGGCCACTCATATTCAAATCGGGATGATTGATGAGTCCGTGATCCATGATACTCAGCTAATGTGGCAACAGCAAGCGGTGTTTGCTTACACCGATGCAGCCGCATTCTTGGGGGCCATAGGGCAAACCAACCAACTACACTGCTGGCATAGAGTCTCAAGTGAAGATACACAATACAATTCGCCGGGGTTTAGATCACTGTTTGTCAGCAGTCTGCCTGGCTGCCGAATAGAAGGGTTGCGTAAGACGCATTTCAGCCGCATCTGAGTCACACATTTATTCCGTGACTTCATTATCGTGCACGTGTGTGTATTATGGTTCTTCGGCTGCCGGTGTTGGTTTACTGAGGTAGTGACAGCCTGAGAAGTTGTGAGCTGCGAGGAGGGGATGAATGACCAGAACACGTATCTGCATCGCTCAAGCAAGTGCTGGGAGCAGAGACCAAGACATGGCGAATGCATCACCAGCTGCCTGACTTGAAAAGCCTCTCCAAGTACCCAGCGTCATATACATATTTGCCTTAGGCAAGCACTATACTTCAATGGATGATTAAGTCCTTTGTCAAGTTACAGCGACACTTTGACAAACTCGAGAGGTCAATAAAATATCTGGCAGTCATGCCTTCAAGTCAGGTAACATGTAGTTAAACGAAGTTCTTATCTCAGGTAAGATTCCATCCAGGGCAGTTGAACGGTGGTCTTGTTATCTGAGCGGGGACTAACAAGTCTTCATCTAAAGACATTTAGCGCGGACCCATGTAATTCATGCAAGCCACTGGCTTGTCATCGAGGAGGGCACACCCTGGCGAGCCATTGATCTCATGACTCAAGCCTAAATTACAGCACATGCAGACCAGGACAGACCCAATGGTTCAGCTTCTCATACATCTTCAAATTCGAAGGTGTTTCGTAACGCAGAGCCCGCTGTATGACGGTGCACCGATACTGCTGCTTCGTGCTTGGCTTATTGTGTATTAATATCTAGGCAATTATGCTCACCTGGCCCAAGAACCCTACAGGTAGTCTCGCCGAGGTGTTAAAAGATGCCTCATCCTAATGTCAGCGCAGCAGCACCGACACCCGCGGTCAAGTTACCCATCACTGAGCTCGCCAGCCAGTTACCAACATAGCTGTTGACGTCTTCGGGTTTCTCCCACATCACCCAGTGGGTGCCATTAACCTCACCCCGTGACAAGCTGTCAAAGTAGGTTTCCATTCCAGTCGACAAGACAGGTGGCAGTGCCGAGTCCAGTGATCCGCCAATGTAAAGAGCAGGCTGCGAGTACTTGGCGGTGTATGAAGCGTTGCCAGGCACAAGTGCCAGCTCGTCCTTCCAGTTGAGCTCCCCGGTGCGGTACCAGTTCAATGTCCTGTTGAAAGGGTCGCTAACGTAGTTTTCAACGTAGTAGTCCAACTCCGCCGTGCTCAACAACGGGGTATCTTCCGTTACTCCGTCGAGACGTTCGAGGTCCAATCCGCTTCCGCTAGAGTTGAAAGGTGACGCTCCGTTCGGCAGGGTCTGGCCATAGATGGTGTTCAGGATCTGTCGCACGCGCGTGGCGTTCTGCGCGTTGCCGGGTCCGATGTAGTTCTGGATGGCGTCGGTTCGGAATTGAAGCTGGTAGTGGAGAGTCGGCAACGCGGTGGCTTGGTCGACGTAGGTGATGCGAGGAGCTGCGAAGGGGGTGCTGATAACGAAGAAAGCGGAAACAAGCTCCGGGTGCCAGAGAGCCGCGCGGTAGACGACGGCACCTCCCCAATCATGTCCGCCGAGGATGATGCGCGACAAGCCAAGGTGGCTTGCGAGCGCGGCGATATCATCTGAGGCGCGTTTGAATGTGCTAGGCTTGGTTAGTCGTTGCCGAGACTTGCGAATAGGTCGGCATCTTGAGACTGACTAGAAGTTGACGTCTTCAGGGGCATCGGTGCCTCCATATCCCATCATGTCCGGGGCGATAACTCGCAGACCCTTGGAGAGCAGGTAGGGAATCTGGTTGCGCCATCCGAGCGACATATCAGGCCATCCATGGATGAGGAAGATCGTGCCGACTACCTCGCGACATTTCGGCTCTGCAAAGATGTAGTTGTATGTGACGCCGTTGATTTCAGCTGTGCGGTACTCAAACCTGCGGCTCCTAGTAGCAAGGACGCCCATCTTGGCTGTATTGAAACGAGTGTGGGTGTAGTTGGTGATGAGTTCGGACGGAACAGGAGGGACGGGACCACGCTCAGCTTAATATCAGTCCCTTGAATCGTCTGCAGCATGGCAGGGTGACAATTAATATGGATCCATGGATACTGAAGAAAGTTTCTTCCCAATTTTAAACGGCCGAAGCTCGTTTTCGTCAACCTCGGCCGCCCTGTAAGTGGAGGTCCGTAATAAGGAAAACAATAATTATGCTCTTCTCTTAAGGGAACACGGGCCCCCGGGATCGGCCCGGCATTCAATCCAACTCCGGCGTAGCTCTCTCCACTAGCCGCTCGGCGTCTCCGTCGGTTTCACTCTATTATCAGGTCATTGCTGACAATCATGAAAGATCCCATACCCACATAGTTAAGCCGAGGTACGACGTCTCTCCAACCACTCAGAGAAAGGTCCTGCCTTAACGGATGGCAATCTTTAAACATCACTTCAATTAGATTGTTCCTTGCTGCGTCTGATTTCAACGCAGTACTGATGTAAGACAAGATTGACAGCAAGAGGTCGTTGAGTCGCACATGGCTGAAAGCTGAGAGCGGAACCCCTTGCATCGCGAAAATGACCGTTTCTGGGTATTGTCGCGCAACAACAAAAATCAAATCAGAAAAGGGCATCGATTTGAATCGTCATCGAGTTTCAACTCAAATAATGCGCATGGTTCAGTTCTTTCGTGCTATGAATGTTCGACCGCCGGTTCGAAGACTCTCCCAGTAGGATCGTCGCGCTCACTAGCTCCCAACATTGATGAGCGTACCCTACATCCCGCGGAGTATTTCACACGATAGCTACATGAGACATCCATAACCCTTTGAGTGAAAGGTTCGTAAAGAGCAGAGGAAATGTCTCAGTCTGAAGATTGAGCTGTGATACATGCATGTAGCAAGGCTTAGACTCTTGCAGACTACGAGAAATCCAGTTCGAGGGCATGCGCCACCCATATTCCATCTTAAAGTACTCCGAGTTTATAGGTCGACAAGAGCAGAGCTAAAGATGATTCTCAATCTGGCAAACAGGAAACCCCAATCAATAGGAGCTACTTGCTTCTAGTGATGTTGGTTTTGCAAATCCTGGTAGCCAACACCAGGTTCAAAATCGAGCATGAGGTCCATGCTACGAGATACTGATAAGCAATCAAGTTACTGCGAAATCTCGCTGATAGTTGCAGACACTCTCTCCAGACTTTGTTAGGAGGGCCAGGTGTTCCAGGTCCCCGCTCAAAGGGCTTGTAAGACTGTGGCCCGGGAGCTGGATGCCAGCAACTTCATGTTCGTCTGAAGGTATTACTGGTTCGCCAAAGACACTGGACTTCATCCCCGGCAAGGAATGATGTTCTGGTCGACTGAATGTACAATTCTACCCACAACAGAATGGTATCTCTTCTGAATTCAGCTGGTCAAGCTTCAAGGAAGCTCGACTAGAATATACGTGGTGATCGAAAGGCATATGTCCGAGACGTGCTGAGAAATGGGCTTCGCTGGGATCGACGTATCGAACTCGGGGTCGGGGGCGAGTGAGGATTGGCAACTTGGTGTTTTGAGGAAGTTCTTGTGGATTATAACAGCTCCAGATATGTCTTGAGCAATTTGTTTTACCTATGACATGGTCGTGAGGAAATACAAAGTCAGAATGAAGCAAATGGTTGTGCATATTTGATGCTGGCGATATGGATCTCGATGGTGTGTGACTGACCCGATTTGCTCCTGAGAACATCAGCAAGATGATCGTAACTATTCTTTGCCTGGTCTTTTTGTTCCTGGCTGTAATCTTCGGCTTGAGGAGAGTTCGATTGCACACCGGATGAGGGCAAGTTCCGATGGAGCCATGACGGTGACTCAAAGTGTCCGTTCTTGCAAAACAGATGAACCAAGCATGGATCATTGAAATTCCGAGGTGATTTGAAAGAGTTCATCGAAGCGAATTGGCGAGAGATTGAAATATATGACGGTCGATATTCTGATGAGCCGTCTGAATTGGCCAAAGGGCAGCGATGTGATTGAACTGTAATAGTTATAGCTACACATGACTTCGGCGTTTGGGTTAACATGGAGACCTCTCATCAGACGACTCGTGAGATCAGGTTGGTTTTTACCGGGCAGTATGCAGTCGTGACTTGGATTTGGCCACGACCTCGACACCGTAGGTCAAGGAAGTACCAGACGCGTAGCTATTGATTATTATGGTCTCAATCAGGCAGACTGACCTTTGATGCATTGAACCATTCCAAAAAGTACGATGCAATGTCCCATGAGAAACATTCTCGATGTTTGAGCAACCAGGATTCACAAGCACGAGCAGCTGACGGGAGACACGCGACGCCATCCCGAATAGCCAAGAGACGCGGACCCCGAACTGCATGCCTCGGCGACCACGAGAGTCTTCGCCCCTGCCTGTACACCACCTCGGCAAGCGGAACCATCCAGCTTACGGCAATATGCGTGCTGCTGTTCCGTTGGATCACCACCTTCTCATCCCTCCTGTGCGGCAAGGTACCCGGGCTAACGGGCTCGTGATTGGTGGGCAGGCTGCTCAGGGCGTCAGGGTAGATCGCGACAGCACGAAGGATCGTGGAGTGACAGTTTCCGAACAAGTCTTCTCGAGAAGGCACTCGTGCACGTCGAGGGCTGGTTGTTGTAACCGGGATCACCAGTCCGGTTGCTTGGCTTCACTCTCGAAGTCTGCGCGGATGTCCAAAATCAGACGATGAAGCACACCGAGGACCGCTTAGTCCTGGAGATCGGGAAAGACTTGAAGAGTTTTGGGCCAAGAGGAGTCGTAGATCAGTTGGTGCCAACAAGGCGCGAATTCCAGCACCGCGGATCCATCCATACTTTGGGGGGCATGGAGGGTAGGACCCCGGTCTTCTTTCAGGAAAGGCGTTCCGTTAGCGCCGCCTTTTTAGGGTCGAATCACGAGATTGGAAGTTTGGCCATGTTCGAAGCGGCCTGGACTACCTGCCGGTGCTTAATGAGAAGAAGGTTGGCGGAAGATGTTGCCGCGTAGCTGTCTACATTTGTGCGTCGGGTGCCCGGGCAGCTTTCTCTCTGCACCAGGAATCCGATCTGGCAAGATGGACATCTTGATATTCCTCTTGCCCATTCCGATTTTGGTCTCTATCTTGAGCTATGACAAATTTAGAATGCCTAGCGATTGCCCTACATGCTATGTCTTGGCTGCCTGCCGTCTTGAATCCTGAGATCCCAGATATCGAGACCAAACGCTGTGCCGCTGGATTACAGCCAAAGACGCCGAGGTGAGTCGGGTTGTCGGCGCGAATCTTGCAGCGGCAGCTTCGAATCCTCAGACTTTGGGCCTTGGCGTGGGAATATGCATGTGTGCCGGAGCTTACGGGCTTTTGAGCAATGCTACCTGCTAGCAAAGAGCAATGTGAACCTTTAACTTGAAGTTGCTCCTAGCTGACTGCGTGCCACCGCCCGGTCTTCAAGCTTCCAAGCCGGAACACGGCCGAAGCCTGCCTCCATGATCGCCGAGCATTAGATCTCGCCAGTGCTGAGAATCCTACCCAAATATCGAGTGCTTCATCTTGAGCTTTCTTGTCAAGATCTACGCTGACTGTCAAATGGCATGGTTATGGTTGAGTGTATGTATGGGAACCAGCCGAGTACTAGCCTGAGGATGGCGCAGCATTCGGGATCTGCTATGGAAAAGATCACACGGAATAGCTGTAAGATCGTCAAGCTGTCCAGTCCGAAATGTACTGAAACGGTTAAGGGTGCGTCAATCTGTTGATGCTGTGTTGATACTTGGCCACATTATGCGCGTCCGGCCAAGTAGCTGTTGAGATGTTTCGAGTCTTGGTTTCTAGGCGAAGTGGTTCAACTACCGAGCTGGCTGGAGTTGACGATATCGTGACTGTGACAGTTCGTGAGCATCCGGCCGAACCAGCCGTTCTCGCCGTCCACCAGCGGCACAGCTAGAGGAGCCTCGGGTCCGTAAATTCGATCGATCGAGGCGGCCGGTAAGGCGTGCTTCGCCGTGGATCCCGAAGCCGAAGACTGGAGATTCGGTGAGAACATATGATCGCGCAAACTCGTGGTACGAGTCCAGTGTGGCGTTGGATCACGGCCCGCTTCACGCTGGCAGAGCCTAATCCGGGCAGAGAAGCTGCGTGTGGCCTTACTGCTACAACAACCAGTCCTCCTGAAAGCGAACGCTGACTTGCTTTCGGATCTCAGGTGAGCGACAGGCCAAGCGAGTCCAATAGTGAAGGGGAGACAATGATCTGACTAAGGCAGGAAGGACCAGGGTAGCTGGCTACGAGATCCGCGTCGACGGGTCGCGTGTGCATGGTGTCTCAATCATGGTCGGGCCTTCTTGCAGGGCGGGATTCCACCACTCAGTGTTGGCCATTCAGATTTCGAAGAGGCCGACGAGGAGATGAATCGAAATGACAGGCTGCCGTTGCCGGCGGCATGGAGCGGCAACAAACCGCGGAGGTAACTAGCAGAGCAATTGTCGAAGTGTCATGAGAGACCAGGAGGGACCCGTACGCGTCTGCTCGAATGGCATGCTTGGAGTCATGGTTTCCAAATCGACAGAAGCGAATGCTGAATTTCAAAGTCCCAGCCAACGTGAAGAGGATGGAAGTTGAACACGCAGGGGGCCACACCGGGATGTGCCAGCGATCACGGAGACTGGCTGCGTTGGCCCAGTAGAAAAGGGTCTAGAGGTGCTCGCCGGCGTGGTCTGCCGCTTTGAGGAGAGATTTAGGGCGGAGGAAGGCGGCCCGTCATCCAGTTAGGCATAGCGTGCGGGCATGAGGAAGAGGAATCGACGGGACTTTGGGGATGAACATGGCCATTCGATGAGTTATTCGCGATATCAAACAGATAGGAATTTGCGGGTGAGATATTGATTTGTACACGTGAAAGAAAAAGAGTTCTTCCGTCGAGTTACTGATAACTTCGCAACGACTGTTTCGGTAACAACTTGAGGGCTTGCTCAAGATGCTTAGTTGCTCATTATTGCTAGATACTTCGAAACCCTCCTCGATAATGCGTCAAATCAAGTATATTATGATAGTACATTACTTTCCCCAGACGAAATTGGCTGAGTGGCAGGGGTAACGCCGCGAAGTTTTCTTCGTAAGACACTCAGAAGCCAGACTCTCTCAGCAATTTTAGCTGAAGACACCAGCAAGTGACAGCCATCCATCAGGCGTTGGCTCAGGCCACATGGAAAGACGGGCCGGCTTGAGACGACTTTCGATCCTCTCATCTTGACCCCTTGCTATCTCTTTTTGGTTTGGCGGCTTCTTTCTCCAGATCTCCCTCCAGCTTCTGGTCACCCACATCGCCCCTCTCCCCAGCCAACCCAGACGCCACCCAGCCGACCGCGTGCCCTGGATGCGACTGGTTCGTGTGTTCGGCTGCGTGAGCTCTAGATCCCGGGATGGCGCTCGCAACGGTCCAGCAATTGTTCGATGTCCTGGAGCTTTGGGTCCAGCTGAAAGAAGCTATTGCCAACTACAAAAATATCTCCGAATAGGCGCGGTACACCGCGCCCGGCCTCGACCAGAATAACCTGGCCAACTCGAGGCAAGACGGGCAGCATCTCCATTCCGGTCTCCACACGCCCACACTCTCCCCCAGATTCACCACTCTATCCATAACCTTCTTCGGGCTCTCCAACACACAGCAACGAGAGAGAGAACGCAGACAACCAAGCATCCGCGAACATCCCGGTCTTTTTCGCGGAGTGTTTCGACCCGCAGATCCGGAGAGGGAATCGCAATGGGCAGAACAATGTGTTTTTTTCTTCCACCTGACGCCATTGACAGATTGTACATGTATTCGTAGCCGTATTGAAACTCGAAGCCCAACATCAAGGTACCTTCAACCAACACCGGCCAGTCTCCCGCATGCCGGCCCGTTTCGTCTGGTCTATGTTCTCGTCTTCGCAGAGCAGCTGGACAAATGATCCTTCAACGGCCCCGGCACGGCCTGTACAGCACACGCGGCACAGCACTGGATGAACCAGCCGTGGAGAGAATTTGGGGAATTTGGGGTTGCCTCCACGCTAATTGAGACACGCAGCGCAGACAGGCCGTCCTCATGGATGTCGATGAACTGCCTAGACGCCCACTCAATCTAACTCACTTTGATTGCGATGCAGCCATCAAACCCTTCAGAGAACGAATCTTTGGTACCTGCCAAGCAGTGTCACGGTTCAAGACAGCCACACTTAGATTCACGATGAGAAATCTCCAGTCGCTGGTCACATAGCCGTAGGCGAGAACCGGCGAGGGTCTTCGGGCTGCCCATCTGTCGGGTGCTGGTGGACTGGTCCATCGGCCCAGTGGCAAGCAACATCTGCATCTCCTCCGCCCTTCGCAACCCGTAAAGAGCCAGGGGAGGCACAAACATGGGGGGCGTGAGCAGGAAGAGGGTGGTACAACCAACGACATGCTTGTCCAAGCAAGAAAGGATTCGATTTGCCCAGGCCAGCCACCATTTCGGTCCCAGGTGAGAGTGGCCCGGTCTTCCTTCCACCTCCCCACACCCATGCATGCGGCATGGATGGTAGGCGCGAAACGGCCGGGCTAAGGTAGGCAAGGCAAGGCAAGGTAGGGTAAGGATGATGGGGAATCAGAAGTTGGGGTTCGCTCTTGCAAAGCACCATGCCATCGGACTGTTACTCCTCATCCCGTCTCCCAGGGACCAACTACCAAGACGCCGAAAATCATAAAACCTCAGCCTGTCCCGCGATCCCTGGCTGGTTCCTCTCGAGCTCTCCATCCTCATCCTCCCTCCATCCGCCCATCGCTTCAACATCCATTACTCGCAGCACGGTCTGTGGTAATCGGCAATTCGAGGTATCCTCCTTCAGTCAACACCACCAAGGAGACTGTTTTCCGGCAGCTTGCCACCAACCGCCAAAATGGCCGAGAAGGTTGATACCGTCAACACCATCTCACCTCATCATGACGACCATGACTCCGACAAGGCAAGTGACGATGATCCCTTTTCTCATACTCACATCATCGGGCTCTTACTAACATGCCTGTGCTCTGTAGAAGGAGGTCCAGACCAAGGTCGTCACTGGTTCCGAGGCCTTCAACGAGGCCATGATCAAGGAGCCTCCCAGCGCCTGGACCAAGGCTCAGATTCTCATCTATGCCTTCTCCCTCGTCGGTTTCTTCTGCTCGACCATGAACGGATACGACGGTTCTCTGATCAACAACCTGCTTCAAAACCCCTCCTTTAAGGAACGCTACGGCGCAAAGAACGATGGTATCTGGGCTGGTATTATCTCTTCCATCTACCAAATCGGTGGTGTCGTTGCTCTTCCTTTCGTCGGCCCTGCTCTCGACACCTGGGGACGCCGCGTCGGTATGCTCATCGGAGCCCTCATCATCATCATCGGAACTTGCATTCAAGGGTTTGTGACTCTATGAGCTGGACATGAAATCAAGAATGCTAACATTGAATCAAGTACCGCCAACGGCACCGGACAATTCATGGGTGGCCGTTTCCTCCTTGGTTTCGGTGTCTCCATCGCTGCCTCTGCCGGACCCATGTACGTTGTCGAGATCAACCACCCCGCCTACCGCGGAGTCGTTGGTGCCATGTACAACACTCTGTGGTTTTCTGGTGCCATTGTCGCGTCGGGAACTGCCCGTGGCGCGCTTGACATTAAGGGAGACGCTTCTTGGTTTGTGACCCCCAATCCGGTCGAATAACGAGTAAGCATGCTAATGTGCTTCAAACATAGGAGATTGATCACCTGGATGCAAGCACTGTTCTCCGGTCTGATCTGCTTGTTCTGCATGTTCCTCCCCGAGTCTCCTCGATGGCTCTTTGTCAACAACAAGAAGGAACAGGCCACCGCCGTGCTCACCAAGTACCACGGAAACGGCAACCCTGACTCTCCCTGGGTCAAGCTTCAACTTCACGAGTACGAGGAACTCCTTGACATGGACGGTGCTGACAAGCGCTGGTGGGACTACCGCGCTCTGTTCCGCAACCGCTCTTCCGTCTACCGTCTTTGCTGCAACATGTGCGTCTCCATCTTCGGACAATGGGCTGGTAAGATACCCTCTATTCGCAGTGAAAGTGTTTCTTGAGACTAACTCAGCGCTTCAGGCAACGCCGTGCTTTCTTACTTCCTCGGATCCGTTCTTGACACCGCTGGCTACTCCCACCCCATCCAGCAGGCCAACATCACTCTCATCAACTCGTGCCAACAGTTTGCTTGCGCCATCTTCGGTGCCATGCTCGTCGACCGTGTTGGCCGTCGCCCGCTTCTTCTCTTCTCTTTCTCTGCTTGCACTGTTGTCTGGCTCGGCATGACCATTGCCTCCGGAATCCTGTCTCAATCCCAGACCGGTGTTACAGACAGCGGCGCCGCCATCTTCAACAACCCCGCCGCCTCGCAAGCCTGCTTGGCTATGATCTTCCTGTTCGGATCCGTCTACTCTGTCGGTATTACGCCCCTTCAGGCTCTCTACCCCGTGGAGGTCCTCTCCTTCGAGATGCGTGCCAAGGGTATGGCTTTCTCCAACTTGGCTGTCAACGCTGCTGGTCTTCTCAACCAGTTCGCTTGGCCCGTGTCCATGGAGAAGATTGCGTGGAAGACGTACATCATCTTCACCATCTGGGACGCCGTCCAGACTCTCGTCATCTGGCTGTACATTCCTGAGACCAAGGGACGCACTGTAAGTCGAAACTCATCCTTAGTAAAATCCAATGCAACACGTACTAATACGATCAACAGCTCGAGGAACTCGACCACATCTTTGCTGCTAAGAACCCCGTCAAGGAGTCCACCAAGAAGAAGCAGGTTGCCGTCGACCGCTACGGCGACGTTGTCAACGTCCAGGACGTCTAGATCTGCAACCTCTCTCGCTATGGGGGACGAAATGCCTGAACGACTGAGCATGATGGTTTCTGATTGCTGTTGGATAAATCTTTAATGTCACGAGGACACGGAAACGACGGAGACGTGCTGCCTACTTTTGCATGGCTGATGTGAGGGTGCCAGCTGAGAGTCATTGATCACGGTGGCTACTGAGTGAGCATCCTCGTGAAGCCATCTCATATTCTCTACCTATACTATACCAATATACCATGTTGTATCGTCTGAACTTTTGAATGCATCCCTAAGTGATTCTCATGGTCTTCATGCGATTACGGCCAAGACAAATGGTCTGGATTAATTCTCCAACGGCAGCATCAATCGTCGCCGCTTTTCTGGCGGGACTTTGAAATGCCGACCTCGGCTGCTGACTATTGTCGGAGTCGCCTGATTCATGTTCGCATAGCACTAGTAGCACAACGCGGTAAACCAATGACCAACGTTTACAGGAATGAGATGAACCTCGGACCCATGAGTTGGTGGTCAGCTCAAAATTTGGGCTAACTTGAAAAGGCAAGTCTGCTGAACTTCAATCCGGTCAGATCTTGGGTTGGGTGAGACGGTGGAGGATGGCCAGAAGCCGAGCGAGCGGGACTGGAGGCTGGAGGATCTAATTGGAGCTTACTTGCTTGGGGAAGCCGGACAGTAGGGGCGTATGTTCAATATATTCCATAGCTCTAGGTAGATTGTGACTGTGCACCTTTGGATCAGAGTCGTTCTCGTTCCAGCTCGGTTTTCTTCACTCAGGCGGTTATTGTCCACCGTATCGCTTAACTCTGGTATCTCCGCTGTTGATCCGCTTAGTGATCGACGACATCGAACAGTAGCCTCAATGGCTGAATTAATTAAATCACATTATAACTAGGTCTCAAGCCAGGATGATTCCGCAGCTTGAGGGGATCAAGACCATGTCCCGTTGGCAGGACCAAAGTATCCCACGTCAGGCATATCTTTCCAAGGGATTCCCAGCCCATCAGCCGTATTTTGCCAGACGGTGTTTCCCCACCAGTCAGGAAACTGTACATTCGGGCCTTAAATATGCGGATTAGTCCTGCTATTCAGTCTGGTCAAGGTATTGTGCGAACTCACCATAGGTAATTGCGAAGAAAATGACGATGCCACTGATAGCCAGGCCCGTGTCCAACGCGGCGGCGAGCACGTAGTTGTACTTGGTCCACCAAGCGTAGAATCTCCGGAAGATGATCTTGTTGAAGATCAGGTTGACAATGTACCACGAAGAGTAGTTGATGCCGGTCGCGGGGGGCACGTTGTACGTCCCGACGAAGATGAGCGGCCAGTTGATCTTGCGGACGAACTCGGAGCGCGTCCTCTTCCAGACGAAGTACGTGATGGGCGGCAGGATGAGCCCGATCCAGAAGAAATGGAGCAGGCCCGAGTAGATGGCTCCGACGGAGTACAGGCGGGCCGGCCCGACGAGTCCCCAGATCACGGAGCTCGAGAAGACGGTGCGGCCGTTGGGGCAGGAGAAGCCGTTGGGCTGGTCTTCCGTGCAGATGCCTTCGACGTTGCCCAGCATCCACAGGGTGACTCCGGTCTGGGTCAGGGCACCCAGAATGGTGGCCAGTCCTTGGGCGAAGAAGAGGGTCTTGGGCGGGATCTTGAGGTAGTGGCCCAGCTTCATGTCCGCTGCGAAGTACAGTCCTTGGCCGACGACGTCGGTGCTCAGGATCTTGAAGAGGATGTTGGCGATCGGCTTGCCCTGGAACAAATATCCGCCAATAAACTCGGAAAGCACGTTGAGCTGGTTGGCGTCCACGTTCGTCACACCCTGGATCATTCCGCAGGGAACCATGTAAACAGCCGGGATGAGGAACCCGAGGATGATTCCCCACCAGGGGAGGCCGGTATCGTAGCCGACAGCAGTGCCGATGCTCATTCCGAAGACGGCGAGGAGGATGGCGGCCCACCACCACCACTTGACGGTCTTGTAGGACTGCATCAAACGCGCATGGATGTCGAGCTTGAGGGTGCCCTTCATCGCACGCTTGATCTCGTCCCAGTGGAAGAAGTAAACATGAGATAAGACGCTGTTCTTCGGTCAGTGCGGAGTTCTTCGTCGTGTTTACCATGGAACTAACCTAGTGATTGAAGCAAAAGACAGCCCGTAGACGAAAGCAAACGTAGCTGGCAGGTACGGGGGTGAGTAGCCTGCGTACTTCTGCTGATCAAACTCGTTGTTCGTCAGAACCTCGGTGACGTTGTACAGCTGGCCGAAACGATCATACACATCCGCCGTGCAGAACGGCATGTACGAGGTGAACCAAGTGTTGGTGTAGTAGATCACCGGCGTCACGACCCAGAAGAAGATGGCGAACCCGAAGAAGACGTTTGCAGCCGCCCAGTGAGGGCTCAACAGCGGGTTCGTGTTGTATGCAATCATGGACCAGTCGAACGTCAGCGGGAAGAGACCCATGCCCGTGACCATGCCGAACACATTGTTGACTACCCGATTGTTCGGGGCGATCCAGCAGATCCATGTGAAGTAGCTGAGACCAGTCCAGATGAGGCCGGGGAACCAGTACCAAACAAAGGCGCATCCGCCAACAACCATGAAGAAGTTGATACGAGTAATCTTCCATCCGTTTGCAATGGCATTGGCCCTGGAATGCAATGAACTGAGCAGAGCGACGTTGCTCAAGACTCCCGGCCAGATCATGCTCGCGGGCTTGACCAGCCAAGGCATGGCGAGACCGGCGACGGCATATCCACTCAGCTGGCAACAGAGTACAACCAACACGGAGAAGCCGGCAGGGATACGGAAACCGTAGAGTCTGGCGGCTTGGATCAGGTTCGTCGCATCGGCTGAACCGAAGCCGAAAGACACATTCGACATGATGGTAACCAGAGCGTGTTCTTTGATGTTGAAATGGCGGTCCGGGTTGAATCGACTGATGGGGAGGATCTTGGCGAGCGCAACACCACATGGGAATGCCAGTAGCTCGGCGACGAGGGAGACAATATGGACACCGGGGTAGCGCAGCGAGAAGAACTGATTCACACCTGCACCGAGGAACACGAAGACCTGTTAGGAAAATCAGCATTTGGAACCGACTATCATGGCATCCGGTGAAAATACGACGTACGATACCTAGAAACCAGGCGCGAAAGGTGTTGACGGGGATGGCTGTGTCATCCGTCTCCGGCACCACCGCTCGAACCTGGGGAAATGGAGAGGTATCGGCATCGTAATCGCCCTCGGTCTCTGCTTTCTCTAGGACTCGGTCCATGTCGACCTCCAGCTCCGCGAGATGCCCATTTTCGAGCTCGACATCTTGACCGTGAAAATTGTACGCCGTTTTGACGCCGAGACTCTCGTACGGAATGGACTTCTCGGGGTCCTCGTATGAAGGGGGCATATGGCTTATGTCGGCTGCCATTGTGACGATAGCTACGGCAGAGCCTCGATGAGAACGAAAGACGAGTGCCAAGAAGAGGGAAGGGCCAAGAAAAGCCAAGAGAGTAGCGCCCGGCGCGGCATCGCGGGCATTAATGAAGGGGAGCCATCGTCCGGGACCGCTCGCAACGGACGCGTACCTGCGCGGAAATGGACGAGGCCAGACCCCTGCGTGTTATCTTTCCTATCAATTACCCCAGGCTTGAAGACGCCCGATGAGAGGGGTTTCGGAGGGGGCGAGATCGCGTTGGTTCTTCGATTTCACGAGTGATACGGAGGGATAATCGGCTTTACGGCAGGCATGACTGGGTCAGCCCTCGCTCGTCGGCCGTCATTCAGGTCATTCAGCAGCGTTGGCCAATTGTGTTTCTGGACTTTATCTGCGTTTGCGGGGACTTTTGCTCTGGATAAGGAAGGCGACAAGGATGATGTGTTTAGCGCACCGGGCCGGCAACGTGAACGATATCGGCTTCGGATGACGGCGATGGATCAGCCACATCCCGGGTTGAACGGATGAATTGGGGAGGCTGGCACAAGAGGCTGCTATGGCTCTCTCATAGATTCTCATGTTTATTCATACCCGTGCCGGCAAGTGATCCAAGCCACATTACAAGATGACTGTTAGGGTGTAAAGGTTTCAATCAGACGTGATACGAACTTGGTTTCTGGGGTGGTGTGAGTTCTGTTGGCTCACGGCGTCAATTTCTTACGTGGAAGTACATCATTAGTCTGAGCAGACGGGCAACAATAAAACCACCACTCCTCTCGATGATCTTCAAAACCAGCCATCAGCATCGGCTGACGTACTGACATCTACTCCCGGTGTTCTGGTAGGCACCCGTCCAGGACTTTTCAAATACAATGCTAGGCTTTCATTTACAGATCACCTAGATTAGTACGTGTGAAACAGGTTATCATACCCTGGTTAAGAGGCATATTATTGCGCTCGATGGAAGCTCACGTGAGGTCTGATGCTTTGAGTCTAAATGATGGGTGTGCTCAAAAGTGCCAATTAGTATATGCATTCGCAACAACCAGAGTTGAGAAACGTTCACTGATCTTTCCAATCTTTTGGTGGGCTTTCAAGATCGGTGAGCCGAAAAGCTGGTGATAGATCACCAGAGATCATAGCAGGAGTAGATGACCGTTCTTGAGTTGAGTTTCAGGGCATTCAAAATTCCGGGCTAGTCTCCGTCAGAAGCCCACATGGCAGAACCGTCAACCACTAAGTTTCGCACAATTTCGCCCAGAAGCTTGTGATGGGATGAACTTGCCAGTTCGGGACGAGCCGGCGGAGTGGTGGTTTCGCAGATCTACTGGGCCGGTGAGATGAGACGAAAACGAGCCGTTTTCTGTCCCGGAACTCAAGTGAGTTGCTTGTCCGCAGTTTACAACATCGCGCGGAAGTGATCGATTCGATGGTCGCTACCAAATGGGTGTCGTCTCGCACTGAATCCCGGGAGTTGGCCAGTGATTTTGTGCTCTTCATCATTCACCGGGGTCTGTCTAAGCGTCGGTAGTTCCATTAACAACCTAGAATGACCACAGTCAATGATTTGTTGTCGCTGCTCACTGTCATAGCATTGGCTTTGGGCATTGTTCGTGCGCGATTGGCTGGAAGCCATTAATGCATTTTTGAAAAGCGCATAGATCCTCTTCCTACTTCATGTTGCATTCATTCTAGGAAGGCTTAAACATGGTTAAAGTACTCATTCGATGCTTACGAGTGAGTATTCGATTTCCCGAACCCAGCTTGAGCGCGATCATACTGTGTGCTAAACTCGATGAGGCATAGATGTGATGGATTGGTTCTACTACCAAAGGGCAAGTCAAGTATCTTAATGACGAGATGAGAATATTGAATTTCGTATGTCTAATGGCTTTCCTATGTTGAAGCAACTTCACAAATCCCGCAACACCTCAAGCTCGCTTCAATGATGGATGAAATTTCTTCGCGGATTCATCTATTAACTGGCCCCTTACGATGTCTCGAGAACTTCACCAACCAATTGTCGCTAAGCTCGTAAGCGCTATGCAAGATTCTTGTCCCGGGCCAGACCTCCGATCTTGGCAGCGTGGATGCTCGCCGATGCGTAGGTCGCGCCCGAGATGTCTGTGTGGCCGAACATGGGACTTTTGATACATGACGTCGGAAGCCGGTTGGCCTGTCTTGGCTCGGTCCATTTCGCGCATGAGTTTGTGCCTTTCGGGAAGGTAGAAAACGCAGCAAACTCTCAATAGGTTGGTGGCACAAAGTATGACCAAAATTACGATAAGTTAGGTAGCATTTGCCCCAACAAAACGCAATATGGCCCTGGCTGTTCGTACGACGCTACGGAACCCACGGGGAAGATCTGCAATTCGCGCGGATAGTTGAAATACAGAGAGAGCTCAAATACAGCTGCTTTGCCTCGCGCGGGGCTGGTTGAGCACCTCAGCTCTCGTCTCAACTTCATCCCAGGTATCGCCTGTCGATTTTGGCTACCAATGACTCCATCATGGTTGGCCGCCGGCCTTCTCTGCTTCGTTCGGGTCTCGGCCGCCCTTGGACCCCAACTCGGGCCCGCGGAGATGTGGAGGGAGTTCCGGAAGGAATCCACCCCTGAAGTCGCGGGACCGGCTGCGTCCCGACTATTCCAGAATGAAGCTGGCCCTGGAGCTCCGGATCCTTCGACCCTCTACCGGGCCTACAACCTTTCAGTGCCTGTCGATCATTTTCACAACGATTCGCTCTACGAACCTCACTCGGACGCGTCCTTTCCTCTTCGCTACTGGTACGATGACAGATTCTACAAGCCCGGCGGCCCCGTCATTGCACTAGCAGCAGGCGAAACGAGCGGCCAAGGTCGACTTCCCTTTTTGCAGAAGGGCATCGTCGCTATTCTGGCGGAAGCGACAAACGGAGTCGGCGTGATCCTGGAGCACCGCTACTACGGCCGAAGTGTTCCGACGCCGGACTTCAGCACCGAAAACCTCCGGTTCTTGACGACGGACCAGGCTCTCGCTGATACCGCCTATTTCGCAAAGAACATTAAATTCCCTGGCAAACTTTCGAATGTCAGCTTGACCGCCCCTGACACGCCGTGGATAGTGTATGGTGGTTCGTATGCGGGCGCCTTCGTCGCGTTTCTCCGCAAGGTGTACCCCGAGCTATTCGTGGGTGCCATCTCGTCGTCCGGTGTGACGGCAGCTGTGGTCGACTTCTGGGCCTACTACGAGGCAGCGCGGCTTTATGCGCCGGGTGACTGCGCTGAGACGACCCAGAAGCTGACGCACGTGGTCGACAACATCTTGTTCCAAAAGGGCAACGCTACGGAAGATGACATCGTTTTGTTGAAAACAGCCTTCGGGCTGGAAAACGTCACCAACAGCGCCGACTTTGGAAGCGCCATTCAAGGAGGCATCGCAGGGCTGCAGGGCCGTAACTGGGACCCAGCCATCGATAGTCGAGGCTTCCTCCGATACTGTGGCAACATGACCTCGGACGAGGTTATTTGGCCTGAGACTGAGAGCCTCGATTCTACTATTCGCCAGCTCCTGGCCACCGGTGGGTACGAGAAAGAGACGGAGAAGTTGGCAACACGTTTCAAGAATTACATCGGCTACGTCGACTTCACCACTGTTTCTCGATGTGACGGCGATCAAGACGAGTGCTTCGGCCCAGGCTCCGATGAGTCTTACGCAGCGGATGATATCAACCAGACTTGGCGTCTTTGGCCATACCAATACTGCACACAGTAAGTGAATTCTCCAGAAAGCTGATGGATTAAAGTGATCTAACAGTGTTACTCTAGATGGGGATATCTCCAAACGGGGTCTGGAGTGCCAGAGACTCAATTGCCGTTGATCTCACGGACGATCGACCTCGAATACTCAACCGTCATCTGCCGCAAGGCATTCAATATTACCACCTTGCCGAACGTGGATGCCATTAATAAGTACGGCGGGTACAACTTCAGCTACCCTCGTGTAGCTATCATCGATGGCGAGTCGGACCCATGGAGGCAAGCTACTCCCAACAAGATCGGATTGCCTCGTCCTGAATCAACAACCGAGGAGCCGAATCTTGTCATCGGAGGGGGCGCAGTCCATCATTGGGATGAGAACGGCCTCTTCAAGAACGAAACGACGGCCGAGCTTCCTCCGGGTCCTGTGAAGGAGGCACAGGCTTTTGAGGTCGAGTTTGTCAAGGCATGGTTGAAGGAGTGGAAACAAGCTCGACGGTGAAGAATTGAGGGCATTGGGTTGTAAGGCTAAGTCTCGTAATAACGATACCTAGGCCAAAGTGACTTGAATATGTATGCAATTCATTTCATATATGTACATACATCTAATCTCTCTCATACCCTGTGCATCCAACTCATTTGGAAGCTTCCTCGGTGATGATCTCTGCTGCTCTCTCTGCAATGCCATACACGGCAGTTTGGATGTGTGCTGAGATCAAGACAGGCATGATGCTAGCATCAACAACTCTGAGATTGCTGGTCCCATAGACTTTCAAGGTAGGATCCACGACGCCACCGTCTTCCTTTGGAAGCATGGCGCAGGAGCCGACAGGATGATAGATGGACAAGGTGGTCTTCAAGGCAAAGTCCCTCCACTGCGCATCGGTCGTGATGTTCAGGCCAGGCTCGTACTCAGAGACCCAGGTCGATCTCAAAGGCTCGGTGAGCGCAACCTGGCGGCACTTCTTGACAGCCTGAATTGCAGCCTGCAGGTCGTACTCATGGGAAAGATATTTGGGGTCGATTAGAGGAGGTCCAAGAGGGTCGGCCGGGTTGACGTGAACGTTTCCACGGCTGAGAGGGTGCATAATGGCCGCGATGAGAGTCACGTAATCCTTTCCGTACCCTTCGCTTCCTTGTGTCGGGTAGCCCTTGACGCCGGTATAGCCATCACTGAAGAGGATCTCCAGTTGCGGCACAGAGGTATCGTTGAGCCATTGCAACTTCTTCTTCTCGACGGGATGGTCTGAAGCACCGACGGCCTCGTGAGCAAGCACGAGAAGGTCACCCTCGCCGTCGTCACCAAGTGCCTGGTTCCAGTTCGTGAACGTGTATCCACTGCCGGAATATCCATATTGTGACGTCTTGCCTTCCCACCAGAGCTGTAGCTGTTCGGCAGCGTAAGTGGTGTCATACTTGAGGCGGTCGTATCCGGTGTAGTTCTTGGTGAGCTCGTATGAACTCTGGATTCGAATGTGGTCTTGAAGGTTCTCGCCGACTCCGGGAAGATCGATGATCTGCTTGATACCAGCGGAAGACAGAACCTCAGCGTTGCCAATGCCCGAGTTCTCGAGAATCGACGGGCTGAGAAGACCACCCGCAGAGACAATAACCTCACGACGGGCAGTCAGAACAGTGCCATCAATAAGCGTAACGCCAGTCGCACGCTGAATATCATCTGTGGCGGTCTCGAGGTTGACCTTGGCTACTTTAGACTCGGTCAACACGTAGTGGTTACCTCCTGCCAAGGGAAGGTAAGCGTTGGCGCTGTAGGACCGGTTGTAGTGCTCTGGCTCGATACTGTTCGGGGAATAAAGAACTCCGAGAGGATTGCCGTTCAAAGATTCCAGGTTGGTTTCAATACCAAGACTGTTCATGACCGGAATCAGTCCAGCCTGGTGCTCAGGGATGAGTCGGTTGATCAAGGCTTTGATGGGACCTGAGTCTCCGACGCCCTCGTTTCCGGTGTAGTACTGCGTGTTAGCCGAGGTGAAGTTTTCCGACTTCATCATGGCGGCACGCATGGAATCCCAGTTCCAACCAGGGTTTCCCAACTCTTCCCATCCGTCATATTCATGAGCGGACGCTCGGTCGTATGAGAAGAGGTTAAGCGCTGAGCTACCACCAAGAACATGGCCTCTGGTCTGGACCCAAACGCGTCCGTTGGAACCCTCTTGAGGGACGGTGGTCAGGTTCCAGTCGTACTTTGAGTTGAAGGTCGAGCCTCTACGGCCGGGAATCTCGATTCGCTCGTCGCCGAGACCTGCCTCGCCCGCTTCGATGACAAGTACCGTCGCATTGGGCAGACCGAGACTGAGGCGCGTTGAGAGAGCGAGGCCGGCTGTGCCACCTCCAACAACGATCTTGAGGACTCGTTAACATCCCGGCTGATACCCTTTGTAGCTGACAACATTAGATTAGAACTTACATAGTCGTATGCCTTAGTGACTGGCTGGCTGGGCGCCGCAAACGCGACGCTGGCCAGCAGAGATGTGACCAGGACGACAGGGAGCATGCTGACTACCGCTGTGTGAAATTACCTATCTGTGCGCCATGTGAGTTGTGATGCCAAAGTCGCGATTCACCGAATCACCATCCAGTTCGCTGCGGGTAGGGCTGTGAATGTGAGACAGACATACCTTCCGTCGGACCAGATGGTGGCATGAACGTCGCGGGAAAGGATGTTGACGACGATCGCGGTCTGCCCAACACGAGCTGAAAAGGCCCTTGAGTCAGGTAGAAACGAGGGTCTGAGGTGTCTACGGTTGCTCCGGAAAAGCTTCCGTTGACCTTTTGTATGAAAGACTCTGGGGTGCCCATGACGAGTCGATGCGCGATAAAGAGATACAATTTGCCATCTCATCCATCACATCGGCCCATCCTACGCCAGCGATCCTTGGAAGAGCAGGGCCAAATCCACGAACCTCAATATCGGCCCTTGTAAGTATATCAAGGCCTCCGAAGTAAATCTTGGAGGTTCGGTGGGGGAAACATGGAGCGGAACTCGAAGGTGACCGGTCTGGTTCTCTCCCGGGTGGAGTGAACGCGAGGTGAGGTTCCATCGCTAAAGAACGCCCCCGCAGACATTGAGTGCCACCCCGAACCTTTAGTGCCTGCAGGGTCCAATCTGTTGGTCCTCTCAGCTTTCTTGATTTTCAAAAGAAGAGGAGAGGAGGAGACACAGTTGTCGGGCGTTGAGGCAGGGATCCGGCCATTTACCCCGGTCGTGCCCCCTAACGCAAACTCCACGCCGGTAGCGACGCGGCAGCTGCGGGAAGAACATTGGTCTGGCATTCGCTGGCGCTGACATGGGGTGCTCGGGTTTTGTTCCTTCAAATCCTCCATTCTAATGCGCCAAGGTGGCGTGGAAGAGGGAGGATATGTCGGCTATGCTGAAGAATTGAGCTTGAATGAAGGCGACCACCATCGATTGCTTCAGAGAGATGTTTCGCAGAGTTGTTCCTCCTGGAACAGCAGTCAGAGTCGTGGATTTCGTGAGTACACAGAAATATATTGCCATAGCTTACTCTGTAGTTGACTGGTGATCTCCCCTTCCGATATCTGGCTGTGGATTCTAATCAACGCACTGTTGCAACGGATGAGTTGCATTCCCGAAAAGGAGGCGGGCTGGGCCGTTATCATGGAAGGACCGGGAAGGTAGCTTTTGTCTCCAACAACTGCAGTCTTGTAGCCCTGGCTGATAGGACCCGTTGAACTTCGAGACGAGATCCAAAGAATGGCAACATTGAACGTTTGACGTTTTCCCACTAGTTCTTCTACTTATATTCATGGACAACCAGCGCGGGAGCGGCACAAATTAGACATGTCTCACCACTTCCCGCGGAATGGCATTTTATACGGGAACCAACCTGTCAAGTCTCATGTTTTCTACGTTCTGTCTAATTCTCAAGTCGCGGGGCTTTTCCGATCTCACCTTTTTCGTAAGATAATGCCCAGACTTTCGGTGGAGATACGAGTCAGGAAGCCTGGAAGGAACCAGCCAGGGCCCAATCGTAAACCACATCCCTTGCGTCTGCGTGGCAGGCTGGCAGCGCAGGAAATTCCACATTCCGGAGCGGCCTTCGCCAGCAACCTTCTTCATTCATGAATTGTAGGTAGCAAGGCCCGAAAACTCTAAAGTACATCGATGTTCGAGTCACCACACCGGCCGAGTGGTGTCGCAATACATATGACCCCAGTGCGCCTTACTCCTGCATTTCTCCCTTGATCAAGCGGACGAATTACCTGATTGTCCCAGTTATTCCTTGTAAAATATGTGTATCATCGAGAATGCTAAGTCTGACGGTTGGTCCCGGTCATTCAAGGCCATATACAAACAGTCTTCAGTTGCCCCTGGATAGAATGTCCTCAACGGAATCGTGTTTCTAGACGCCACACGTCGGAAAGGAGCAACAGCAATCTACTCACAAACGACCCGTCACAAATGTTCGAGCGAGGATGGAGCACTTACTACCGGTCCTGACGATGTCGAGAGGTCTACTCCAACGAGACGAGGCGATTCCTCCGGACGAAAACGTTGGTCCGGTCTCCATCTCGCTGACAGCCATCCTCACGGCATTTCTCGTCGTCACGACTGGTCTCCGACTCTGGGTACGAGCAGCGAATCGAAAACTCGGCTGGGATGACTGGACCATTGTTCTCGCGGGTGGCACCGCCATCGCACGATTTGCCTTTGGCATCAAACAGTCACAGCATGGAAACGGACGACACCGAGTCTATCTCAGCGACTATGACTACATGATGATCAACATGTACGGATGGTATGGGCAGATCCTCCTCTTCATCGCGGTAGCTTTCCTTAAGGTCTCTATCTCCCTTTTGATCCTTCGAATCAAGGACACGAAGGTGTTGAAGATACTGCTTTACACGCTCATGGCTGGAGTCTTGATCACCAATTTTGGCGTGGTCATCATCTTGATCGCCGAATGTCAGCCAGCCGGGTTCTGGCGAGGAAAATCTGCGAAATGCTGGCCTACGCAAATCCGAATCTACTCGATCTATGCCACAATCGGTATGTTTCCCCAACATCATCGGGAAGTGTCGACGACGAAGACGAACGCTTAAGAACATGTACCGGCATGAGGACTTGAATTTCCAAGTACTGACTTTTGAGAATGATAGCCTATTCCGTGCTAACTGATCTGATCTGCTCACTGCTTCCACTTTATGTGGTTTGGAACGTCAACATCCCCCGACAGACGAAGGTGTCTGTGTGCTTCCTGATGGGTCTTGGTTTAGCGTGAGTACTCATTATCGAGAGCCCTTTGTCGTGCTCGAGAGGAAGCTCCATCTCGGACATGTGGCTGACTAGGCCACAGAGCGACTGGCTTTGGTATCGCAAGAGCTGCGTCCTTGGGAATCTCGACGACGGATCTCAGCTGTAAGTACACCTAGACTTCATGAGACCACAACTGACAACTCATTCAGGGGCCTACTGTATCGCCGGAATCTGGTCGAACCTCGAACTCTTTCTCGGCATCATTGCTGCGAATCTCGCTCTCTCCCGATCCATATGGGTTCACTTCTTCGGCAGCAGTGATTCCCACGCCATCCCCGGAGGTTCGACCGGCCTTTCCAATCCCTCCGAGTCGGGATATCTCAACAGCAAACTCCGGGGCGATCGGTTCGAAGTTCCATCTACAATGATCCGTTCTCGTAGGCGAAACTCAGAGACGAGAAGCTCCAATAGCGATATTCCACTGGAACCGGGGATTCAGAAAAAGACGGAGTTTTGGTGGACCGAAGACGACGAGAATCAGCAGCAGAACACCTGCACATTGATGAAGCGATGATCGGATGTCGGGAGGCGGTCTGATGGCGGTGGATGTGCCCCGGCAGAAAGAGTAATGAATTGTAATTGCGATCATACGAACCCCCCACTGATTGATCCGAGCCCTTACCGATCACACAATCTTTGCGCTATGTGTCGACGGGCATAAACTTGTGCAGAGCCGAAGACGGGCTTGGCGACCGAAGCTGTCCCCGCTACTTTAAGCTTACTCAATGGTCTCTCACCACGCAGGTTCGTAACTCCGATGATGGGCGGGGTCGATGCTACTCAAATGCCTTGCTTCAACCTCATCGATCCAAGGCCGGACTGGATCTTCCGTCCTCCGATGATGAACTCTGCTGACTTTGGTCCGTCAGGAGCCTAGAACGCTATGCCAAGATCATAACATATCGCTTAAGGGTTGTCATGAGTCCCAAAAGCGCAGGCGATGAAGTGCGGATGCAATAAGCTTCCGTTATTGACAAGCACCACACGCCCAGCTTTCTCGGGTTGAAGTGTATGAAGGACGACAGATAATCCGTGCAACGACGTGAACAGAAGGGAGAATTGACATACATCCAATGCTTCTTTTCTATCATTTTCCAATGAAATTTGCGTTTATAGAAGCTTTCAAAGTAGACGAACTATTTCGTTCCAGGTCGAAGGACGGTTAGAATCCTAATGGCGACTGATGTGTCCGATGCTAGTTTGATTCAGTGGAAAGAGAGTTCATCTGACTGAAGTTTGTCAGCTTCTATTTACAAGGCTATCCGTGAGTGCGTCCATCTTGGCTGGATACGGCCCCGTCTCGGAGGCACCAGATCGGGCTTATGTCCCGGAACGGCAGGCGTGCCACGGGACGGCTCGGACTAGTCCCGCTGCTTATACGGACTGCTCCGGCACCGAAGAGATATAAGCAACGCGATGAATGGGGATTTTCAACTTCGGATTAATGCTACCGCATCGAAATCACATTCGTTTTCACTTTCGATCGGGGTCATATCCTGCGCTTCAAGGCGAATTCAACGATGTACTTCTCCGGCTATCACGCGGTGATCTTGGGCCTCCTGGGCGTGACCGGGCTGACCCATGCCGCCGGCAACCAGACCGATTACGTCCAGCCCGTTCAAGACAAAGCATTCAATGCTCTCAGAGAAGCAGAGGCTGAGGCTGTGTTGAAGCGAAACAGCACCTGCACGTTGGAGAATGCTGCAGTTCGTAAGAGCTGGTGAGTGACCGTGAACATCCCACAACGATGCGTAGAAGACTTGGCAGGCTGACCTTGGTCCGATATCAGGGAAGCACTGACCGGGGACGAGAGAAAAAGTTACATCCGCGCAGTCAAGTGTCTCTTCTCATCTCCTTCGCAGACGGACCCTAGTCTGAACACCGGTGCTCGCAACCGTTATGACGACTTCGCTGCGCAGCACATCAATCAGACCATGACTGTCCATGTCACAGTAAGATACAAGATCGACTGCCGACCATTTCACCTTGCTGACGAGGAGCCAGGGAAACTTCTTGACCTGGCACAGACACTACATCTGGTCTTACGAGCAGGCGTTGAGGAACGAGTGTGGTTACACCGGCTACCTTCCTGTGAGTGACTTTCTCAGGCGTCTAATGACGTGAGTATTGACAATCTTCAGTACTGGAACTGGTTCTCTTACCAAGACAACCTCCGCAAGTCCCCGGTGTTTGACGGGTCCGAAACCAGCATGGGTTCTGATGGCCTTTTTGTGCCTCATAACGGATCCATTGGCCCTCCAGGCTTTCACATCCCTTCCGGCGATGGAGGCGGTTGCATTGCCACCGGACCTTTCGCTAAGTACGTCGTGACTGAAGCCCATCTTGTTGCAAGTAGAGTCTGACCCGAGCTCGGCAGCCTGTCCGCGAACCTCGGCCCCGTCCAGCCCCAGCAAGACGGTCTCGTCGGCGTTGGTCTCGAAGAGAAGCTCCGATACAACCCGCACTGCGTCAAGCGTGATCTGAGCAACTGGCTCGCCAGCCGCATCTACACCGAAGACGCCCTTCTCAACTCCACCATCCGCGAGACGGCCAAAGACATCGCCAGCTTCCAGACCTCCATTGACAGCCAGAGCTACGGCTTCCCGGGTGTTCATGCCGGAGGCCATCAGACCATCTCCGGCTCCAACTCCGACCTGTACTCGGGCGTCGTCGACCCGGCGTTCTACCTGCATCACACCATGGTCGATCGTATGTACTGGCTGTGGCAGGCTCTCCATCTTGATCAGGCGAAGACGATCTCCGGCACTATCACGTTCGGCAATAGCCCGCCAAGCCGCAACGCTACGGTCGATGATCTTATTGAGTTGCCTTTCCTGGGCGTAGAACCCGCAACACTTGGGAGCTTGCTGGATACCCTGGACGGGCCCTACTGCTACGTGTACGCTTAGTATGTCTCGAGCATTCCACATAGCTATCTCATGTTCCCTGTGCAATGGTACAAGATGTACAAGATTCGCGGTTGCCGACAAGGATCTTGGATGCCATTATAACGGGTGTATGTATCTACTTAAATCATGGATATCTATCGCTGCGCTGGGCAATCTACCATCTATATCGCCTCTAAATCTAAATCGAAATCTTCCATGGTGCTCAAGCCTTCTCTTCAACCCTCGCGGCCTTGATATGCCTCCACTCTCTCGCCAAGAACGTCAATGAAACACACAAGCCCAGCCCAGCCAGACCAATGCCCATGTACATGGCACCGCGGAAGCCGATGAACTTGTCCTCCGTCGACTGACCACCGCGGTTGACGTGAACATCCACCGTTCCGGCAAATCCAACGCCCAGAGCGATGCCGTAGTTAACGACGGTATTGACAAGAGAGGCACCGATCCCCTGGTGCTCCCGCTTGACAGCATTCGACAGGATCAGCGTCGCGGCGGGGAAACTCATGTCCATGCCGAACGGCATGATCAGCATCGACACGAAGATCTGCGCCCAGTAGATCTGGTTCTCCGGGGCGGTGGCCGTCAGGATGACACCCACGGTGAACGCCACTAGCGCCATGGTCATGACGATGGCAGGGCGGACCTTGAGCGGGCCGAGAAGCTTGCCGGTGATGACGGCAGCGATGCCACCGGTGACCACGACGGGAGAAAACCACGCGCAGGTCAGCAGCGGCGACAGGGTCCGGATCTCCTGCAGGATCTGCACCAGGTACAGCGTCCAGACGCCGAACGTCGCCCATCCGCAGACAACGGCCGCGAGCACGAAGCCGACGTCGGCGTTGACGGCGTCGAACGGCAGCAACGGCTTCGGCGCCCACTTGAACTCGATGGCGGCGAAGACACCGAACAGGACCAGACCCAGGATCAACGGGACCAGCACCTCGGCGGTCTTCCATCCGTCAATGGGCGCCTGGTTCCACGCGAAGTTGAAGAGGACCAGCGCCACAATTCCCGTCAAGGCACCGGGGAGGTCGAGCTCGACATACAAGTCCTTGAAACCTCTCGGGGTGGGTGTCCTCCTCGGCGGCTCGGGGATGATGAAGTATCCCGCGACGGCCAGAATGGCAAGCCAGATCGCGAGCGCCCACAGAGCCCAGGGCCACCACTCCAACTCCAGCACGGAGGCGATCGCGGCACCAACGACACCACCCATGGGCGCGACCGCGCCGAAGAACGAAAAGACCATGGCCTTGCGGTGGCCCGGGGGATACGCGGCGCCGAAGAGCGCAAGGGCGTTGGGAAGGCAGATGGCCGGGCCGATTCCCTGCAGCACACGGCTGAAGACGGCGAGGGTGAAGTTGGAGTAGACGCTGAGGCCGGCGACCATGGACCAGATGGAGAACCAGGCGAAGCCGATGATGAGCATGCGCTTGTAGCCGAAGGCGTCGCCGAGGCGGCCGGAGAAGAGAATGAAGGTGCCGACGGTCAGGGAGTAGCCGGCGACGAGCCAGGCGAGGCGGGCCGGGTTGTCGACGTTGAAGGAGCTGCCGATGACGTGGAGGAGGACGAGGGTTTCCATGTATGCGGCCTCTGGGAGGTTGTCAGTGATCTACTCATCTGCCGTGGTGAGAGTGCGCAACTCACGGGTGCAAAACTGCGCCATGCAGCAAATGGCTACGAAAAGGGCCTCGCGGGGGAATGACATCGTGGTCGCGACCCAGACCTCGGAGCCGTTGGTCTGCTGCGGTGCGAGACCGTCGCCATTGTCGTCGGACTCATCTCTGCTCGATTGGTCTGGTGATGCGCTCGAGTCGTCGGCGATTGGCTTCTCTTCTTTCGTCGTCATATGAGCATCCGGGGTCGCAGTCGCGGTCCTGTCTCCGGATAACGTGTCGACGCTCTTGCGGTGCTGCTTCTCGGACGATGAAGGCGAAGACATCGTGACGGTTGGTGAGTTTCCTTCCAACACCGTGAGCTTGGCAAACAGTCCTGGGACAAGAGAATCGAGACCAGCGCCAGGGTCGCAGGGCAGCCTTGGGTTCAAGTATCTAAAAAGAATGATCTACCCGTCGACGCTGCGGCGGCAGATGTGAGCGGGAACTCCTAGAATCGCCATATCCGACGTGGACGCTAAACTTCATAGAGAGAAGAAGAGGGGCCCTTTGGAAGAAAGGAAAATGGAAACACGCCCCTAAACCGGCGAGACCCATGGCATTCGGAATTACACGTGGGATTGGTCCAGTTTTGCAATTTGTAAGGGTCGATTTTGCAAGGCCAGGGGTCGGGACGGATCCATTGTGATGGTGGGGGGTTGTATCGTTGATGATGAAAACTCCCTCCATTTTTTGCAGTTTGTCGCTGATTTCTCACCAAGGAAGAGGCGTAGTGTGAGAGAGCGACGAGTAATACACCTAGTGACAACGCCGACGGACCAACATCCGTAATTCCTAAACGCCGCCGCCACGGGGCGCGCGCGCGCGCACGCGAGTCGGATGGCACACGTTCTTACCGGGCGTTTGCGAGTGACAGCTTTTTGATGGGTCCCCTGTCAGGATATTTTTTCTCTTTTGGGGAAAAGGCCTTCACGATCTAATCTGATGGACTTTCCATTGACTCAGTTTCGAAGAGCATCGAATCAGACGACAGCGAAAAAAATCTGAAGTTCCAGTTCTTCAGGTATCGTCAATGACATGAGACGAACAGATTTCTCCTCAAAGATCTGAAGTAAGAATGTTCCTTCAGTTTCCTTGGCATCTTTACGTGGAAGAACCAGGTATCTACGTAGCGACCCAGCTTGACAATCAGTCAGCCCGTCCGTCCACTTGAAAACAGCCACAGATCGCCCGGTCGCTAAGGCGTGCTCAGAGACATTGCGACCATCAACTGCCATATGCAGTTCAAGGTCACGAGGTGAGGGGTGAGAATTAGCAGCTGCGGACGGCTCGATTCGAGCTCCCGTAACAATTACGCAGGGCTGAAGATGGAAGGAGAGTTGCCCGGAAAATGCCAAAAGGCGGGCTGGGCTGGTCTAGCTCGAAATGCCAAAGCCACTGGAGCTGAGCACCCCGCGCGGTTGAAGGCAGCTAAAGACGCCATCCGAAAGCGTCCATGTCGGAACCTGAGTCAAGTCCATTCCACGTTGACGACATTTGTCGCGAAGGACTTGGACAGCTTGCTTATCGCCTATCGGACGTTCGGCTCCGAGTTCGGGAGGTGTGGGGCCGCTGGATTACCAACCGGCGACCGCCGTGTGGGCCCCGATTACTCGTGTGTTTCGGGTCGGAAGCAAGCTTGTTGAATCCCACACGGCCGAAGGATCTAGCTTGCAACGGCGCGCGCGGTTATTATCATTCCTGTAGATGAGAAATCGAGGACTTAATCGTTCAGAGGAAGTCAAGGGCAGTGTTTTGTATCTCCGGCGGATTTCACTCACGGACCGGGGGTAAACTGGCTCCGGTGGATCGATCTCGGAAATACGGAACGGCACTACGGGTTTACGGAACTGTGGCAGCGCCGTAGTTCCGAACGCCATCGTTCTGATATCGGAGGAGTTGTTCGCAGTCGGAGATTTTGCCCATTGTCATGATCACATTGAGCAAATCCATCTACATTAGTTCCGGAACGAGAGACAAGCTGTCAGCACTGGCAAAAGAAGCGTCGATGACGAACATTCTCAAGCGACTCGCAAGTTCAAGTGAATTTAGCCGAGAACGATAGCAGAAAGGTAAAATGAAGTATGGATAAACCACGCTCATCACTCGCAACAGAGTGAACACTCCTTAAGCTGCAACCTCACAGACACTGCGAATACCAATCATTGGTCTTCTGGCAAGTGTACGGACTCGCGCAGACAGTGCACCCGCTGAACCCGCTACCGCCGCACTGATCCCACCGATTCGCCGTGCACCCTCCGCCGCCGCTGGGCGGGGCCGCCGTCGAAGTCGCCGGAGGCGCAGCCGAGCTCCGTGTCGTCGTTCCGGGCTGTGTCGATCCGCCCTACTCACTCGTCAGCACAATGCCACTCTCTGAGACACCAGCTTATAGAAAGAAGTACTCACCGTGATTCCGAACCACTTCAAGTCCTCCGCGCCCATCACAGGCACGCTATGCCCGACCCCACTGCCGTAGATGCCCTCCAGGTTCGGCCCGTACACGTACTTGGTGTACTGCCCGCTCGGCGTGCCGGGGAGCGTCTGCTGCGGCGTGAGGCTGTAGCCGAACACGCCGGTCCACTGCTTGATCGTCTCGTTCCAGTTCTGGGGGTACAAAGTGGTGTCGGCGCTGCCGTGGTAGATCTGCATCCTTGGTCGCGCGCCGCTGTAGCCCGGGTACATGTTGAGCGCGGTCTGCGCCCAGACGGCTTGCGTCGATATGGATTGGCCTTGGCTGCAAGTCGAGTTCCATCCGTTCACGGTACCGGTGTAGAAGCATCCTGCGGGAACGCCTGAGTAGGCGATGCCGGCGGCGAAGAGGTCGGGGTAGGTTGCTGCCATGACGTTCTTATCTTTGTTAGCCCACGCTCCCGGCATGGTCAAGAATGACAGCTCGTTTAGTGTTTTCACCGGCTATAGGGACAGCATACCGTCATCATAGCTCCCGATGAAGTTCCCGTCACGAACACCTTGCTCTTATCGCCGTTATACTTGCTCAAAGTATACGTCACCATGTTGGCGATGGCATTGCTGTTGCCGCCACCGTTGTGCGTCAGCGACGCCGGCGAGCTCACGTCCCAGCAGGTCCCGCTGTATGGCGATTCGGGATAGATCACAATAAGGCCGTATGTGTCTGCGTATGACTTGTACGGTGTGTTCGAGTAGTAAGCATTGGCGGTGCCAGAGCAGTAGTGGATGGCGACGATGATGGGCGGGCTGGCTGCCAGCTTGTCCGGGACGTAGATATACATCTTTGCGCCTGACGGGTTGGCCCCGAAGCTGGTCACCTGTTGAAGAGAGGCGGCCGCTGCGAGGGTGCCGCTGAGGGCTGTGGTTAGGAGGTTTAGGAGACGCATGTTCGCGGCGGTGGAAGTTTTCGATTCTGGACTCTTTTCGTTTGATCTAAATGGCTTATCTAAAGTCCCGAGGTGAAGAAGTGACGATGCCTTTAAATACTGCAACCTACAGGTTTGAAGTGTGAATATGGCAGCGGATGTTGAGATTCCGCGTGAGACTAGTGGCTGCAACTCTCCTGCATGTGAGGTTCCGGCAACCATCCGGAGGTGACCCGCCTACTTGGGGCAAACGGCATGGTGTAGAAAGAGGTTAGCAGTTGGATTTGGCTGTGCTGGATGGACACGCAAATTGGGCAGCTCAGAGAGGATGTTTATCAGTAGGTAATCAACATTGCCATCTCATGTTGTGGACTCCGAAAGGAAAACTGGCCCAGAATGCATTATAGCAGGTAATGGATTAATGTCAAAAGGCTTGAGGTCAGCTGTACCAAAGAGACGCGGACCGAGGGCCAGACCTCCGGACCCCGAACCGGAAGTGTGGGGCCGTCGTTTCCGCCAATGAAGCTGTCTGGAGATCAGTGACACGATGAATTAATCGGGTTGATGAGAATGATTGTTATCAATAGATACTCCTTGAGATGTATCAGCCGCAAAAGAGATTATTTTGGTTCTGGTTAACATCAGCTGCCTACAAACGATCCACCACCCTCAAAACACCCTAGTCTATTCCGCATTGGTTCCCAACTCGGACAATACGACCGACTTCTTACCGCTTTCCATCACACACTCTTCTTCTCAGTGCAACATTCCCCGTTTTCCGGGTGAGCGGAGATGATACTATATAGCGTGCATGATTCGATAGTTCTCATTCTAAATGGGTATCTATTCAAAGGTTGAAGCTCCACGTGGACAGCCTATCAGCCGCAATTCAGGCTAAATACGGCGGGGTTAGGCCTCTCTACATCATATGAGTAACGACATCACCGCGTTCCACGAAGCTTATCACCCTTTCGAAACTCTTGAAAGGCGGTGTTATACTAAACTGGAGGATAGGATGTGTGCAAGAATAGAAGTTAGCTGAACATACTCTAAGGGTGTTGATGATTCTTTCATCGATGCACGATCAATCTAGGCATCAATACTCAAGGCCTATGCCATAGTCGTCTCCCATCCGTTTTCAATCATGACATCCATCCAATACACCGCTTGCGGGTCCTCGAACGAAGCAGGTCCGTGTTTCTCAGCTATCATCATGTGCGCCCTCTGGTCCATAAGCTCCCACGTTCGGTTGACAATCTGAAGGCATCTTCGGATCGGCTTAGGCGGGAGAATATTCAGGAAAGATTCCAGTCGTCCCTTGATGAAGTGGCGCATGCGTGATGTTTCAATCGCTTCCAAGGTGATTCCTGCCATGGGATTGTTATCCTCAGGGCCGGGTCGGGAAACTGGCAGTCGTAGCTCGCTGGATAATGAGACGAGAATAAAAGGCTGGAAGTCGCGGGTTCCTGATTCCAGAGGGAGTGTTTTCATTGAGGTTAGGACCTTGACTGCGTATGTTGTCAAATACTCGTCGCGTATCTGTTGATAGCTTCTTTGTGTCGTGTCACCTCCAGTGTGTTGGGCATCATCACTGGACTGCTTGGTCGATTCATATACACCTTCTCGTGCCAAACGACGATCCAGAATGTCGGGAAAGATGTGATAGATCTGTATTAGGCCGACCGAGCGATAGATTTCGGCAAGGGTCAGGAGCTGCCAGACCGGCGTATTGCGATCTTCGGGGTCGAGGACGCAAGATTCAAGGGGATGGTGCATATCGGAAAGGAGCCCCTCGAGCTCGCTAGCTACAGCCATGTCCTCTTCGAGCTGTTTGATGTGGGAGAAGGACGTGAAACGCCGCGAAAACGCCAATTTGCGCTGTTGGCGGATGAGGCGACCAACCCTTTGCACGGCAAACTGGGTATCCTTCGCAAAACCTGTCCAGGGGTGTGGGACAAGATCCGGTGAGAGATATTCCTGTGGGTACATCTTGCTCTTGACTTCCAGGACGTCGAGCTGATCAGTGTCGGCCACATACGAAAGCAGTAGCTCCCAGTATATCATGCATCGATGAAAGAACTGGTAGTCGACCCCGTTATTTTCTGATTCAACCGCTTTCAATGTCCTGCGTATCTTGTTGAAGAAGGGTAAACCGAGGTCTTTAGGATCGTGCCAGCTGGCTGAGCCGCCCAGCATCAACATGGCGAGCAGCGTGTTCGAAGTGGTACCTGCAGAGGTGCGGTCGCTGTTGGCAGTTGCTTTGTCGCTACTTTCGAGCATATGGATGGCCTCGCTGCGGAATCGGCGACCCAAGACAGCAAGCTGCGGGAAATCCTCAACTAGGTTGGCTGCCGCCATACTCTGCAGTGTGCGGTAAAGGAGTGGTGATGAATCCCACAAACGCAACACGGTGGTGCGAAAGGGATTCATGGAGCCGTCGTAACAGGAGAATAGACGGGCTGTCTCTTTAAAGTAAAACTCTATCAAAATGGTCGTCGGATCATTGAATACTCTAGATGGGAGAGGAAAGCTCGCCTGGGTAACTTCGGGGGATGGTTGGTCAAGAACTCCTAATCTGACGCTCGTGGCATAGCTCTCTTGTTCACCTGACGTCGATAAGGAGCTCGTGTGTCGGCTGACCGGGAGAACGGCGTCGTTTTGCACCGGATTATCAGGCAAGGCTTCCACATGCAGTGTTGACCCTGGCTCCATATACATCTGCATCCCGTGTAACATGGAATTGACGTTGATGCCGTCGAAAAGGCTGCTGGTTCCATCAAGAGTCGGGAACCCAGGGTAGTCATCCAGGCCGGAAACCTGGCCAAGCAGGGCGTCCATAAGATCATTACAGACTGAAGGGTCGTGGCTTCGGGGCGATTCAATGTTTTGGGGGCTATTTACGTCTTGCTCGTCCTCGTCGGGGGCAGGATCGAGAGACGCTTTGCGCGCGGCACACGTACTGCTGAAAGCCCCATCGGAAGTAGTATGGTTGCGCATAGGAGAAGCAGTTGCCCTTACGGGAGACGATCCCACTTCTCTAGCGTCATTACTTCCGGGATTTTGGAGTCGAGAAGCATGAGGAGGATGTGCAGGATATGAACGACGATTGCTGTGGGCATTAAATGGTGCAAAGACTTCATGCTTGGTCACCCATCTCAGCGGCTGGCTGTATCCAGGGCAGCGAACCCCAACACGGGTGCAGCGTCCGCATGCAGGCTTCACTTCGTCACATCTAGTCTATCAATGTAGCGGCACACGGTCAGCGATCGGTAGGCACGAAACTGGGAGCCTGATAGAGAGAGATGTTGTTCCTTACCCGCTGTTCCTTACATCGAGCACAGCCGTTGCGAGAATACGACTTGACGACGCGCGACTTGGTAGGCCTCGCTTTATCGTGGGATGTTTGATGTATCTGTGCTGATGCCGTGATAGTAGGGGCATGTGGTTCCATGGTGGACGTTCGGCTGCAAATAGTTACTTGGAAAGCAGAGCTGCGTCTACAAAATGCTGAACGAAGTGAGGTGGAGAAATGATGCTGAGGAATTCATGCTCAGTCGTTCGCCCCCTGGCTTATCGAAACCCCGCATTTGGGAATGACCTCGGTGGTTGGGATATGAGATACTGCATACATGTATGCACTACCTCATCTTTACCTCTTTGGGGCAAAACTACCGACTCTGATAACAGCGTAGGGGGCTCACAATGCAGCGACCCCATGTCCATGCGACATTTGTACCCAGCATTGGACTATTTATCCAAGTCATATTCTCTTGTCCGAGTCTATAATCACCTCCAGCAGTCCTCAACGTCATCTTTTCCAGCCCACCGCCCCGAGAGTCATTCAATATGAACCCCCAAACATGGAATCCCATCGATCTCGAAGTTCCTGAACTGGGTACGCTCACGGGACTGTGTTTCGATAACAGAACGTGCCAATATACCAACGTGCCCTATGCTACGATTGTTGGCCGCTTTCGACGCTCACAACCCTACCAAGGCACCTGGCCCGGAGGAAAATTGGACGGCACCAAACTTGGGTGAGTTGGAAAAATGGTCGAAATCCCACGGATCAAACTAACGGATAACTCGAATAAAAGACCGTTTCCTTGTCAACCGCCCAGAGACTTCTACCCCATCCCGAATCCGCAAAGGCCATGGGCTGAAAATCCAAGCACAAGCTCCACCGATTGCTTGAGCTTGAATATTTCAGTGCCTAGTAAACCTACACCGGGTGCTTTGTATCCGGTCATGGTATTCTTCCATGGCGGTGCTTTTGTGTACTCAGCTGGTGGCGCGGCCATATATGATGGTCGAGCTCTTTCTGAGATATCAGCCACGCTCCAGGAGCCGACGATTATCATTTCGGTCAATTTTAGACTGGGCGTTTTCGGCTTCTTGGCAAGCAAGGAAATCCGCGAGTATAACCTCGACCTCGGCGAACAAGGCGTGGGCAACTACGGCCTGTGGGATCAGGTCGAGGCCTTGCGATGGGTTCAGAGGCACATACACGCTTTTGGTGGCGATCGCAAGAGGGTAACCCTGTTCGGCCAGAGTGCTGGTGGTGGTGAGTGATGGCTGTGCATGTGTACAACGGCTACAGGACTGACCAATCGACCGACAGTTTCCGCCAATGTACACCTTCTTCGAGATGAGCCTCTCTTCTCGAGTGTCATCATCCAGTCCGGGCTGCTCCCGTTATGTGGAGTTCTGTCGGTCGAGCAATATCAAGGCATTTATGACAGGCTGCTGCGCGAACTTGACATACCAGCGGATCTTTCGCCGCGGGCGCGGTTGCAACGGCTACTCGACACAGATGAGAATCGGCTGACAGCGGCCATGGTTCCTGTCTCGGTTATTCCGGTCATCACCTTCAGCCCTTGCGACGATGAACACCTTATTGGGCCAAGGAAGATGCCCGTGTACAGCGAATATGTCGATTTCCGGCCCCCGCCATGGTGCACGCGAATCATGATTGGTGACGTGGCCAACGAATGTATCATCTGGAATAAGAGCTTCCGTGCTCTTGATGCTGAAGCAAGCATCCGCAGGATCCGGTCTTTCTTGGGTGACGATTCCAAAGCCGACAGGCTCATCTCACTCTACGGCTTAGATGCTGACGACAGCCATAACGATAACTTCTGGAAGATGGAAAAGTTTACTACGGATGGCTTATACACAGCTGTTAACTGGTCGCTTATCCGCAATTGTCCCTCTGTTTACGCCTATCATTTCGATGTTCCTTCGCCTTTCGACAACGACTGGGCAGGTTTGGCACACCATTCCCTCGATAATGTATACGTCTGGTCGCTACTGCGCGACCATTTGCCAGCCCACCACCGCAAGGTTTCGGCCGAGATGTCACGCATGTGGCTCGATTTCGCAAACGGCAAGGAGCCGTGGGAGCGGTTCGACAAGCAGGGGCGTTTCATGATCTTTCAAGAGGACTGTTGTGTGATGAAGACGGTCAAAGAGGATGCTGTACGCGGTTACGACGTCTGGGAGAAGGTTGAGGGCGAAGGTTTGCTTGACGACTTTCACCGCGTCACCGAAGAACTCTGCATGCGCTGGAAGGAGATCACAGATGCTTCAAAGGAGCCCAACGCTATGACGGTGGGTAGCATGAAAGATTATGGTGTCGTGCGGAAGAGGTCAGAGTAGAGCGAAGCACCATTATAATACGCCGCGCAATACATTGCTACTATTATCCATCCCGCCAGATTATTCTCTTCCTCTATTTGAAATCTCTTGACACGAAACGAATGCGGATTTCACATTCAATATTCTAAAAGAATATGACTCTGTCCTAATAAGCTTCCAGGCATGCGGTCTATTATAGGACAGAAAAATGCATGCAGTAGAGAGTGTATAGCTAGGTTACTCGAACATAATGCGACCAACGTCTTATTGACTTTCAAATCGTCAGCTCTGATCCCTCAAAGTTTCAAGAAGCACTCCAGTTATCAAAACCTTTACAGATTTTTGTGGTAAGACTCGTGAAAAAGTCAGGCGTCTCTGAGGCATTGGCTCGAGGCTTGTAACCTGAGATGAGTTACGAGTGAGTAGAGCTAGCTCACCAGAACCGATTTTGAGATAGTCTAATACAATCTGTTTTCAAGAAGAGGAAATATAATCATTTTGGATGAGTCTGCTTTTTTGATGCAGCAAGACTAGACTGGCTTGATATAATCTCATGCTAGTCTGGTAAACTCGCCCGACGGACGGCATCGCCTTAAATATGTTACCCCGTAATGCTGGACAACGCATTGTTGAATTCTCAGACATGTTGAAACATCAGTTCCAGCTTACCTCCCTTGGGACCAGCAGTAAATCCTTCTGCGAGCTCCATGTTGGGAGCGCCCACGATTGAGGTTGTGTAGTTGGTGTACACGCCAGCAATACAGTGTTTCATAGCTACAAAGTTGTTAGAATATGCATGTTCAAGTGAGGCATAGACGCAGATAAATAAACGAAAGATTAACTCACAATGCGTTGCAATGTTGCTACCGATGCACATGGCACCACCACTTCCCCAGGCCCAGAACCACTTCCTCATCTCGGACAAGCGCTCGGGAGTCTGGCCAAGCCAACGTTCCGGAATCCATTCATCTGGTTGGGGGAAGATCTTTGGATTACGGTGTATGGTATAGCCCGCCGACTGGACACGCACGCCTGGGGGAATGTGATCGTAGCCGGCGAGAGTGCATGAAGGGGAGGGCGTCACACGGGGCTGACCACCAGGGACGGCAACCCACAGACGAAGGGTCTCCTGAAGAACGGCGTCGAGTAAGCTCAGCTGATCCACGGCTTTGGCGTCTGGCAGATCGGTGTCGTCCCAGGATTTGGGGTATGACAGCTTGGGAGACAGCGTACATAGTTCTTCGCGCAGCCTGTCCTGCAACTCCGGGCGGCGTGAGAGCTCATAAAAGACGTAGGTCAATGTATCACCGCTCGTTTCATGTGCAGCAGCATTGTGGTCGTACATGTCACTCGCTAGCTCGAGACGGCGAGGGTACGGCTGGCCATTGAGGGCTTGGACCTTGCAATCTTGCTTCTTGAAAGCTGTACGCTCCCATTCGTACACCAAGGGCTTGTCCTGGACCGCGACAGTCGCTTCGCTTGAGAGAAGATTCTCGGCCTTGTCGCAGATGGAGATCTGCCACTCCTCAAGGTCGGTTGATGATTTCTCAACCCAATCTGGCACGAGTTTGATACCGATACGACGAGCCATAGCAGTAAACTTTGGCAGCTCAGTGGTCCAGAAGAGATAGGGACGCCTGACGTAAAAGAGGTAAAGGTACCACTTTCGCTCCTCGACATTTTGCAGAAAGTTGGTGCCCAAGGAGAGACCGAATTGGTATGTTGTGAAAGCATCCATCGAGTAGGCAGCAAGCATAGCAAGAACCTCGATGGACTTCCGCGAATCAGCCGCCTCTTTGATACTGGGCATGAGACGGTCAAAGAGAACAGCCTTTGTGGTTTCGCGAACCGTGGGACTGGATAGGATGTAGGATTTGGAGTAAACATGAGACAGCATGCGCTTTCTCTGGCTGTGCTCCTTGCCTGACATGGCGAACATGGGGTCGACGCCATAGTTGACGAAACGGTTATGGTAAAAGTCCGTCTTGTGGAAGCCGCCGGTGTAGATGGTTTTAAGGCCACCCTCATAGCAGTTGACGCTGAGCTGATGAGGCGCGGTACGAAGGATGGGTCCTTTGCGCTTGTGCAGTTCATGGATGGTCTGGTTCTCGACCATCTTGTAGCGGATGTAGTATATCCATAGGGGGCAGACGTGACTGCTCCAGTGCGCGGCAGGGATGCGGGACAAGGGAGATAAGAAAAGAGAGTATATCAACAGCTTGTATACAGCCACGAGGAATAAGCCTGTGGCTGCAACGACCGGGATGTTGATATCGCTGAGATCCGAGAGGTGACTGGCTATGTTATGGACCAGGGAGTCGATCATGTTGGCAATGAAAAAGTCGTGAAGTGTCAAGTGCGGAAGTAACAGAGTCGGATGTGGGATGCGCTACGAGAGCTTGATAATGTATGTCTTTGCGCCCACTTGAAGCCGATTCGCGATCGACGATCATAGAAAAAGAAAAAGGACGAAACCCCGCGTCAGGTAATGGGATTTTGTGTAGGACGAGGGACACTGTTTACCTCTTTAGGCTCAGTCTTATCGTCAGCCGCAGAAATACCATGCAAAGAGTGCATGCAGTTGCAGCTGAAGCTGTAAATCTATGGCCTGATAGTTGAGGTAGTGGCACTCATGACTTGCATGACTATCGCGGCTATCGTCATTCAGCATGCCAACCTGGAAGACGGACTTGCCGGGCTATCTTGGGGTTTCGTGTGGGGAACGGTAGTTTTCCCTGCTTTGGGTCAAGCCTCATTGACATTCACGAGGTGAATGCAGGGCTTATCTGACATTCTCACTACGTATCATGGTGTTTTCAATAGGGGTTCACCGCATCAACTGCGGGGTTCCATGCGGAGAACGACTTTTTTATCCTTTTTGGGTAAACTCATATTCAACTCACGTCACACAGTCACGACTATCATAGACAGCCAAGGGCTGGCTGCGGGCCTAGGCAAGTCTTCTTGCCTTGCAGCTCATGTAGTCCCGTACTACTATGCTATCTGCCGGCGAGCTTAGAGGTTGCGCCGGTGACAAAAGCTTGGTATCTGGATGAGTCTGTCACTGAGACCTGCAGCTGTGATGCCCGGTCAGCCCGGAGTCTTGAGCATTAAGCACGATCTTGCACTCTGCCTGTTAATGTTCTATTACCCCGGCGAACTGGTGTTTGAATCTCTTGCTAGTTCTGCCTCCGCTCCTTGAGAATCGTTCTCCTTTACTTCCACTTTCTTCACTTTGCACGAATGTTCTCGCCATGGCCACCGATGTTAAATCTCAGCCCCTTTCACGTGGCGACATCAGCAACATGGAGAAAGCCCCTCCGCCAGGCGTTGACACAGACGCTGCGCGCCTGGCGGACATGGGGTATTCCCAGGATATGAAGCGAAACTTCTCCGTCTGGTCTGTTCTCGGCGTCGGATTCTCTCTCACCAACTCGTGGTGGGCCGTCTCCGCCGCCCTCATCACGGGCGTCAACTCCGGCGGACCGTGCCTGCTCGTGTATGGGACCATACTGCTGGCCGTCGTGTCCATTGGTGTTGGAGTGTCTCTGTCTGAGCTCGCGAGTTCTATGCCCAACGCCGCGGGGCAGATCTTCTGGGCTTCCGAGTTGGCCCCTAGACGTTATGCTCGCATCACTTCCTACGCGACGGGGTGGTTGGCATGGGCAGGGTCTATATGTGCCATTGGGACTGTCGCCTTGTCTGTTTCATCGGCCGTGGTTGGCTGCTACCAATTGACTCATCCTAAGCTGTAAGCCCCCCCGTGAAGCACGCACGCATAATTGACATAAAGACAAAGTGAGAAGTTAACATTGCGGCTCGTATCCCCAGAATCATCGAAGCATGGCATGTCGTTGTGGGATACCAAGTTTCTAATTGGTTTGTGTTTGTCTTCAACTGTTGCGGCAAAATCCTCCCCACCGTTGCTTCTGTCTCGCTTTACACGACGCTTGTCTCTTTCGTCGTCATTCTCGTCACGGTGCCCTCGGCATCCGAGACGCACCAGAGCGTCGAATTCGTCTTCACAACATTTATCAACAATACCGGATGGTCAGAGAACACCATGGCCCTCATTGCGGGCCTGATTAACGTCAACTACGGATTCTCGTGCCTTGATACGGCAGTACACATGGCCGAAGAATTAGAACGTCCCGAGAAGATGATTCCCATAGCCATCATGGGCACGGTGGGTATCGGGTTCGTCACTTCGTTTGGATTCATCATCTCCATGCTTTTCAGCTTGACGGACTATTCGTCTGTACTAGAGACACCCACCATGGTGCCCATTCTCGAGTTATTCTATCAAGCCTTGAGGAACAAGACAGGTGCTGTGGTCCTGGAGATATTAGTTGTTTGCACTGGACTGGGCTGCCTTGTTGCCTGTCAGACATGGTCATCACGGCTTTGTTGGAGCTTTGCTCGAGATGGTGGCCTGCCCTTCTCCAAGTTCCTTTCCAAGGTCCACCCGCGTCTTCAGGTTCCATTATATGCTCATTTCGCAAGCACCTTACTCGCCTCTCTACTAGGCTTTCTCTACCTCGGGTCTACCACCGCATTCAACAGGTATAATGACAATGCCCAGGGGGCTCTGGAGATGTGGCTGACCTTTTGCTGCAGTGTCCTTTCGGGCTGCATAGTCCTCCCTTACCTGTCTTGCGGCATCCCTGTGGCCTGCCTGCTGATTCGAGGGCGAAGTACTATTCACCACGGCCCATTTTGGTTGGGCTCCTTCGGACTCATTTGCAATATTGTTCTCCTTGTCTGGGTCTTGTTTACCTTCGTGATGTACGCCGAACCTCTTCCGTGCCATTGGATTAAGATACTAACATACTTAGGTATTCATTTCCCGCCTCCAAGCCAGTGGCATCAGACAGTGAGAATCTCGCAGACTCCGTTCCATTGACATAGCACTAATACGACCTTCCCTAGATATGAACTATGTCTCTGCTCTCTATGGCATAATTGCTACGATGGCGTTGACCGATTGGGTCGTTAGAGGGAGAAAGTCATTCAGAACACCAGTCAACTATCAGGACGTACTATGTGGTATTGAAAGAGAAGAAAGCGCTTGATTTTGGTATCCGCTCTATGCCCGTTGAATCCAGAAACAATACCTAACGCCATGCCATGAAGCTCGACACCAACGTCTATGTGCCATCGACACCTTCACCCATGCTCCATGTCTACCTGCCCGCATCTTTCCCTCACTTCCCCGTCCGACTCCTCAGAGTCCTCAGCCCCGTCTTATGCTCCGTATGCTTCTTGCTCAGCTGCTTCTGCCTGATAAACAAGCTCATGATCAAGCCCACCCCCGCGAATGCAACATACACGATGTACATCGTCCTGAGACTATTCAAATACGCACCCCGCGCGATCCTCGCCTGGTCACCCTGCAGACCAGCCACCACGCCCACGCTCGACGCCGCGCTCGAACCCGACAGGAGCCCCGCCAGCTCCGGGCCCAGCTCCCGCAGCAGCACCGGCTGCTGCTTCTGCATCTCGTTGTTGAACACGACGCCGCCGATGACGACGGAGATGGACGTGGCCATCTGGCGGATGAAGCCGAACGTCGACGTCGCGGCCGCGATGTCCCGCGGCTCGACCGAGGTCTGCACCGCGATCAGCGGCGACTGGAAGTTGGGCCCGACGCCCAGCCCGGCCACGATCTGGAAGAGCACGATCTTGACGAAGTCGAGCCGCAGCGGGAGGTCGTTGAAGAGCCCGAAGCCCAGCGTCATGACGGCCATTCCCGCGATGATGATGTAGAGGTAGTTGCCCGTCTTGCGGATGACGAAGCCCGCGAGGGCGGACATGCACGAGAGCGAGAGCACGTACGGGAGGAGGTAGACGCCGGACAGCAGCGAGGAGACGCCCTGCACGCCCTGGAAGTACAGCGGCAGCCAGTAGCTCCCCGACATGAAGACGAAGGCGTGGAAGAAGGCCGTCGCGAAGGCCGCCAGGTTCGACATGTCGCTGAACAGGTGCATTGGGATGACGGGGTACCGCGTGTACTTGAGCTCGTTGATGGTGAACAGGACGATCGTGAGGATGCCGAAGACGATGAGGCAGATGACCGTGGGCGAGTTCCAGGGGTGTGTGACGCCGCCGAACTCGAGCCCGAAGAGGAACATGATGGTGCCGCCGATGATGGTGACGGTACCGATCCAGTCGATCGCCTTGAGGCCCTGGCCGACGGGCGTGCGCGGGTTGTGCAGCTTCAGGACGAAGAAGAGCACGACGAAGCCGACGCCCGAGATGGGCAGGTTGATGTAGAAGCACCAGCGCCAGGTGACCTGGCTCGTGAAGACGCCGCCTATGACCGGCCCGATGGCCGAGCTGATGGCCCAGACGACGCCCATGATGCCGAAGTAGACGCCGCGCTGGCGCATGGAGAAGAGGTCGCTGATGCAGATGTTGACGAGCACTATGATGCCGCCGCCGCCGACGCCCTGGATGGCGCGGGCGGCGATGAGCATGGCCATGTTGACGGCGAGGCCGCAGATGAGGGAGCCGACCCAGAAGACGCCGACGGCGGAGAGGAGCACGGGCTTGCGGCCCCAGATGTCGGAGATCTTGCCCCAGGTCGGGACGAAGGCGGCGTTGGCGAGGAGGTAGGCGCTGCCGATCCAGATGTAGCCGATGTTGCTGTTGAACTCCTGGGCGATGGTGGGGACGGCGGTGGTGATGATTGTGACGTCCAGGGCGGCGAGGAAGAGGGCGGCGCAGAGGGAGAGCACGATGAGGGTCGTCTCTAGTTTGGTGCGGCCGGCCTCCGGGGCGTCATCGTCGGCGGCGGACGCATCTTGTGCTTCGGAGGCTTCTTTGGTCTCGCCGTTCGTGATGCCCGTCTCCGGCGAGGTCTCGGTGCCGGTCTTGGCGGGGTCGGGAGAGGCGTCGGCTACATTGTCGCTGCGGATCGTGACTGAGTCGGAGCTGGTGCTTGTTGTGCCCGCGGCGCGCTCGACGTCGGAGTCGACCTTTTCGTCGTCGCGCGGGTCTTTTGCTGTCATCTGTGGTGTTGCGGCGGTATTTGGTTGGTGAGTTCAGTCAGTTTTGCGTGTCGTTGTGAGACTTGGTTTTCTCTTCGTCGTCGAGCTATGAGTGATGAATCATAGGATGAAGCCTGGAGTAAAGAGTGATGCAGAGTATGAATCAAGAAGTGAGTTGGTAATGGTCTGGCTCAAGAGACGGATGAAAACTGTAAGCCAAGAAAGTGAATGATCAAGTCAGAACTCTCACTATCGTTACTGAGACCGGTCACCGGTGGAAGAAACGAAGTACAAATGTCGCCATCGCGAAAAAAAAAGGGAACAAGGGACGAGGCGAAGGGCGCAGATTTCCATTACCTAGTCGATGACAAGCACCTCCACATCCGCTCCAACCTGACCCCGGTCCCATGTGCAAGAGGAATCGGGAAAAGTGGGATAGCCTATGAACGAACCGGCCCAGCCCAATTAACACCGCCGCGGGTCACCGACTGTTGGGCCGGTTGGCCGGTTTCTCCTGGGGAGAAGAAGCACGCCAAGCGACGGAGGACGTCCAGATTGGCGTTGCCGCGTTGCCGAATCGGCCAAAAAAAAGAAGCTTTGGTGCTGGAGTTTGCTCATGTTTCCGATGAGCTGCGCTCCGCTCGCGCTGGAATCGAAATGACACGCTCATTCGGAGTTAGCAGGGCGTTTCTCGGAACTCGAAAGCCGCACACCCCCTTTTCGCTTGTTAGAGCTGTTAGTCTCGAGCCGGAGGAGGAGGAGGTAGTTCGTCTTGGACAAGTGACCTGCCTGATTCGTTCGGTGCAGTAGTACAACAGATGACATCTCGGTCTCCGAGTGACTCTTGACGTAACTACATCCTCTAGAAGACGGTGAGACCACCAGTCGGAAGGATAGTAAGTAGCCTTTGACTGATGCTAAAGCCGATCGATGGCTTCGCGTCTAGACTCGGCTCTTAATCCCGTCGTATTCACGAGAGACCTGCGACGAGCACCATCTGCGAGTCCACGACTTGACCTGCGTCGCCAGGGATCAAAGATCGAACACGACATCAGACGCTGACGCCTCCTCGAGGCGGGAGAAGCAAGGAACTTCCCCGCGTCCGCCACGTTTTCCCCCGCATTCGAGGCCGCATCCTTGACGCCGTCACTGTGGTCGGAAAGCAAAAAAAGCGATCTACCATTTACAACGTTAACATTACTCAGTACTATGCTCATTTACGTCTAGCTTATTATGACCCTCTCGTTCTTGATATTCTTGGCAACCTCGAACGGTTTGGGCTTCTGCCCCAGCTGCGTCAGGCTCTTGTGCAGCGTGTGAGGCCCCGGTTCCTGTCTTTCCCGATCTCCTCCTCCCCCGGACCAGTCCGTCGGCGGCGGCGGCGGCGGGTGCATCCCCTTCACCGCGCACACCGCTGCGAAGTCCAGCGTCGGGTACCCGCACCGCTCCGGCCGCTTCCCGGAGACCCTCGAGGTGGCGATGATGATGGCCGCCGACAGGCTGAGGATGATGCCGCTCACGAGCACGAAGAGCACCCTGCTGACCTTGCCCGCGACGACCTGGTGGCTGAGCACGGAGATGGAGAGGTCGGTGTACATGTCCTCGGGCATGCCGGGCCGGGGCCCCTTGAGCTCCCAGATGGAGGGCCCGTCGGCGAAGTAGTTGGCGTGGAAGTAGCTGAACGGCACGGACATGGCCTTGCGGATGGCCTTGAGGGAGAGCTTCTTGGCCACCTCGCTGTCGTTGATGGGGAGCGCCGTGACGGCGTAGATGGCGAGCGCCGAGTTGTCGCCGGCCTTTCCGGCGTGCGCGTTGCTCGAGTTGAAGCCCGGGACCACGGCGGAGAGGGCGAGCATGTAGTCGTCGAGGCTGACGATGTCCTGGACCGCGGGGCTCATGTCGGTGACGGCGAGGATGGAGAAGTTTCCGCGGTCGTAGGTGATGGTGGCGCGGCGGGAGTAGACGAAGAGGGACGATGAGAGTTCGAGGGGCTCGGTCCAGGATTGGTTGCTAATGCAGGAGCTCGTCGTTTGCAGCGAGATGGGGCAGTACGCGGAGCCTGATATCGATGGATGTCAGCATGAATTCGAGATCTGGGAGGTTTCGTTGTGTCCTCACCGAACAGCAGGCCGTTCTTGTCCCCCACAGCAGAACACCAGTACGACGCGGCATTGGCGGCACCGAGGAGGACACACCTGCCGGTCGAACGGAGCTTGTTGAGGTCCGGCACCTTGCCGTACTCGAGCTGGACGACTCGCGTGTGGGGGACCACGAACGACGAAGAGCCCGGGAACTGCTTCAAGTCGTCCGCCTGCGGCGCGATGGAGACGACGCCGCCGCTGATGAGATGCGACTCGTCGCACGGCGCCCATTTCCCGTCCAGACCGCTGCACTTTCCCACGCCCTGGTGCAGGGGGTCCAGGGAGAACGAGTCTCTGTCGGACCACGCCGGGCTGCCCATCTGCACCAGGAGAGCCGTCGCCGTGGAGTTCTTGACGTGGTAGATGTTGGAGGCGTTGAAGGGGGCGATGCCCGCGGAGACCGGGTACGTCTTTTCGGGGAATGTGACCATCTCGATGGAGATCGCGCCTGGATCGTCATCATCAGCATCATCCGTAGGACTTCACATCCGAGGCCGGCTTACCCATCAGAATAACACCAGGAATAGGAATCGAGCAGATCACGAGAAGACTAAACACAGTCAGAACACCCGTCACCTCTCAGCTCAAGACGCCAAAACCTACCGGAACAGACTGGAATACTTCTGCCTCCACTCCGCCGTCGCCAAAAGCCTCAAGAGCCCCCAAACCCCGGTCCCGGAATCGAGCCCGACGAAATGCAGAAGCGAAATCCCCTGCGGCCGAGACGCCAACGCCCACTGCAGGTCCTCGACGCACACGACCACCAACCCGGCCATGATGATCGCGCAGAGCTCCGTCATCACGCGCAGGACCAGGATGGAGTTGCTCGCCGACGCGACGAAGAAACTCTGCTTCATCAGCGCCTTGGCCGAGCCCGTCGAGTACAGGGTCGTCAGCGTGACCATCAGCGCCGCGAGCAGCCACAGCCCCACGGTCCACCACACGAACGGGCTCGTCCCCGTCTTCTCGCTCCCGCCGCTCCCGCTCTGCACGGCCGTGAGCTGGATGGTGTCGTTGAAGGAGTCCCGTTTCCGGTCGAAGGACTGTTCCTGCGCGTCGGGCGTGGGCGGGTGGAGGAAATTCGTGTCATGGTGGTGGCGGAACCCGGGCCTCAGCGGCGAGGGGAAGGCGGAGGCGCGCTTCTCGCTGCGGGTGTCCGAGTACTTGGGCCACTCCTGCGAGAAGCCGTCGTCGTCGATGATCTCGGGGCTGCGCTGGAGCTGCGCGACGTGGATGTAATCCTTGGTGCTCTCCCTCCGTGACCATGTTCGTTGGGGGGCGGCCCTCGAGGCGTGGGAGCGTTTGATGTGTTCGTTGATGTCGTCGAGGTTGATCGTCTCGTGTTTATCCTCCGCGGAATCCATCATCGTCGACTGCTGCTGTTGCGTGTGGTCTCCATAAGGTCCATAAGGTGTTGTGGCGCCGTTGTGCCAAGCCGGTCGAGCCATGTGGGTGTGTTCACCAGAAAAGAATGGAATGCAAGACGCGCTGCGTCTGCCCGTATGGAAAAGAAGAGGAGAAAGGCAGAAAAAAAGCGAGGTTAAACGAGCGTGTGGATGTCAGATATGACGTGAAGGGAAAAGAAAGAGACCGAGAAAAGAATTCCCACGATGAGATCCCTCCCTCTCTCTCTCAACAGAAAGAGCACCAACACCGACTTACACGGCGGCTCTTAGCTCTCTGGGAAGGTGTGGATGCGGCCCAGCACGACGCTACGAGTCAGTCGCGGAGTCGGCGAGTCGTGGACCCTGGACGACGCTCATTGTTGGCAGATGAGATGTCGTTTACTTGAGACTCGGGGATGGCACGAAATGTCTAGGCGATCAAACCGCAGAGGGTCTTTCCATGTTCCGGGACGAGATTGTCGTGAGGATGAACATCGGTCAAGCCGCCACATACCGGCGTTGAGCTTTTTTTTTCATACGGCCCCCAACTTGCATGTTTTTTCTTCGTGATTTGCTGTCACTGGGACAACTTCGCAAACTGCCAAGAGCGGGCCGCGGGAGAGAGAAACATCAAGCGCCCCAGTGAGGTGAGGCCTCATTGAGATAACGAATCCATTCAGCTCCAAGGAGGCATCTCGACCACATCGTCACAGAACCTCCCAGGACGTCCATCCCCAGATATAGAAAACAGCATAGTGCCCAATAGTGCTACGTGCGATGATCCCAAGCTTAAAAAAAGCCCATAATAGTTGGGACGGCATAAGAAGTGGTGTGGAAACGGCCCTACAGGGCTTAGTCGGCACTTGTCGAGAGATCCTTGACCACGCGTGTGTGTGCGGTGTGGTGTGTGTGAGGGATCGGCCTCGCACATCTCAAACAAGGGAATGTGCATTGCCGTAAATAGCAGCAACGTGAGAACGGGATAAACGCCATCCACGTTCGAAGGAGGCGCTAAGCCCCGGCGTCTCGGCGCGTATTTCTGTTGTTGATGTCTTCTGGTGAAAATCTTTGGCCGTGAAGAAATGATTGACTAGATAATGAGATGCTATAAACCAACAGTCATAGTCTGAGTTCATGACCAAGAGAGTGTATGAAGCGGCACAGAGACTCAAATTTAGCAGGCCTCATTGAAAGCACGGCCTGGCCGTTGCAATCTCTGAATAACCTCACGGACGAAGATCAGTGGGATTGCATAAGAGCGGCATTTCCTTTTCATTATTGCGCATTGACCTCCACGACCGGGATGCTGCGAAATGACCGGGATGGTGAGAGCCGAAGGACCCACTCTCGGAACCGGGGGTCAGTGCTTTGTGGCCCCCGGCCGCCCGGACTCCGGCGGTCGGAATGATTGAGGACCGGTCACGATCTTGCAGGTGAGCGTCGGCGACCGGTGTAGGTCCGATCTCACATCGGCAAACGGAAGAAACGTCGTCGTCGACATCTGAACGTTGGTGTTTAAGTTGAGCGTTAATTATATTGAGACCTGTCTTGCTAATGAGATGTTCCTTCTATTAATGTGATATCTGCGGTAATTAATGAGAATGGGTAGACATTTGAAAATGTTATAAAATACTGCCACACTCAAAGGTGACGAATCGTGTAAGAATGGCCGAGTGAGAATCAGCGCCGTGAAGTTATATCGCGCAGTGTCGAAGCAAGGGATCTCCAAGACAACACACCACGAACATGTGGAGAGCTCACCCCAAAAAATAAACTCATCCCAAAATCCCACTCACAACTTCTTCTCCCTCACACACCCGCCATCGTGAGCCTCAACCATCACCACCATCCATGATATAACACACAACACTCACACAACCACACTCTCACCCCATGAGCCCCTTCACCCGCCGCCTCCCACTCCTCATCAAACCCCTCACATCCCACCGCGCCCTCACAATGTCGGCATCACGAACCTACACAGACGCCCTCGCGCACCTAAACACCCTCATCCCGAACCTCAAAATCCACGCCCTCTTCTCCGGCCCCAAACCACCACCCACCACCACAACTCCCGCCTCCGTCTCCGACCCAAACGCCCTCGCCATCCCCGAAATGCGCGCCTGGCTCTCCCGCGCAGACCTCCCCCCCCGCCTCCTCTCCAAAATATCCTACATCCACATCGCCGGCACAAAAGGCAAAGGCTCCGTCACGACCCTCACCACCTCCGCCCTCCTCTCCTCCCTCCCCTCATCCTCTCATCAAATCGGAACCTACACCTCCCCGCACCTCGTCTCCCCCCGCGAACGCATCGCCCTCAACGGCACCCCCGTCTCCCAGCCCCTCTTCGCCAAACACTTCTTCGACCTCTGGGACACCCTCTCCGCCGTCCCAGCCGACCCCTCGCTGAACATCGACGCCGGCGCGAAACCATTCTACTTCCGCTTCCTCACCCTCCTCGCCCTCCGCATCTTCCTCGCCGAGGGGGTAACCTCCGCCGTCATCGAGTGCGGTATCGGGGGCGAATACGACGCGACCAACATCCTCCCCCCCGAGGCCGTCACGGCCAGCGTGATAACCCAGCTCGGGATCGACCACGTCGCCATGCTGGGCTCCACACCCGAACAAATCGCGTGGCACAAGGCGGGCATCATGAACCCCGCCGTCGCGACCTTCACCCGCCGCCAGGACGACCAGCCGGGCGTGATGTCCGTCCTGCGGTCCCGCGCGGCCGAGGCCGGCGCGGAGCTGGTGGAAGTCCCCGACGAGGAGGTCGCCTCCTGGGCCGGCGCGCCGGGCGCCAGGTTACCCGGCGGGGCGTTCCAGAAGCGGAACCAGGCCCTCGCGGCCCTCGCGGCGCGGCACCACCTCCGGATCGTCGAGGGCGGGGAGAGGCGTATCAAGCCGGACGCGGCGCTGCACACCATCCCGGAGCCTATCATCTCCGGACTACGTGAGGCGACTCTCCGCGGCCGGCATGAGGTTATTACACAAGGCCCCGTGTCCTGGCACCTCGACGGCGCGCATAATGCGGAGAGTCTGGCTGAGGTATCGCGCTGGATGGCCCCTCTCATCCTCGACTCCGCGAGTCCCTTCGTGCTGGTCTTCAACCAACAAGAACGCGACGCCTCGGAGCTGCTCCTGGGTCTGCTGGATGAGATGAAGGCTGGCGGTGTAGACCTCGAGTCGAAACTCGCTCATGCCATCTTCACTCGCAACGATAAGACCAGGGTGGAAAATGCGGATCTGGAAGTACAGCAGAAGTGCGCAGACGCGCTGGCTGCGGCATACCCGGGCGTGAAGACGAGCGTGTGTGCGGACCTGGGAGAGATGAAGAGCGCGGTGGACGCCGTGGTGGCGGCAAGCGGCGAGGAGACCAAGGTGCTCGTGACGGGGAGCATGTATCTCGTCGGGAACGTCATCGGCTTCCTGGAGCCGGATAGTCTATTATGAGCGAGAATGACGACATAAAATTAATTCTAGAGTTGAATCCGCGAGGAAGACATAATTCACTTTTAGCCCCCTCTATCCCGCCGTCATAACCTGTAACTACTTATATAATGTTGAAGAACCCCCATACGCCTTGCCTCCCACTACGAGTGTATCAAAGAGCATCCGCCCCCTCCAAGATCTGCAACGCGCCGCCCACGAGATGCAGACTCCCCGTCACGAAAGCCTGCACGCTCTCCCCGTCCTCCTCCTTCACACCCCCCGCCAGACCCCTCACATGCTCCAGCGCCTCCTCGATCGTCGGGATCACCCTCACATCGGCCCGCGGATCCAGCTCCCTCCACCGCTCCGCGAACTGCTTCTGCACCGTCATGGCCTCAATGGCCTTGCTGTCGTACTGGTGATTCACGAAGTCTGTCCCTCAAAAAGTCAGCGTACCACCCTCAACCAATTCCCTCAGAAAGTACTCACCTCGCTTGTACCCCGTCTGCTTGTACGTGACATTCGTACAAAACACCACGCTCTCGAACCCCCTCCCCTCCCTCTCCACGGCCTCGTACACCCCGTCCAGGAAGTCAATCGCCTCGCTGCGGCCCTGCTGATTGAACACGAGCACCCTCGGCCCCGTCCTCCCCCGCGTCTCCCCGGCAAACCACCGCCCCGCCATCCTCAGACTATCCGTCGTATGCGCCCCGTCGACGAACCACACGATCCTCCCCTCGTCCTTGACCTCGCACCGGCCCCTCCACACGACCTCCTCCAACCCCCGCACGAACGCGGGCGGGAGCTTCTCCTCGTCAACCACGAACCCCGGGTCCAGCTTCCGCAAAACGCTCTCGGCGAGCCTGATCGCCAGACTCGCGTTCCGCCGCTGGAACACGGCGTCGGGCCGGATCCGCACCCCCTCCAACCTCGCGTCCACCCCGACGACCTCCAAAGTCACCCCCTTCTCCCGCGCCCTCTCCTCCAGCACGGCCCGCGCCTCCGGCACCTGCTCGACCGTGAACGCCGGACTCCCGACCTTCATGATCCCCGCCTTGTGCCACGCAATCTTCCCCACGGTATCCCCCAGCGCGAAGACGTGGTCGATCCCCAACGTCGTGATCCCCGTCGCGACGGGTCTCCCCACGAGATTCGTAGCATCATACTCCCCGCCGATCCCGGTCTCTAAAATCGCGCAGTCGACGCCCTCCTGCACGAACGCGTGGTAACTCACGAGCGTCAGATATCTCGAGTAAATCGGGCGGGTGCCGAGCGCGACGACGTCCTCCATTTCCGTAGACGCGCCCAGCCGGTCCCAGACCTCGAAGAAGTAGCGCGCGAAGAGGGCCTCGGAGAGCGGGGCGCCGTTGATGCGGATGCGCTCGCGGACGGCGATGAGGTGCGGGGAGATGAGGAGGCCGATCTTGGCGGGTTGGAGGGAGGGGGAGAGGGCGGCGTGGTGGGAGAGGATGGAGTCCGTGAAGGCGCAGGTGCTGCCTTTGCCCTTTGTGCCGGCGACGTGGATCACGTTGAGGGCGTCGAGGTCGGATGTCTGTTCGGGGTGATGTCGGTTAGCATGTTGACCTTCGATATCTTTCCAGGGAGGAAGACGCACCGTGTACCCGATCCGCGCCAGGTAAGCCCTCATCTCCTTGATGGAGGCCTCGTCCGGCCTGACGCCGGCCTTGCGCCGCGCCTCGATGACGGCGAAGGGCGTCTGCAGCGTGTTGAGCGCGTCGACGGCGTCCTATACCACCATCTCGTCAGTCCCGTCTCGTCTCGTCGTCGACCCCTCCATTTGCGCGGGCCGAAGTCGGAGGAAAAGGCAATACTGACATTATACGTGCGCCCCGTAGCCATCGTACGAATCGTAATCCCTCTTCGGCAGAGGAACAAATTCGATCTGGTGGTGCTGCTGCTGTGAAGCTTGCTGCTGCTGAGGCGCAAGATGCGATGCATCTGGCCGAGCTCTGGAGGGGTCACGCACGACGCTGCAGCTGGGAAATGTCGCTCGCCAATCTGCCGGCGGTGGTGGGGGGTTTGCTGGGAGCGCCCCACTTCCCGCTTGGTGGTGGTTTTCTGAGGTGGTGTGCCTTTATATCTGACGACCCGGCTCGGCGTTACTTCCGATCGCCGGCTGCGGAACCGAGGGTTATCATGACGATGATTTTGTGATGCTGATCTTCGGAGCCGGAGAGACGGAATAGCCTCAGAAGAGCATTGTTCTAAGGACCTGCGAGACACTGAGCTGCTCACACACACTGTAGCTGATAGAATACACTGCCTTCATTCAAGTCTATGGCTATGTCTTACACAGACCAGAGGTCTAGGCTCTCTAATCTCCTCCCGAGCCAACCGTACGACAAAAGAAAAAAATTGTGTGTTCCTGTCCATTATTCTACCTTGAGGCTTTGCAGACGCGCCTCGGTCGCGATGACCTGTGATCGTGTTAGCTGGTGTTGCAAAAGAAAACACTTCTCTGGTTGATTACTCACATCGAGTGCCTGCTGAACCTCCAAAACCTTCCTCACCTCGCCGAGCCAGTCTCTGCTCAGCGTCTTGGCCCAGCCCTGCAGGCCGTTCATCTCGCGGGCGGCGGCGTCCAGGTTGCCCTCCTCCAGCAGCGTCTGCGTGCGCGTCAGGATGCTCTCGACGTCGTTGCCGTCGGCCAGGCCCTGCTTCTTGAACATGACCTTGCTGAGGAGGTAGCTCGACGCGTGGCTGGCGACGCCGGCGTCGTCCGGCAGCAGCGAGGCCTTGCGCACCTCGCCGGCGACCGACCTGAACCTGTCAATCAGCTGCGCCGCGTTGGACAGCCCGCGCTGGTACGCCGACGGGTTGATGGAGGCGATGGCGGCGTTGACGACCGGGTCGTCCGCCGCGATCTCCTTGAGGGCGACGAGCTCGCGGGTGAAGGGGCGGGGGTGCGCCGCGTTCTCCAGGCTGGCGCGGACGGCGTCGACGGCCACGTGGAGCTGCTGCGTGCGGAGGTTGGTGTCGACGACCTCGTTCCATCCCGTCGTGAGCTTCTCGAGGTCGGCGACCGCGGACGAGAGCTTCTCCAGCTTGCCCAGGCGGCCCTCGCGCTCGGACTCGACGTGGTTCTCGACCTCGGCGACGAACTCCTTCTTCAGGGCGAGGGCCTGCTCGAGGAGCTGGTTGTTGAGGCGCTCCTCGTTGAGCTGCTTCTCGCGCTCCAGCAGCAGCTTGGTGCGCGCGTCGTAGCTCTCCTTGACCTTTTGCATCTCCGACTCGAACTCCTTCCTCCACTGGGCCTCCTGGGAGACCATGGCGCCCTCGACGCGGGCGATCAGGTCGTTGGCGGCCTTGTCGAAGTCGGCGACCTTGGCCTGGACCTCGGCGGCGGCCTTCTCCTCGACCGAGGACTTGATGGCCTTGATCTTGCTTCCGACCTTGCTCAGCTCGTTCTTGGCCTTGGAGATGGTCGGCGAGTAGCGGCCGTGGGCCTTGTCGGCGTTGATCACGGTGATGATGTCGTTGAGCATGCGGACGAGGTCCTGGACGACCGGCTCCGTCGCGTCCTCGATGTTGATGGCGTCGATCGGCGGGATCGGGGGGAAGCGCGAGGGCTCGTTGACCTCGGGGGCCTTGAACTCGGTCGTCTCCTCCTTGGCCGCGACGACGGGCTTGGCCTCGACGGGCGCGGCCTTGACCTTGGTCTCGCGGGCCTTGGGCTTCTCGACGGGCTTCTCCTCCTTCTTGACGGCGACGACCTTGGCGGCGGCCTTGTCGACGGCGCTGGACTGGCGGCCGGCGGGCTCGCCGCTGTCGGCTACCCTCCAGGACGCGCCGCTCTGGGCGGGGACCTTGACCTGGCTGCCCGTGTCTCTGGGCTTGATCTTGTTCGAGATGGTGGGGAACCGCTTGCGGAAGTCCATCTCCTCAAAGTAGAGGACGGCCTGCTCTCCGAAGGGAACATACTCGGTGAAGAAGTCGTGGAAGCTGTCGTTGAGGCGGGAGTACCAGACGCCGCCGCCGAAACCGACGGCGCCGAGGACGGCGAGGGTCAGGACGAGGTTCCTCAACCTGCGGAAGAAGCCCTTCTTCTTGGGGGCGGCGGCCGCGGGTGTCTGGGGAGGCGGAGGAGGCACGACAGTCTCGGTTTTGGGGGTCGGTGGGGCGAGGGGGACCTCGTTCTTGGGGATCGCGGACTCGGCGGCGGCGGCGGCGGCGGTGATCTCGGGAGCGGCGGCCTTCTCAGCCGTGATGGTCTCCGACGCGGGCAGGACGGCGGGTTTGGACGGGTCGACGGGCTTCTTGTCGTCGGCAAAGTGCCTCCGGCGAACGGCGGCGGCCTGCCATTGGCGACCGACGACGGACGCGGCAGGTCTGTGGCCGAGCACCCTCACGGATCGAATCGACGTTCGCAACATGAGGGGATGCAATGGGCCGACGAGGCGAGATTGGGAGGGGGATGATGTCGAGAGGTGGTTGTGGTGGGAGGATGTGATGCACCGGAATCCAGGAACAAAAAAGCTCAGGGAAAAGTTCGGCTAAAATTGGGGGAGCTGCCAGGACACACGACAGCCGCGCACGGCGGGAACCGGGATGGAGACTCACGTCACCGTCACCACACCAGCCAGTACTTGGATCAGAATTTAATTCAACATTATTTCGATATTTAAACGACTCTTGAATTTGACATGTTTTCATGAGCCCGAGTTCAATGCCGTTATATCTTATACGTCAACTGATCTGATCCTTCTCAAGTCAAAGCTGTCATCCAATCTGTTGGTTCTATGCAAAGCGACACGACAACACGCCATGGTTCAAACCCCTCACATACTCAAATCACTCAAAGTCATATACCATCCGTAAACAGCTGCCTCTATTGCATACTGTACATTGAAAAAAATGCTGCAGGATGCATCCCCCCAGTGGTAAAAAAAAAAAAAGAGAATCCGTTCCCGTACACCGTCTGATTCCTGGTCTGTCCCTACACCCGAGTTGCCACCACCGAATGACCAGCGCAATGAAGACACGAAATGTAAATCACACTCTCGAAAAACGTACTGTTGATATTAAAAAGCTGGGCCCGGCATACCCTTCCTCGGTGTAGGGTGCAAGACGACGCACACTGCCCAATCTCATCCTCATCCAGCCAGAACGCCGTCGTGTACGTGCTCGTTTGGTATGTGATGGTTGGCCGACGGGTCGCCTCGGGCAGTCTGCCGGCTGGATCTGCCTCGTTTCAATGAAAAAAAAATGTTTCCCTCGCCAGTTCCTCGTGGTTCGTGCGGTATGTGATATCCTGTGCGCGGTGCTCATCTAGCAGCTGCAGGGCCCGCTGACGTTGCTGCCGGGAGTCTCGGGCTGGAGGCTGACGCCCTGTCGCTGGCCCGGCCTGGCATGCCTAGGGCCGGCCTGGTCGAGGGGCAGCTTCTTGGCGATGGCCGTGAAGAGGTCCTTGACGTTCTCGGCCGTCTTTGCCGAAGTCTCGAAGAAGAGGAGGCCGGCCTCGCGCGCGTACGCCTCCGCGTCTGCCGTGGGGACGGCGCGCTTATCGGGTTGCTCGTTGACCAAATCCAGCTTGTTGCCGGCGAGGGCGATGATGATGTTCTCGTTCGCTTGTCGTTGGAGCTCCTTCACCCAAGCCTTTGCCTTATCCAGCGATGCCTGCAGATGTGTTAGCTGTCGATATCCTGTGTCGTGGCATGACGTGGCGTACAGATTGGGTGATGTCGTAGACGACGACGGCGCAGTTGGCGTTTCTGTAGTACATGGGGGCGAGGGACTTGTAGCGCTCCTGTCCGGCGGTATCCCAGATCTCGAACTTGACTGTGGTGTTCTCGTCGAGAGAGATGGTCTGGGTCAGGAAGGCGGCGCCGATGGTGGATTCGCGGTACGAGTCAAATTGGTCCTGCAGGAGAATGCCGTCAGCGGATGTTTGCTGGCTGCCGGGGACGAACATCGATGACCTACCTTGACGAAACGCAGTACGATCGAACTCTGGCGGACATGTTAGCACGACGGACGAGACTTCCTCGAGGTCCGGACGATGTACCTTTCCAACAGCGGACTCGCCTGCATCGTAGAGATTAGCCAGCATGTCCTAAAATGACCGGCGGAGATGGAAATACCTAGAAGGACAAGCTTGAACTGCGCAAAGCGCGTGTTCATTCCGCGAGCGCCGGGAGCACCAGGGCCTCGAGCCGACATGTTGACTGATGTGGTGGATTCGTTGAAGTCTGGTTGTTGCGTGAAGCTTTAGCCTCGCGATCGAAGTGGACGAGGGCGGCTATCTCGAATGTCGCCGGACGGGATTGCTGGCGGAGCAACAAGTCGTCGAAACTGAAATGGGCGGTCGGTCGCAGCTGAGACAGACGGGGGAGATTGGAATGAAGTCGGCCGTTAAGCAGCGAATGCGTCGTAAACCGGAATCGGGATTGCGCGGCGAGGGGCGTTGACGACGGGAGGCGAAAGGTGGAAAGTAGTCCGTAAAGTGATAGGTATGGTGGTGGGAGAGTTGACGGTAAATCGGGTCCTTGGAATAATGTGACTGCCTTGGGGGGTCGATGAAGCTCGATGATGAATGGCTGGGCGGGCACCTTGCACACGTCAGGCCTCTAGTCGCTAGGTAGGTACCTCTTCGGGCGGTGGTGCTTGCGGCCTCTGTAAATGATGGGCGGTATACCCGACTGTAGGCGGCAGAAATGAAATGGGGTTCCTTTTTTACTGGAAACACCTCAGTTGATGGGAGATATGAAATGCCCGGGATGCACTTCAATGACAGTGAATGACGGCTGAAAATGAGGTGGGAAATGGAACGGAAACTGTCAGGTGCAAGCGGACGGAGCGACGAGTGACCCCGATAAGTCCCCTGTGGCCGCCCGGTTCTGATGATGATGATGCACCCTTCTTGGCCGCTGAGATGTATCTTTACTGCGAAATGTGGCACGACGGTACTTGCATGCACTATTTCCCCTTACTGCTGGCCGCGGCCTCCATCCTTCGTCCTCAGAGTTGAAGCTCCAGATGTCGGGGTACGTACCGGTCTGCAGCGCTAGTGACATAAAGCTGAGGTGCAGAGCTGCATTACATAATCTGAGCGTTATCGAGTGTTTCCACGCTTCCCATTGGCTGCAAGCTCCGTTTTATGGGTCTGTGCTCCTCTTTCACAAGCCGGAGGTCCAGCAGCCAGCTCCAACAGCGCCCAAGTCCACTATCTGGCCAGGGCAGCAGAGCTGGCAGTCCCTTACCGCAGCAAGGAGTGACGACAGCCGCTTTCCATCCACCCAGCCAACCTACCAACCAAAGCCAAAAGCTGTCCTCAAGCAATTGGAAGGCTCACGTCACGGCTCACGGCTCAGCTTTTTGCGACCGCCGACAACGCCCCCTCGTTGATCGACCGTAAGGGCATCGACACTTCCCACTTCTTAATCCATTCGCTCACTCTTTACTCCCTTGTTTTGTCTTCCATTGCTTGGCTTTGCTTTACTTTGCCCTTCTTCTCCTCCCACTCTTCGACTCCCGAGTCTGCTATCGCCGTCGCCCTCGACATCATGGCGCCCACTCTCCCCTATCGCGACATCAACGTCAAGGTCGCTCCCGACTCCTACGTCTTCACTTCGCCGTCCTCTCCCGATGCTCCCGCCCTCGTCATCGACCGTCCCACCGGTGACCTGCGCCTTGGCGATGCCGGCCTGGGCAAGAGAGTCTCCCGCGTTTCGAGCATCGCTGGTATTCTCGGCATCATCCAGCTTAGACTCGGTAAGCCTCCTCAGACTCGGACCCAGAGCTCGTTCCGCACCAAACCAAGACCCAATGCCCTAACTACCTCTCTCCAACAGACAAATATGTCATTGTAATCACAAAGGCCCAGCCCATGGGCCGCCTCAAGGGCCACATGGTCTACAAGGTCGTCACCACCGAGATCCTGCCCATGCGCGAGCGCCAGATCCGCGACCCCGACGAGGATACCTTCATCGGCCTGCTCGACACCTTCATGAAGAACGGCCCCATGTACTTCTCCTACTCCATCGACCTCACCAACTCCTTCCAGCGCCAGGCCTCCGCCGACACCTCCCTACCCCTGTGGCAGCGCGCCGACGACCGCTTCTTCTTCAACCGCTTCATCCAGTCCGACCTCATCGACTTCCGCACCAGAGGCGCCAGAGGCCATGCTGGCTCCCAGCCTGGTGCCGACCCCTTTATTCTCCCCGTCATCTTCGGCATGCTCGAGATCAAGCCCACCACCTTCAAGGGCACCCCTGTGACCGTCACCCTCATCTCCCGCAGATCGAGACACCGCGGCGGCACCCGATACTTCACCCGAGGCGTAGACGACGAGGGCCACGCCGCCAACTACAACGAGACCGAGCAGATCACCATCTTCAACGACTCGGGCAGTGGCATGGGAGGCTTCGCCGGCAGCACCGACATGCAGAGCGGCAAGTACGGCGCCAACGGCAAGGAGACCCAGATCATGGCATACGTCCAGACCCGCGGGAGTGTTCCCACCTACTGGGCCGAGATCAACAGCCTGCGCTACGTCCCCAAGCTGCAAGTCCGCGGCATCGACAGCGCCCTGCCGGCGGCGCAGGCGCACTTCGAGGAGCAGATCCGCCTCTACGGCGACAACTACCTCATCAACCTCGTGAACCAGAAGGGCCGCGAGCAGCGCGTCAAGACCTCGTACGAGCAGATGGTCGAGAAGCTCATCTCCACCCCCAAGGAGCGGACGGAGGGCGACAGCCACACCAACGAAAAGTTCACCACCATCCAGCCCGAGAAGCGCGCCGTCGAGTTCGACCGCTTGCACTACATCTACTTCGACTACCACCACGAGACCAAGGGCATGAAGATGCACCGCGCGTACGCCCTCATCGAGAAGCTCAAGGAAGCCCTCGATGCCCAAGGCTACTTCCGCGCCGTGGACATGCCCGGCACCAACGACGGCCGTCTCGAGCCTCGCAGCTACCAGACCAGCGTCATGCGCACCAACTGCATGGACTGCCTCGACCGCACAAACGTGGTCCAGTCCATGTTCGCCCGCCACATGCTCGATCGCATCTTCGAGGAGATGGGCCTCATGAGCCGTGGCTCATCCTTCCGTGACGAGGACCCGGCTTTCGAGCACATGTTCCGCAACCTCTGGGCCGACAACGCCGATGTCGTTTCCAACTCGTACTCCGGCACCGGCGCCATGAAGACGGACGTCACCCGCACAGGTGTTCGCACCAAGATGGGCGCTCTCCAAGACGCCCGCATTGGTGTTACCCGCTACTTCAAGAACAACTTCCTGGACGGTCCCCGTCAGGACTCGTTCGACCTGTTCCTCGGCACGTACCTGCCGGGCACCGCCAACATCGGCAGCTCTCTCATCTTCGCCGACCGCCGGCCCCTTCTCATCCAATCCGTTCCCTACATCCTCGCCTTCAGTCTCTTCCTCATCTTCGTCGGCCTCTTCACCAAGACCGAGGCCGTCGTCACGATGCGCATCTTCGTCTTCTTCTGGCTGGCCGTGGCTGCCTGGTGTGGCAACTTCATCTTCGGCCACGGCATGCTCTACGTAAGTAAACGGATCTATCGTCACAAGACAACTCACTCACACTGCTTAGGTAAACTGGCCGAAGCTGAACCCCAGGCCGTGGGCCTTTGAGGGCTACAACGAGCACATGTCCAAGGCTCGCAAGGACTCGGTGCTGGGTTCTTTTGTCGCCCGTCACGAGCGCGGCCTCAGCACGGCACGATACATGAATGCTGAGGAGGGCAAGAAGAGGATTGAATAATCATTCCTTTCCGTCGATTTTCTTCTCTGGCTTCAAGCGTGAGGGACGCGCTGTTGGTATCTTCTTTACTATGTTGTGCTGGACAAGGATCCGCACGAGAATACACCCACCAGGCTATCATGGGAAGCAAGGCCTGATATCCCCTTTATTGTCATAGGTTCAATGCTGTTCACATCAGCAAGTTATACAGGGACCCTAAAGGCATAGACTAGATGTCTTTGTAAGAGAATATGCCCTGCTAGAGCTAAATAATACACACTACCTTCTTGTTCTACCGAGGCCATCTGATCCACGGGATGATCTCGGGCAAACCAGCCGGGACTCGGTCTGACCCTTGATATCCTCAGCGCGAGTACGAAGGCGGTGGTCATCACCATCCCGAGTCCCGATAACAGCTGCACACCCAGGTACTCCCCCGTAGCCTCGAGCATCGCACCCGCAGCAGGCGGCCCGGCCAACGAGGCGAATGCGTTTGTTGTAGATACCATCCCGAGCCAGGTCCCGTGCGCGTTCGAATGTGGCGCGGGAACAGACACCACCGTCGGCCGTCAGGGAGGTTATCGGATGGGTTGGTGTTTTTGGTTGAGACTGTGAGATTTTGTTCTTTTCTCTTGAGGTTGCGTTTGGGCTAGATGAGAGGTCTTGAGATGGGAGTGCCTAAAGGCATTGCTGGTGAACATGGTGAGGGTGGTATTTTGAGTGCTGCTTAACTAAACTCATACAGTCCAGAAACTTGAGATGATTACTCCACCTTCACGGTAGTAAATAAGAGATAAACACCTATTGAATGCAGCATTTTCGCACTATTAAAGCCGTCTTCAAATTATTACCATCCCAAACAGTCAACCTCATCATCGACAACCCCGCGTCCCCATGTCCGGAGTCGATGAGACGGCAACTCAAAAGACTGCAATCCATTTCCATCATCAGTTTTTCAAAATGATCCAATCATCTCACCCGGACGTCTCAACATCATGGCCGAGCCCCGCCGGGCCTGAATGGCGTCAATATACGGAAATGGTAACAATCCTCGGGAAGCTTTCGGCCCCGGGTATCCGGCCGAGACCCATCACTTCCCGAGGGGAAATATGGACCTCCCGAGGCCGAACTTCCAAAAGTTCGGTTAGTACCTCGGGTAGTCGCTCCCATCATCCCCCATCGTCCAGAACATCGGCCAGACTCTGATTTCATATTTTCACTACATCTGCAGTCTCGGGCATGTCATGTTTGAATTGCTAGACTCAAAGTAATCGGACTGAGAGTGACGATGGAGTCCCGGGCCACCCCGCTGCGCTACCGCAAGAACGGCCGCCTCCAGGCCTGCGACCCCTGCCGCCGGCGCAAAGTCGTCTGCGACCACGCCCGTCCGGTCTGCGGGAGCTGCAGGCGGCGGAGGAAGACGGAGACGTGCGAGTACACCATGAGCTCGCCCGCACAAATGCAGGCGCAGGCTGCTCCGCCCGAACTCGGCCCCGGACCGTCGTCTACCTCGGGCTCGGAGGCGGGAGCGGAGCAGCCACTTACAGGCTCAACGGCCGTCGAACACGTCCCGGAGAGGACAACGGCTGGGACTACCGGCCGAGATGTCTCGGGCGGTGAGCGTACTGGCGCCGGGGGCGAGGTCTCGTTGTCCGGCCACCTCGGGTTCAACTCCTTTGGGGATATTTACAAGGAAGTCGGCGCGAGACTATCCGACCACGACACCGGAGCGAGCAAGACGCCGAGGACGGACGGTGCGACGGCGGGGAGTACGGCGACTTCGGCGACATCCTCCATCACCGAGCCCCCGCCCTCGACCACGACGCTGGAAACATGCCTCTTCGTCCTGAGAAGCATACCCACCGAAGACAAGGGCCGCGCGCTGTTCGCCGCCCACTTCGATCCCCACGACGCCTTCGTCCGTCCCGTGGCCGAACGCGCTCTGCGTTCGCTGTACGAGACGTTCGGGGACTACCTCGGGACCGTCCGGGACGATGCGCGGTTGGCGGATCTGGTCCGCGTGTTGTGCGATAACACGGCGAGGCCGTTTGCGGAGCACGAGGCCGATCCCGAGGCGTGGATGGGCCAGTTTATGGGGAGGAATGTACGGTGGGAGACGCTGGGGATTTTGTTCATTTATTGGGAGTTGAGTGCGAGGAATGAGCACCTCGTTCGTCCCGAGACGAGACCGCCGCCGAGTGGAGGACGGGTGGCCGCTCACCGGCAGCGGGATGTGTTCAGGAGGTGCATTAATGATTGCCAGGCTCTGGCGAGACGGGCTACTGAGGTGGGGAATTCGTTGCTGCTTTACGTTTACTGGAAGCGAACCATCATCGCGTCCATCGTCTCCGGAGACACGAGTATGTATCTTCCCCCTTTCCGCCCGCCCCTCGGCGTCTGACTATTATTCGCAGGCCTCTCGTGCTGGATGTACAACGGCGAAGCCGTCTCCCTCATGACCTTCCTCGGCCTCAACGTCGAGCCTTCCAAGGCCACCACCTACAAACCCACCCTGGCCTCCGAGATCCGGCGCCGCCTGCTCTACAAGATCTTCGTCATCGACAAGGTCGTCGCCTCCATCACGGGCCGCCCGCCCCTGCTCAGCCGACGCTACATGCAGACCCCGCCGCCGCTGGACCTCCGGGACGACTACCTGCTCGCGGACGAGGCGGCGCTGGCGCGCGCGGTTGCTTCGCTGGACGCGAACGGGTATAACACGGACGGGGCGGCGTACTCGATCACGTTCTGGCGGGCGCGGGTGCAGCTCATGATTATCAGGGACGAGATCTTTGAGATTTCGCTGGGGACGGTGGGGGGTGTGTCGACGGGGACGCTTTAGTGAGTTTTTTTGTATGATGCTTGAGGTGTGAGTGAGGATGGGTTGCTGACGAGGGAGTGATGCAGTGACCTCAAGAATAGGGAGTTGCGAGCCGCGGCTGATATGCCTGCCGTGCTGCAGTTCAGGGAGTCGGATGTGAGGGACCCGGATATCGGTGCCGAGATGCTGTATCCGAGGATGATTATGCGGTTGGAGCACCTGCAGAACCTGTTCTTTATTGAGAGGTTGCTGCGCCGGCATGGTTGTGCCAACGAGAAGGATTTGTTGGCTGTTAGCTACGAGTTGACCTCGACGACGATGATATTCTGGACGAACATGGATGGTCTTGCGATGGTGTACGAAGACTTTAAGTGGCTGGTAAGCCCTCCATCCCCAATATCAGAGACACCCATCTTCCTACTCTTCACATCTTGCAAAATGAAGCTGACGGACACCCAGGTAATGGCCTACGCGGCCCCAGGCGGCGGCATCCTCTGCCTCGAACTCCTCAAACCCTCCGTCCCGCCCTCGGAAGCACCCCCCGACAGCACCGGCGAGCGGATCACGCGGTCGCGGATCGTGCAGCTGCTGAGCCTGCTGGTCGGGTTCCTGGGGTGGGTGAGTCCGAAGGAGGCGAACGGGAACATCTGCGAGAACTGCAAGGTCATCGTGCAGCGGGTGCTGGACCAGGCGCTGAACGCGGCGGCGGGGAGTGGTGGTGGTGGTGGTGAGGTGCCGGGGGCGGATTTCATGGAGTGGGATTTCTCGGCGCATTTGGATTTCAATTTTGATTTGTTGGATACGTTTGAGTGGACGAGGCCGGAGTTCTCGTGGGGTGATGGGAATGGGTAGGGAGGCAGCTTACACCAAGGGATATATACCACACGAGGACCTGGCATGTTAGGGTTGAGAAGCGAGCGTTGAGAAGCTCGACGTTCGTCTACGTTGACTATGAGACTAGTTGTGTCCAAGTTCCGTATGCAATCATCATACGAAGTTTGAGGCTACCCGATGCTCCAACACGATGCCGTAGTTTTGGCCGGCTTGCAGAAGAAAACATGGATCCATAAATGGTTTGGAAGTCATACACCCCTCCACAGTTATTATTCCTAGTTGAATACTTCAGGGGTAACACTGGATACTAAGGAGAACACTAGAGCTAATAGTAGTAAGGATAGGACTAGAGATAGCGAGAAGTAGTTGCAAGGGAAAAATAACTGTGGAGGACTGTACAACTTACATCAACATCATGGGTCATAGTCAAGGCCTGTGTTACAATTGATCCGAAGGTGACTGCCGAGGTTTGATTCTCCCCTTGGCGTTGTCCTAGATGGAAGTTGAAACAAACACGTCGCCTCCTTGTGTTACCTGATCGGTGCAGGGTCGATTGCGAATGAAAAGGCACCAGGCCGAAGTCGCAAGTCTCACTGGACTGTTGGACCTTGGAACTTTGGACGAAGTCGGTTTGCTTCTGCCTGGGCACCGAATCCTGCGGATGACTCAACGTTGTGACTCAAGGCGCAGGGCCGAGGCGAAGGTGACGCATTATGCCGCCAACGGAAGTCAACAAACATCCAACGCCCCCGACCAACATCAAGGCGGAAAGCAATGAGGGGAAACGTTGGTAGGAGAAAAGCTTCATCCTGCAGACACGGTTGTCACACAGCAGGCAGCAATATGCCGCCTTCTATTGGTTCGCCCGATGGAATCCCAACCGTTCATATCAAATGGTGTAAATACCGCTAAAAACCCCGTGAAATGAGCTCGAAGATCCAATGCATCCGCATCACAACATCATGGACCCATCAACCACCCACGGCGCGGTCGACCCCGCATCCCCGGCCCCCACCCCGGCGCGGGACCCGGAGACCCTACCCTCGGAGCTCTTCTCCAAGATCCTCGGAAACCTAGACCTCGCCTCCGCCAAGGAACTCCGTCTGTCCTCCAAATCCCTCGCGGAGAAGTGCCTCGGTCCGGAATTCACATCCCACTTCGCCCACCAGAAGACGGACCTCAGCGCCTCCAGCCTCGAGGGCCTCGCGGCGCTGGCATCGCACAAGGTCCTCGCGCCGGCCGTGTCCCACCTGACTGTCCTCTCGACGACCTTTGACCTCCAGGGCCTGACCAAGCAGGTCTCTACCAAACGTCGCACCGTGACCACGACCAATGGGCCCATTTTCTCTTCCACCGAGGAGCGCCTCACAGAGGAGGAGCTGAAGCGGGCCGAGGACGAGCTGGCGTGGTGTCGGGCGCAGATCGAGGAGCGCGAGAAGCAGACCGACGAGTCCGTCATTGACTCGCTCGCCTCTAGCCTCAAAGCGTTCGAAAAGCTCGACACCCTCGACATCGAAGGCGCCGTATCGACAGACATGGGCTCGGGCTCGGCTCCACCACACACCATCCGCGACTGGCAGTCCCTCTGGGTCCGCAACACGAAGGTATTCCGCCTCGTCATGCTCGCCATAGCAAGAAGCGGCGTCCCCGTCAAGACCCTCACCGTCTTCCGCAGCACGAACCGCTGCAGCGTCCCGGCCGGCGACGTCACGGCCCTCCTGCCGCAGCTGGACGCCGAGCCGAACGCGGCCGTCGCGCTCGGCGCCGTCGAGAACTTCGCCATCAGCGTGTCCACCCCGGTCCAGCTCGACGCCGCCAAGATCGACGCCAAGGTCGCCACCCTCGAGGGCATCGACCAGGTCTGGCACCGCGCCTTCGGCTCGAACACGGGCCAGTTCAGCGCCGCCGACCCGGAGGCGTCGGCGGACGAGAACTTCCCCGGCGTCGCGGGGCTGCTGGGGCGCATGCCCAACCTGGAGGCCTTCGACGTGCACCTGTACAGCACCCTCACCAACGGCTTGTCCGAGGCGTGGTGGAAGATGTTCGCGCGCATCGCCGACGAGGTCGAGCTGCCGCGCCTGGAGCAGGTGATGATCCGCGGGCTGCCGGCGCGGGAGGACGAGCTCCTCACGTTCCTGCGGAAACACCACGGGATCAACGAGCTGATGATCAACGAGATGAGTCTGGAGTCCGGTCGGTGGCAACCCGTGTTCGACTACTTCGCCAAGGCCACGGCGCTCACGAAGCTGCACCTGGCGAACCTATTCGACGGGGGCTACGTCGTGAGCCTCGAGCTCGCCGAGGGGCGGGACATCGGGAGGGACCCGGACCCCCGGGACTACTTCCCATGCACCGGCGGTCCTTCGAAGGTTTTCAAGAGAAGTTTTGAGGAGGAAACCATCCGAGCTGGACTCGTGTTTAAGGACGAGCCTATGGGTAGACCTCTTGGCTCGCCGCAGCTGATGTGGTGGAGGAACAAGAGGAAGGCGGATTTCGGACCTCCCTGAGTCTGGATTACTTGGGTGAAGTACGACCACTGTCGACCGGGTCCAGGCGATGATGCACTTACTTTTTGGGATTCAGTTTTGGACCAGAAAAGTCTTTTCTGATGGGACTCAGAACGGTCAACATGGACTGGTTTGTTATTACGTGTTTGCTCCGTCCATTTGCCGTACCTTGAATTTCACTACGAAATGCGCATCCTCCTCAATCCTTCTTGAATGTGATTTGCTCCGCCGTCTTCCCACGACAAGAGCAAGCCATACAAACTACAGAGAATTGAACCAAAAGGTGAGAAATCCAGCTCTTAAAACCGACGACTGCTCTCAAAAGGAGGGTCGCCCCTGGCCAGCACCGACAAGGTGCCAACACCTTGCGAGACGAGACCGGAGATTGCGGGGGTCATAGGTGACTTTACATCCACCTTCTTTAACAGCAACTGGTCGGTTAGCTCAGTTGGTTAGAGCGTGGTACTAATATGTCATCAGACATGTCTGGTAATGCCAAGGCCGGGAGTTCAAGCCTCCCACTGATCATCCCTTTTGCCATTTGAGTTTCTTGTTTCCTGTTTTGCTCTAATGTTACTTCTGATTCTGTTTTTGCAACTCTGGAGTTGATTTTTGTTTGTTGGTGTGCATTTTGGGGCGGTCCACTTCATGAGGACGGAACCGTACTAACGAACACATGGCCTTGGCCCCAACGGATGCTTCACTACATGTACAAGCCCCGAACCTCCGCACTGAGTATCGTCCTGTGAACTGGGTATTTTACACTCGAGATGAACTGTACGCGTAGACAAACGATGACATTCTGCTTCTGGTGAGTCATTATCGGCTTTGCGCAAGGGAACTTTTCATCGCGATGCGAGACGACACTGCCCACGCTCAGACCTCTCAGCGGTGGTGAACAGTGAGTGTCAATCGTGTCGAATGAGCGGAATGAGTTGACGATTTAGTTTCCGGGGAAAGCATTGTATCTAACGCCCGTGTAACGCAGAGATTATGACAATTTTATATCAGAAAACGATGCATTCACATCAGAGTTATGATGAAGTGCCCAACCTCACTGGAAGGACGTGAAATGTGCATCCATAGATGTATCAGTGGCTAGCGTTGTATCAACTTACAAGTGATGTACGCACGTCTCGGCAATTATCGATGCATTCCCTTACCGTCCTCGTCTTTACTCAAACTGATAGATATGACACTCAATGACATATACACGAATGGCAGCTGTCAGAGAAATCTTTCATTATTCAATGTTGACGCAATGTTCAGTCCAGGGTGTCTAAGACTGAGCACCATCATTCTCAGCAGATTCTACCAACGCATATTCCGACTTGAAGCACGCAAGTCATTTCCATACACGTACTCTCAATACCGATCATAGGGCGTTTCCATTGGTGTCGGCAGTTTCCTCGCTCTCACTCACTTTCCTACGGCTCTTGTTGAGAATGGCCGCGCGGTGAGCTCCGAAGGATCTTGGAGAACCCCCTGCTGACATGAATGCGACCGTGCAATTGTTGTTGGATATGCACTGCTCTACCCCTGTGTTTCTAGCACGACACTAACTGCCTTACTGACACTTCTTCACTGCCACCCTCGTTTCTAACATTCAATGCCATCTACTCCGATACCATGGTCCCTCTCCTCCAAGAATCTGTTCCTGCGATCCCGCCGCCGCAAGATCAACGTCGACTTCTTCATCACCAATCACCCCCGGCCCTCAGCAGGAGCACCGAGGCCCGGAGCGGCGAAGCGCGACCTTCTGAACAACTCTCGATCTCCGGAGCGTCTCGGTCGGGGGACGGCACGATCGTCTGAAGTCACCCTACCTGGACCTTGACGCCGATCGGCCGAGACAGCTGTCTACCCACCCTTTCCGACCGTCTCTGGACGGGGTCTCATATCGGTAGGGTTGACATTGACAGCGTCCTACGTCGGCAAACTGTTGGGTGCGACCCTCCGACACACGTCAATGCAGATCCGGGCACAACTTCCTGTGGCTCCCGTCACGACGTGACCTTCTCGATTAGTCCCCGACCAATGTCCGCCGGATCGATCGTCAAAGAACAGAATTCTCCGGTCGAGCAGCCAAACCCGGTTGCCTCTGGGGCTACACGATAGCAGGGTCCTTCTCCTGTCTGCCCGAATGGCTTCGCAGTCGTCCTAGAACAAGACGGTGAACCGACGCTATTAGTTGATTTCCAAGACAAGACAGCCAGCTAGACGGCCCGCGGCGTCCAGAAAGAGTTTAACCGCCTGGATGGATATCGCAGGCAACGTTATCTCCTCTTTCAGCCCGAGCGGGGATCACAACTCGGAAGGGAAGTTGGATGTGCGCCGCTCGGGTCTGATACCACGTCGACGAGATCCACCAAGATTGTTTCAACGACTCCTGTTCCTTCTCGCGCCATCAACAGAAGACTTCGTTCTGGGTCTCGCCGAACCAAGTCCTGCTAAGCCTCTACGGAACCCGCCTTTGCCTCTCTCAGTGTTATTCCCGATGCAGACCTGCATGGAGCGTTGCTGACGCCGGCATTATCGATCACACGACGACGTAGGTCAAGGGGTCCGAGCGGACTACGCCGAGAAGAGCCTCGGAGCTGAGAACGACTCCATCGCTGCTCGTATCAACCAGACAGACGTGACGGTGAGAACATTCGATGTGAGTCGATTAAAGAGTCAATTACCATTTTGGGGTACCGTAGTCCCTCACGCTATGATGGTATCAATTACAAAGTTTCATACATGTCGTCGCAACGGAAGACGCCAAAACCCCCCCCCAATCCCGCTGATTAAACAAAAGAAAAATCTCAAAACGGCGACCCGCTCCTCCCGGTCTTGGAACTCGAGGCCTCCATCTCCCGCATGTGTACCAGGCTGGTCTCGTCGTGGTAGTCGACGGCGTACTCCTTGGTGTACATGATGCCGTTCGGGCTGCCGTTGGTGAGGCCGGACTCGCGGTCGACCGTCTTGATCTTGGCCTCGTTGCCGAAGGTGCGGGCGCGGCTGCGGCCGTGGCCGGTGTGGTTGCCGCTCGACTGGATGTAGTACTTGGCGGCGGCCGAGGTGCCGCGGCGCGTGGTGCCGAGCAGCTTGGGGAAGAAGCCGACGAGGATGATGCGGACCGAGGGCATGCAGGCGCAGATGATGCCCGTGTTGATCTCGACCGTCGACCAGGTCGCCACCTCGAACTGGTCCCACGTCGGGTTCTGCGACTTGGCGAAGGCGACGAGGGACTGCAGGCGCAGGATGCTCACGACGGTGACGAAGGTGCCGACGAAGAACATCATGGCGACGCCGATCTTCTTCTTCCAGTGCAGGTTCAGCCCCCTGATCTGGGACAGGGGCAGGATGAGCATCCAGAAGTCGAGGACGATGGAGATGCCCGCGTTGGCCCAGGCGATGGCGTTGATGTCGAGGCACGTCCCGGGGTGCTCGTTGTCCCACTTTGTCCAGTAGAAGCTGATCGGGGTGCACTGGAAGACGGCGACGAAGATGAAGGTGACGCCGAAGACGGCGTTGAACGTCACCGTGGCCCAGATGAGGTTCCTGACGAGCTTGTTGTGCGAGAAGATGCGCATGTAGAAGAACAGGAGCGACATCTTCAGCAGCGTCACCTGGGCGAAGTACATCGGCTCCATGACGAAGAACCAGTAGCCAAAGTCGGTGATCCTGTCAAAGGGGACCGTCCAGATGTCCTTTCCGAGGCCGTTTGCTGCGAAGCCGTGGGTGTTGATGACGGTACCCGGGATTCCGGAGCCCAGAGTGGCGAGGATGAACCAGTCGTCGGCGCCGAGTACGCCCGCGCTCGCGAAGATCTTGTGAACCAAGCGGATCACGACGAAGACGCCGGAGAGGGTTCCCATTGTGATAGAGATAATATTGTACTGGGTGGTGCGGTCCCGCGGGGTCACGCCGCACGTCGTCTGGGTGATGTTCTTGGTCGCTGCGAGTTCAAGGTCAGCCGAAGGGTTTGTCTTGGCTCTGCCCGAGAGTTTACTACTGACTGAGGGCGTTGCGCAGCGTGCAGTTCTGCAATACACAAACTTCAACTTCGGCCTGCAAAGGAGCGTTGGTGCAGATGCATGTCTGGTTGGTGGGCGCGCACGGCGAGTTCAAGACGGCTGTCAAGAGACATGCTTGCTGTTTCCTCGGGTAAGTATTCGGACACAGAATAATAGTAGGAGGACGGTAGAACGTACCGCGCAGGACGGCAGCGATGCCACGGCCGCGGAGGCATCGCCCTGGGCCGCGACGCCGGACAGTACCGCGGCCAGGGACAGGAATATCGTGAAGAACCTCATGGCGGGGTATCGTGTCGAGGAAGTAAACCTCCCTCTCAGGGCTGGGGTGGAAATCGGTCGTCTTGCGCGCGTGCTAGATATCTATCCCGTCGACCATGGCGTATCGTCTTGACTCGGTTCGTCTTGTCGTGATGGAGGCGTCGAGGAGGTTTTCCTTCAACAACAAGACGAGAAGAAGGGGGGACGGGAGGGATTAAGGTTGTCGTTGAAACGCCCTTCGGGCTGAGTCTTAGTCAACAAGAGGCCACTTGCGACTTGGGATGAGTGGTTCTCTAGCGAATATGCCAACACGGAGATGATGCTGGATGCAGCCAGGGAAGCAGTATGCATATTGGTCCACTTGGTTCGACGCCACAGAGACCAGTGAGTCGGTAGCGTAACTCTTCCAGTCAACCCGCACAGTGGCAGCCGTTGCATATCACGTCGTATGACGGCCGTGTCTGGCTAAGACGCGGCCCCTATTTCTCTCTTACGCAGTATATGCCGACACAGTATGTGAACGTGAGTCTGGTACGCTAGACCGGTGGCGGTGGTGGTCGAGCTGTGTGTGTGGTTGCGGTTCCCGTAAACGAAGAGGTCGACCGGCATGGCCAGACGACGGAGACGGACCCCGGTCCCCAGCTCCGGCCGTGGCGACAGGGCACCCAGGGCGTCGACCACATGTGGCAGGCGAGGTTCTGCTCCATGAGGAGTGAGACTGTGATACACTGACATGCAGGAGGCTCCCCGTCAACGTGGGAATAGCAGCGGACCGAGACCGTGACTGGTCTGTCGTCCGTCCATGGTCGGGTAAGGGACCAAGAAGTTCGTTCCAGGGCCCCCTTCGAGGGAAGTTCAGGGTTCCTCTCGAGATTGATTAAACATGGAGGGGGGGACGAGCCCACCATCTGTGCCACACATCCACACCGAGCACGCATATCTTCAGGAAGAAGAGGAAGAAGAAGAAACCCCAGGAGGGAGGGAGGTCCAGCCACGGCGGACGACCAAGGCAGGCCGGGCAGGGTAAGGCAAGACAGGGATCGATGGGGACTCGTGCGCGCAGGGGTCCAACGACAAGAGGATTTGCCAGTGTGAGAAAATGAGAGAGAACTCCAGTCTGGGACTCCTGCCTGTGTTGTTGTGCAGCAACTCATCTCCATGCAGGGGCCGTTAGTCTCCCATCGGCACTACTGCGCAGGACGATGCCGTGGCCTGGATTCGCCTCGAGAGGCGGGTCTTGTTGCCCCGTCTTGTCAGCCATTATACGCGGGGCGAAGTCTCGAGAGACTGAAAGGACCGATGTGAGAGTCTCGTCGTCCCGGTTTCTGCGAGAATATACGGTCGAATTCCAAGGCAAAGGAAACCCCTTCAACCGACTTGACAGTTACACTGCGCCGCCGAAAAGCTTCTTTTGAACCCGGACACTGGCCGAGGCTCGTTGGTCTGATGCGGCGCGGCAAAAAGCTTGGGAGCAAGAAAATAAGAAAAGCCGAACGGTTCCCGAATCCTGCGGCCAGATGAACGGCTGCAAGCCTCCCGATCAAACAACGTGGCGGCCAAAACTGCGCCGCGCAACTGCCAACGCCGAGGCCGCGCAAGGGAGGAGGGAATGAATAAGAAACGCCCGAAGAAGAGCCAGAGTTTTGTGTGACGGCTTTAGAAACGGCATCGAAGGGCTCTGGAAAACCGCCCCCGACGCAACAGCAACCACTCACTTCGACCACCACACACGCATCAGAACCCGGTTCGTCTGGCTACCCCTTGGGACGTTAGTCCGGGCGAGACTGGCGTCGCAGTTGGCCGGTGCTATCCCTATCCTGGTGGCACATCCGGCACGCTGTGTGTGGAGCGGATGGAGAACACGGGTAAGAGGATCCGGTCGGTTCGATACGCCATTGGTAGTGTTGTTGCTCGCACCCTTTTTTCTTCCTCTTCTGGGGACTTCTGAAGATGTGAGTTGAGGAATCGGGATCAAACGGTCGGGCTTGGGACGGGGGGATAACTGAGGTTCGTAGGATGCGACGTGTCGGCCCTATCGCCGATTTAATGACTCGCGATGGGGCAAAATTGGAGAATTTGATGATCGAGTTTCCTCTTCGATCTTCGACGGCGTGCGCTAGTGACGAGCAGGTCTCTTCAGCCCGAAAACCGATATCGTTATCGACCTTCATGAGAAGTTCAGGGGCCTCGGTGAGCGATTGATGCACATGCGGACATGAAGCTGTCACATATTGGCAACCGGCCGAATCCTTCGGTAGTCTGCCCTGTCTTCGGACCAGAGACCCAGACTCTATCGGATTGCAGTCGCAAAATGTCCCAGGGGTTCTGGGCGGATCTCGTCTAGGCCCCGGATAATATTTATTGGATTCGTGATGCTACGCAGCCGATGGGTAATGGCCTGAGGGAAAGTCCCCGATTCCCAGTTCTCCGGGGGAAGACTCTTCTTCGCGTACGGAGACCCTCTCTTTCGGCATCACAATAGGTAATTGACGGGACTCGGGAGAAGGAATTATGTTTTCGGGTCTGCTGGCTCTGGGGGGCTGGTTCATCGTATCTAGACGAAGGAGGATTGCAATCGCAGTCTTGCTTAATGCTTACAGATGGTTTGGAACGTGGAGAACAGGTGGAGGTGATTAAGATTCAGGTGCCAGGTTTTGCTTATTCCTGTCAGCTGTCACTTTTCTTCCATCGGCTTTCCATACTAATCACTTGCGTGTCCGCGTCAATTCGATACAGCGGGAATGACGACGACGGCGCTGCCGTTGAGGAACGAAACACAAACTAAGAGGACTAGAGAGACGGTTGCGAGATGAGAGGCGCGCTCTAGCTACTCATGCCACCGGCGTCTGTTCTCAAAGTCGACGCCACCAACGTCGCATGACCGCCGACCACGAACGACGGGAGGTCGACAACCCGTGATCCGTTTCTCCCCGCCGAAACGCCGCCGGAGTTGTGGAGTTTCGCTGCCCTCTTTTTCCAGCTTCGCTTCTTTTCCCTCTCCTCTCCGCCCTCGTACGAGACGGCGGGTTCGCGGTGGGCTCTGGGATCCCCTTTCTTGTGTGCTTATTCCTAACGTGATCCCTGCCTTCACATCTTTCACCGGGACCGGGGTTCCGGCCGGGCAATTGTCTGTGTGCTCCCAAGGGAGGGTCAGCGCGCGCGCGCAAAGGGGAGGGAACGGAGACAAGGGCAGCGAAAGCCCCGGCCCTAGGGCAAGCCACGCGGCGGGAGACGGGTTCCGTGCCGGCTTTGGAGGTGATATTGGGGGCCGACGAGATTGGAAGAGACGTTGGCGAGCCATTAGTTCCGGCGATTGGGCTGAACTGGAGAGGTTGGATTTCTGGAATCGGACATTGAATCGAACGTGTTTCTTCGGTTCTGAGCGCTTTGGGCGTTTTGAGGTGGTCACGACGCCTTGATCTGGGCGGAACGCGGGCCAAAGCTCTGCATTTGCGCTTGTCAAATCTAACCTACGTATTGAGCGTGTAATGCGGACGACAGGCAAATCGTTGTCTTGCGATGACAGAGAAGGCCAGAGTCAGAGCTGTGATTTGTTGATTCAGCAGATTCGCCTCTTGGACTCAATTTTTCTCTCTCTTTGCTCTCAGCCACTCTCGACCTTCAACTTGGTCACGCCTGGGTTGGGCGAACTTGGCAGAACCCTGGAAATGATCGAGGTTGGCCGCGGCGACGGTTCATGCGCAACGCGGGCGGACCTTGAATCCGCCCCGATTTTTGCCCATTTCAGCTTTATGCGAGGGAGTAGCGCCCCATAACTTTCCTGCTTGCTCCAGCTCCACGGGTTCCATGGTTCTTTTGATGGTGGTTTTCTTCTGCTTACTGTGACTTTGTCAGACTGGACCGGAGGAGGGCTGTCAAAAGAAGCGGTTCAGGATTCGACAGGCTGATCCTCTGGTGTTTCGTTTTGAATTATTCTTGGTTCTGGCGTGTTTGAGCTTCTGCTCCTTGGTCTTATTGGCGTTGCTACCGCAGACGGAGGGTTTTATGTCATCCTCGCCGGATAATCCGGGTACCCGGGTTCCTTTGTTGAGAGGGAGGCAAGATTGATTGATGTTTGACTCGCTGCGAGCAATTGCCGACGTGCGGCTGTGGCGCAGAAGGGTCTTCATCTACCAACGTTGAAGGAATCTTGGCTGCAGGATTTCACTCGGCCGAGGGCTCTGGTGGTCCGGTAATTTGATGAACCAATCACTCCGTCAGAAGAACTTTTGTTCAGGGTTGGCTGCCATTCACAACTCAGGTTTCCCAGGACACCGTCGCCGCATTCTCATAACAGTCGAGGATGAACCTGTTGTTACGACCCGTTGGGCATGCTTAGCAGAGAAAAAGCCCCACAAGGACAACTGGGCGGCTAGAACGTCACATTTGTATGCAGGATCACGGGAACAGAAAGGACTCACCTCGGAACGGAAGAACTATGGAACGAGTCACGTGACCTCAGCCAATGAGATGAGAGTCGACAGAGTCGATGGTCGACTCCTGCGACTCTCAAGTACACCAATCAAGATGAAGTCGACAGAGTCGATGGTTAACTCCTGCGACTCTAAGGTAGAGGTACAGAGGAACGGCTTGGGACTTGTATATAGGATGGACTTGAGCCCGGCTTAAGGACAGACTTCCATAGCTCTTTAGCAATCAACTTATGATTCTCACTTAAGACTTTTAGCTATACCTAAGTAATAATTACTCTATAACTCTTATTGAGGACTTAACTAATTACTAAGACCTTTAAAGACCTATAATTACTTAGATAGCCCTATAGAACGACTTAATACTATTTATAGTTCTTAATCCTTAACTTACTATTAATATAAACCTACTATTAGTTAGCTAGCTATAATACTTTAATTGCTCCTATTTAGTAAGTTACCCTTTAAAAACTACTAATAGTATTATAATGTCTTTATAACTCTCTAGAAAGACCCCTAGTACTGGATCCTCTTCTAGCGCTGGGAAGGCCCCCGTTAAGAAGAACCTTACTTAAGAACTTAGGGATTAGA